ATTTGGTTGACTGCTGTGAGATGAGATGTGAAATTATCGTGAAAACGATAGAATGCTCGAGTTTCTTCGTTCTTTCTACGTTCCTTGAAAAAGCAGATGAATTTTGCGAAATTTTGCAATAACAGCTCCAATCTTTTAGTTGCAATGATGTAAAATACTGAAACTATGATGAAATCATTCATTCATCGGAAGTGATTGAGGAAGAGATTTCCTATTTTCATATTTTCCACCGAATGCATTTTTGGTTTAACTCGTTACGAATCAATTAACTGGTCCGACGAGATTCTTTTCACTCAATCATCGTAATGAAAAAGAAATAGGCTTCAGATTGGTTTTACTCTGCTATCTTGTTTAATATTTTGTTTATTTTTTTGTGTAGCAACTCAGCATAATTCTCAATATTATAATAATTTAAAAGAATATTACAACAATTTTACAATTTTTTACTAATGAACCATTCTAAGCATTGAAAGATAACAGTTGCTTGTAACCAAAATTGAATAATTCAAGAATTATTCAAATGCATTTAAAATTTCGATTTTTTAAACTCTACAATCCTATATCTGTCAAATTCCTGGCATTCGTTGAAATCTATCGGTACTGCATCGTCATCTTCTTATTCCTATAATGCTGCTCAATTTCCACTCTTAACAGTATAAAAAATATCTGTGGGCGCATCTGATGGAAAATTTCATGGATTTTGGCAGTTGCCACTCCTACTTGATCAGTCTTGTGCATATTAATCGATTTATAGGCAAACCAAACAACATATCCTTATATTGCAAATTTGGCCAAAATGGTGGAAAATGGATGCGCAAAAATTTAATCGACTATCTATTTTATCTCATTCTATTTTATCTATTTTATCTAATAAAGCAATTTGATTTATGATTGTGACTGATAATTAAAAATTTAAAATGCAAAACATTATCGCACCTGCATTATACCTCTGCATGAAATGAAAGGTTTAAAGTAAGCCTACAAAAATGGTCCAATAATATAAATGACTTGGTTTTTGAAATAAGCATTTTTCAAAACTGTGCAAATGCAAATGTATAGATTTTCTCTTCAAAAACCATATTCTGTATCACTGGAAAATGCAATCTATCTGTTTGCGAGAAATCAATTACTTCTTTTTTGGCAACATTTAAATTTTTGATTTGACTGGCTCTACTAGCCATGCTGATAAGGGATTGAATAACTCAATGGGTTGTTTCTCAATTCGAAACGCTGATGCTGAGGTTTTCCCGTAGGAGTAAACCTGTCCAAAAATCGGGGTGATATATGCGATCACTTGTATTTCTATCGCCAACGGACTTCCTGGTATATTTGTCCAGTGCAGCCAGCGGAGCGAGTTTAACAAGTAATGGTGAGGATTCGTAAAGAAATTAACCACGCTGATAAGTCATTATGAAACAGAAATAAAAGTATCAACAGAAATATCAACATTTATCATTTATCTTGAAACAAATATAATACCATAAAATGAACATTTTATTCAATCATATTGGATTTTTTAATTTCTAGGACTTTGCATAATTGAGAATAAGGGTGGGATGATCTATTTATGCTGCGCATTAAAGAATGATTCCCTCTTCTTGACAGGATTAAACTGATCATCAGGAACCATCCTCTCTCTGCACTAAAATGTAAAACTTCTGCACTGATAGCAAGTTGACCAAATCACGAAAAGTTAATGCTTACTTAATCTTATTCAGTTGAGAAATGTTTGCTTAATAACAGCTAACTATTTGCTACTCAGAGCAAATACAGTCGCAAATGCGGTCAAATAATATTTGCAATATTCAGTACATTTAGAAGGATAAAGATTTCTGATTAGGCAAAGCTACAAACCCTGCTAGTTAACGATGCGTTTACAACTTCGCTATTTATTTTTAAAATTATTTTATCATGTGATAATGAAAATTTAAAACGGACGACCGTAATTATAACCTTTGAAAAATTTTGATAGGACTTTAAAATAATTTTCTAGAAAGTAAAAGAAATGAAGGAAAAGCAGTTTACCTTGCCTTTGGAAATGCGTCGTGTGGAAAAACTGCCACTCAGAATCTGAGTGTTAATCCAATCCAGCCGCTCGATCTGCTTACATCCTAACATTGTATTTTCTTAATCGCTCAATTTAATTTTTTCTCGTATTTTTGGGATTAATCAGTTAGTTAATTACTAAGTAATTGCTTCAAATGGATGCAAATAAATGGGAAGAAATCTCTAAAAGTTATAAATGCCACTGGCTCATCCATTAGTTAAGAAGCATGTGCTCTCTTCGAATGTAAGCCAATGCAGTAGCTTGCGAATTCGCTTTTCAACATCACTGTAATTCGCATGACCGACATTATCACAGTACTTTAATGTGATAATGTCGGTTATCATATTCACATAATCTATAAAGAAGCATAAATATGTTAATTACCATTTAATATTTGATAAAAATATTTTTTTTAATGGACAAAACTCACCAAATTAAAAGAAATTTCCATAAGTGAGTGTGAGTGCAAGCGATTTTATTATAATTATAGAGACGTTTTGAAATGCTAAATATGCTTTTGTTTTAAGAATAGCTAAATCGCCCAAAAAAATAATCTTTGCCATTGAAGGAGGCGAAGCGATGTGCTTTTTTCGCGTCGGTCACGACGATTTGCTTTGTAAAAGGGAAAAGAGAACCTTGGAAAAATGAAGATGGACTCGTGAAAATTAGGCTGTAAACTTATTGAAAATACTTTGAAGTTCAGAGGTAGTCCTCACCAAATTCAATAGAGAAATCATTTAATACATTAAGGCGTTCCCTATCGTCGAAGTGAAAAGTTGAACTTATTTCTTTATCTCACCGAATGGTGCTTAAAATTTAAAATGCCATTTCTGTTATTTTTTCAAGAAAACATTTTTAACATTTACAAAAAATATTTCCTTTTATTTCGAAAAAACAGAACAATAATTTTTCGGGCAATTTTATTTCCATAAAATAACCCGCTTGTTCGCTAAATTTTCTCAAAGCACAACAGCACATTCGAGTAATTTCATTCTACGCACGAATTTTAATCACTTACCTTCTCATTTATACTTTTATACACATACTTCTTATTTTTATTTTTATTTATACTTTTTATTTTTTATTTTAAATGCTTTACTACGTTTACCACGTTTTTATGGGACTTAAAAATATTTGTATTTAAAATATTATTTATATCAATTTTTATATCAATTTAAAAACGTTCATAATAAAAATATAAAAAATCGCTTTTATTTCAAGAAAAATAATTTATTGTTTTTACTTCAAAAAATCAGACCAACAATTATTTTGCAAATTAATTTAAGGTGTTACTTTTAAAACCAAAAACATCTTTCATTTTTCTTATTTTAAAAAAATATTTCTATTATTTTTGTATTATTTTTTAAAAAAGATTCGATTTTTTTGTTTTGAAAAATCAGATCAATAATTTTTTTTCACAGTAATTTAAGCCAATTGAACTATTTTAAGCTATTTCAGATATTTAAAGCATAGGTTCACAATTTTTTTGGCTAATAGCCCCATTTTCCAAGTTCTGTTTTTTGCACTCACTTGAAAATGGATTCATTTTAATTCGATTCTGGAAAATTTCAAAATTTTTGATTTCTCAATTTTCAAAAGGAAAAATAAATTTGAATTAAAAACTATAAAAATTTTATAAAAATTGAATTCTCGGATTTTCAATCTGAAACATGAAAATCGCACATCTGAAAGTTGGAAGTTCTATTTATTTTAATTTTTCACTTTAGAATTAAATCGAGATTCCTCACATTCGAGATAGTTTCACGTTTTAAAAATTGAAATTATAAGCGATAGCGCGGAAAAAAATTCCAGAATTGCTTTAATCACTGGAAGAACAAATCAAAAAACTATTTCTCATAATTTTTGCTTCTTCTAACAGCTCTTACTATAACTTGTTAGGATAACGGATGGCTCCGCTGGCTATAAGGGTGACACGTCTCCAAGCTGCTCCACTTTGGATAGTAGAATCCATCTTTTTTGTGTCTAAGTCTATATATAGCTGATCCACTTATATGTTCAAAATGTATCAGTCTTAATTGACCCTCCTCGCTTTTGACGTCAACCATCACAAGGTAGTACGTAGCGAAATAGGTGTTAATATCTTTGGTGGGCGATGAAGAACGTAACCTAACCAGTGAAGATAACGTTCTGTAATGGTACTGTTAATAAAAATGGTATTTAGGCGAAGATGGATGCGTTCTTGTGAGGTTTTTATCCACACGTAAATAGTATCTTAGAATGAACATGAGTGGTTAAAGGAAGATAACTTTCTTAATATCCTCCACTCTCATTAGTTATATCTCGCATTCATATAACAAATATTCCTTTGACTGGGACCAGTTTTACAAATTTATTTTTAAATATATAAATAAACAGATTAACAATTATGTAATGAAGACTGAATGATTAATATTTTGATGAATGAGAATTTTATGTTAAATTCTAAATCCAATTAAGTAAACAAGCTTTCCACTCTGCCCATTTATTAAAAAATCTTAAAATAACTGTTATAAGCATATTATGAAGGTATTTGTCCAAATTTCCTACAATATAGATTCTACTATTCTTAAATGATTTTTGTAAATATACCATGAAAGAATTTTCACAAGAAGAATTATTAATTAACAATGTTTAATTTTCATACAATTTTTTCATGATTAAATAAAAGTTAATAAAATAAATATACTCTTTAAATGCCTATAATTAGAATAGTTCTCCTAATTCATATACTCGCCATATCAGTTTTCCAAGTATTTTTTCTCTTAACGGATTAGAGATTTTTAAAACAAAAGAATAAAAGAATAACACAAAAAGAAATTAATTCTTTCAATTTTCAAATCTGTTCTACAGGCAGTTTCTAATTTACTTGCAGAAAGAAAATTAAAAACAAAAAAAGTACAGACTTATATTTTATATTATATGTATCAACTTATATTTCCCGTACGAACATCCACTAATCGCCAACACAACAGTGTTTCTGGATTTCTGGTGTTTTAATATATCGTAGAAGAATATATAAAGCTTCGGGTGTTACTCCAGGAACGCTGGAGAAAAATCAGATGTCACAGCATTAAAAATAAACAGCTTCTTAATGAAAAATAAAAATGAAATTTTTCGATGGAAAATGAAAAAAATTTCAAATTCAAATTTGCAATAATCCAACTGAATTTCCATAATATATTGAGATTCTATATTTAGAATTTATATAAAATGAATTTCAACAAAAATATTTTAGATAGGCAAATATACCGTGAAGCAGCAGCTAGATTTTGAGGCCGCCACTGTTCGAATTTCTCCATGCATTCAAAAGATAAGCCATCTATATTCGAATATTTAATATTTTCTGGAATTAAAGCCCGTCCTTCACGTCGAACTGTTATCATCTGAAATGAAAAATGAAGGATATGATCCTCATAATATATTATAGCCTGAAGTTGATAAATAATTTATTATCATTTATATAAGCTGATAAATGATACATTTTTGAAAAAAAAAATTTTGAAACCAAATTTCTTAAAAATGAAGTTCAAGACTCTTCACGATTTCCTAAAATAAGTCAATAATTATAATTCAGATAAATTCAAGTAATGAATAATTTTCATTATTTTATTATGAGGCTGGCACTTGAAGTTGCAGAAACGAAAATAAAGGAAAACCTTTTCCACTAATAAATCATGTTGTTTTTTATATAGCCCTTCAATTCGAATTCTTGATTCCAGTTCATTATCAAGAAAGGGAGACATTTCTTTAGGAAAAGCTCGTTCGAGCTCACGGAACGATATGTCATGACGATGTAATAAATCGTATGCAGTATATACTGCAATATGGCAATCACCAGTCAATAAAGAAATATTGTTTCTTAAATTTAAACAAATAAACAAAAAATAAAAAATTTGATGCAAAAAATAAAATAAAAAGCTTTGATAGCAATTAATTATTTCAATCATATTTCAACTTAATTTGCAACAAAATAAAAGGGATAAACTAAAAAAGATTGGAAACAAACCTTTTCCAAGCTTATTTTTTGGTTTAAAATTTTGAAGATACTTAGGCCACGTAGCTAAAGGATATTTAATCGATTTAAGCAGTTCTGTTGCATCTTTTAACCTGGTTTTCAAATTAAGAAAATGTGAATACCGGTCTTCTGAAACAACACCCATATGATATGCTTTATCTGTAAGTCGAATATCAGCATTATCTGGCCTGAAAGTCCTTTTATTAATATATTACAAACAAAAAATTTTATGAATTATAGAACTGATTGAAACCAAATAGTGCAAGCAGAAACTATAAATAAAAACGATAACTAGAATAAGAAATGAAGTTTCCACAAAATATTGCAAAGTTTTATATGTAAATATCGAAAAATATTCTCCCATCAAAGCAGTGATTTTCGTTATGCAAATAATATTAAAGAATATGGTATAAATTTTTTAAAATTTTTATTTGAATTTAGAAAGATTTCGCGAATTTGGCGTAAAAAAAAGCTACTAAAAGGCTCGTCGATTTTTTAACCAATAAAAACTTAAATTTTATCAAAAAATCAAATATAATAAGATGCAATTAAAACGAAGAAGACTTCCAATATAATTTAAAATATGCGAATTTAAAATATAAGCATTTGAATGAAAAAAATAAAATAAAATATATTTAACGACCTTAAATGAAGGCGAAATTCAGCACGTGAAGTAAACATTCGATAAGGTTCGTTTGTTCCAAGACTTGTTAAATCATCAACTAATACACCAATATATGCTTCTGTACGATCTAAAAGTAATGGCTTGATTCCTCTAGTTACGGCAGCAGCATTTATTCCCGCCAATATACCTAAAATATGCTTCTTTCAAAAAAATGCTGATAAATAAAAGATGCGAAAAAATGAAAAACATTTGAAACATTTCTACCTAAAATATAATGAAAGAAAAAATTCTTATTTAATATTATTAATGATGAAAAAATAGTATATCTTCCAAAAAATATATAATTTTATCGGATCAACTAGCAATAAAATTATTGCCTTGTGCAGCTGCTTCCTCATAACCCGTGGTTCCATTGATTTGGCCGGCCAAAAATAATCTTTTAACAAGTTTGGTTTCGAGACTTGAATGCAGTTGTTGTGGATTGATAAAATCGTATTCTACACCATAACCTGCTTGAGCAATTTCAACATTTTCCAACCCAGGAATTGATCGCATAATTTCTCGTTGCACATCCTCTGCAAAAGTCATGGACATGCCTTGAGGATAAATAAGCTCTGATTCCAGTCCTTCATGTTCCAGGAAAAACTGAAATTTATTTGCAATAATCGTTCATTTAAAATTATATTTGTTACCGTTTTTAAAAAAAGATTTAAACTTTTGAAAAAAATTCAAACCCATTATCTTTTGCTACGGAAAATGAAAATTTCTTATGCAAATGCAAAAATATTCAAATAATGGTGAATTGAAACCTTATGATACACGTTTTCGAATTTGATAATTTTAGATTCAAGCGATGGGCAATAACGTGGACCAATCTGTTCGCTTCTTATATATTTATGTTCTTTATAATGTTTTCGAACCAATTCAGCGACGCGATCATTTGTATACGACAGATATGTTGGTAACTGTAAAATGAATTCACATCATAAAACATTTTTTTAGGAAAAGCTAAATGAAAAAAATGTTTTTAAGAAAAATGGGTTCGTTTTAAATTAAAAACCGTGGAAATTGTTTCAATATTTAAAATCACTTTTTTTTATTTCAAAAATATAAATTCACAAAATTTCATTCAAAAAATATATAAAAATACCTGTTTGTCTGGATCAATCCACAAAGTTTTTGTTAAAAAAGAGAAAGGAATTGGATTTTTATCTGCTGGCTTCAATTCAAACTTGCTAAAATCAATCGTTTTCTTCAAAAGACGAGGTGGTGTTCCAGTACGAAGTCTACCTATTTTGAAACCTAATTGCGAGAATTTTTGTGAAAGCTTTGTACATGCCTGAAAAAATTTCTGTTATTTTCAAAAGACAAAAGAACTTAAATTTCGTTATGAAAGAAATTTTATAAAAGAATTCGACAGTTATGAAAGAATTTTTAACTTTTCGACTACTTTACAATATTTTTTCACTTGAACCTTTTCGCCGAGACGTCCATAGGGGAATCTCTTTAATCCCCAAAAAACTTCACCATCCAGAAAAGTACCGGTTGTGACAACAACAGCATTAGAACGAATCATCTATAAACAACAGAATTTAAAAAAAAAAAAAAAGAAATCAAATTAAGACAATTAAGCAGGAAAACACGCTTCCATCTTGTAGAAAATGGAAAAAAAAGAGAAAATAGAAAATAAAAGAGAAAAAATAACCTGCCCGTTTTCAAGAATAACACCACTGACTTTAATACATTCGGGTTTTGTCGAATTTTCAATGATTAGATCCCCAACAGATCCTTCAATAACTGTCAGATTTGGAGTGCCACAAATGATTTCCTATAAATCCAAAATTAATATCGAAAAAAATCTTTCAGATTTTAACGCATGGAAAACTTATCGGATTTATTAGTTATCAAATAAAAATTAATTGTAAATCAGAGGTTAAAAACAAAAAACTATAAATGAAACTATATAAATTTTGTTTTATTTAAAAATTTAAATTATAAATTTTATTTAAAAAATATTTCAAGGGTTTAACGGGAAATGTATAAGAATATGGGGAAGAAAATAAAATGCTGAATACATAAATTTACCTCCTGCATATATTTTTTATATAAATCACGATCAATTTGGGCTCTTAGACCCAAAATTGCAGGACCCTGACCAGTGTTTAGTGCCTGATAAGTAATAGCAGATTTGTCACAAATACGAGCGCATAGTCCATCCATTGCATCGATCTCTCTTATTAGATGTCCTATAAAATGCTAAAAAATTTATAACCACAGAATAAAATTTTAATTCTACATCAGTGCCATTGATATATATGCAAATGGCAATAACCTATTCTTTTACAGGCTTCTAAACTAACTTAAGGTAATTAGATTTTACTAGGATTTTTAAGAAAACCTTTGCCAATTCCGCCAAAACTGGGATTGCATGACATCTCGCCAATAGTTTCCTTGCGATGAGTAAGAAGCAAAGTTCGCGCTCGAGATCGAGCCGATGCAGCCGCAGCTTCACATCCAGCATGACCACCACCGATCACAATTACATCGAATAATTTCACTGCATTCGTCAACAGCCTCGAATGTTTCATAATGATGGAACTGTCAGATTTGCAGCGCCATAAATGTCGTTATGAATAAATGCGCTTACTGCAAACATTCTTTTATAGTCTTTTTTTGCCTTAATTGCTCATTTGCGAACTGTTCGAACTGTAGACTGGATGCGGTCTTCAGTGTGGGCTAAGAACTATAGCCTAAACGCGGATTATTCCGTGTTGGCCAAAAATTGTGGCCTGGATGCGGTCTTTAGCATTGGCCAAAAAGTGCAGCCTGAATGCCGTCTGCCATCACTGCTGGTCAAAAGTACGTAATTGCCAAGCAAAAGGTAAAAGGTATTTGTTCTGACAATCGATGACTTTCAAGACCCCTCAGCTTCAGTCGCATTCCATTTTTGATGATAAATTTCAATTTTTTTGCTTTTGTCAGAATGAATCAAAATAAAATGAATCCATACCATTTAACCAGTATAAATCCGCGAAATTTTTTTTTGAGAGTCCTCACCATTTTTGGTTAAAAATGGTCTCTCTCCACTGGAGTGTCGCATTGGGCAATGTGCTAGGAAGCCGCTTACCGATAGAAATACAGGTGAGTCGCCAGCATCACCCAGATTTCTATATGGGTTCACTTTTGCGGGGAATCAAACCTCGGCATCGGCGCTCCCAATTGAGCAACAACCCACTGAACCATTCTATCCCCTAAACCCGCGAAATTAAAGAAATAAACAAAAAAAAGTAAAAGGGAACAAAAAATATCAAAATACAAACTACAAAATACTAATCGTCGGCTACGCTCGCGGATGGTGCTTTAAAAATTGTGTACCTAATTAATGAATTTTTTATCATCGAGCGCTGTTCCCAATTTATAATCGTAAATTGGCAAATAAACTGGATATTTGTAATCGAAGTTTTTTTACAACTCTCATCGTTTCCTGTTTGATTCGCTGCATTGATTCTTAGGGTGCAATTCTTGGGATTTATACATTCTCGCCAGAAAGCCAGGAGACAGGAATGCAGGAGCTGGATATGTATGTTCCGGTCACTACACACTACACGTACAGCCTCAGCTAATTCTGTCATGGAGTGCCGTAGATAACCTGCCATTACCCACGTGTAAAGACATCTCAGAAACAGGTTGGTGAGACTAGGGAACTTCAAAAGAGCGAGAAGGAGTGTTAATAAAACAATGAAAATTAAAGGAGTAAGGTCCTGGGCTAAGACTTGATTCGCGCTTCCAATCTTTCACACATTAGTAAGAAATACAAGCATTATCGTCCTAAAAGTGTTCGTATCCTTCTTATGCGCAAACCGACTCGATCTTTTTCTTTTTAATGTAATTAATGATAATAATTACCGAGAAAAAGGGGCAACATTCGTCTACAAAATATTCATAAATTTATCATAAACATTAGAAAACATTGGAGCATTTAAATATTAAAAATTAAAAATTTGTATTTTTATATAATAATATTTTTGCATAATATAAGGCAAAAATTAATAAGGCAGCCAATATCGAAATAGAAATCATTAAATAATGATATAGCAACTAGGAAATTTCAAAAGAGCGAAAAAGAGCGAGAAATGGCGAGAAGGAGTGTTTGTACAATAATGAAAATTAAATGATGCTCGGCTGTAAGCATCGAAAATTCTAATAATTCTTAGAATTATGCAAGCATCGCTGATCCCCTATAGTATTATAAGAAAACTAAAAAAAAAATTAAAAATATTAAAATATAGAAAGTCGACGAATAAGCGACCAAATATAGAAATTAACAATTTCATAAAATTAATTCCCAACAATTTTTTTTACAAATATTTGTAATAATAATTATTTTTATTTATTAGTACAAATTGCAATAATTCTTGATAAATACGAGATTTTCCTTCCCTATCGATATTTTGCACTATAATTTAATATTTTACAAAACTTTCGCAAATCATAGGGTTCGCAAATTCAGATTCTAAATTTACTTGATTAATTTGACAAAGTTTAAGGGAAAATAAAGGGAAAATAAGAACCTAAATGGTCTAAATGAACACAAATTAATTAAAGCATGAGATTTCTTAGAAATTAAAATGAATTATTAAAATATTACAGACAACTCGTCGTTTGACCTGATTCTTTTCAAATAATCCAATAAATAATCGAATTGCTTTAATTTGTATTTTTTTAAAAAATTATTTTATACATGGTAGTGCTAAAGAAAGTGAAAAAAAAGAAAGGAAATCATTAAAGAAAATTCCTATGGATTTAGGAAAGAAACAGAAATATAGCGAATGCCACGAGTCGTTGGCAGGCCTTCATGTAAATGTGTAAGGCGTCCAGGAAACATAGCCGCATAACCTGAATTATAAACTTTCTAAAAAATTTAAATTAAAGTCGATTTAATAGCAACTTTGGTTGTCTACTGAAATCATCCAAAAAATCTCATTCGAGATTTCACCAAGATTCACAGTTACAGTAAAGGCATGAATGGTTAGCAGCACAGATAACTACGTTGAAAATCAGTGATTCCTATTTTCGCTTTTTATTCGACAGGAATAAGCCTATTATTATTAAGAAATCCGAGTGTTGCTGGCGATCCACCTACATTTCTATTGCCAACGCTTCTAACAGCTGCTACCACTTACTTAAGGAAATACACAACAAAGATGTGCAGTTACATATGGGATCCTTTTTTTACCTCCACAGTTTGATGAAATATTACGAAAACTTTGTAAATTATCTTGATGGACGAACGACAAGTCGAAATAGTAAAAAAATTTTGAACACTAACCTACACGATCAGCAGCAACTGTACAATTATATCGTACATAAAATATTCCACCACCTTCATAGTCTCTACCACGCTTATTGAGAGAAATATCAATAGTGTATGTTGATGCATCGTGATGTGGTCTCAGTGATGGCTGTTCACCGGGTTTATAACGAACCACGAACATCATATTCGCATAAACTGGCTGAAATCTACTGTAAAGTTGTAATTGGTAAGACTAAGGCATAGCCAGAGTTCAAATCACTATATTACTGGTACATGCCTATATTTCTGTCTCTGCGTTGTTCTTAAATGAAAGGGTTTTAGTAGAGTCAATAAATTTTTTTTTTAAGAGTTCTCATTATTGGTTAAACTCGCTCCACTGGCTTGTCACATTGAGCAATATGCCAGGGAGTTCCTTTGGCGATAGAAATACAGGTGAGTCGCCAGAATCACCTGAATTTTTATATAAGTTTACTCCTGCGGGGAATCGAACCTCAGCATCAGCGCTCCAAATTGAGCAATAACCCACTAAGCCATTATCTCCAATGACTTTTTATTATCATCATTGTGCTCTCAAAAATTACTCGTTGATAGTATCCAAGAAATATTTTCTCCTGCATTGGACGTACATATTCATCCAAAAAAAAGAGCCACTGACGCTCAAAATCAATTTGTTTCATATGAATATCTATTGTTGGCACATTTTCATAGCCTCCGGCAATCCGATCATCCTGAAAGAATTTTCGGCACTTTAAATTTAAATTTATTTTATTGATGCAGTGGAAAATATTTCAAATCTGATAAGATCTGATAAGGCTTCATTGCCAAAGTAGGATATTTTATAGCCTTAAAATAAAATTTGTTAAATATTAATGATTTGTTAAATATTGAATATTGTTATATCTAAATTTTGATTTTGGTAAAAAACCTTATTTGATCCAGAAGACCATTTTCCATAATGTTCCATTTCTTCAATAAGTTCTTGTGCAAAAGCATCTGATAATAGGGGATAAATATAAACATCAGGACAAGGCTCATCAATATCTATTGTTCCATTAATAGCTCCAAAGTAATCACGATGTACATATTTCTTTTCCCATAGCTAAAAAAATATATCGTTCTTCATCTTTTTTTTAAACAGCTCTCACCATTAGTGGTTAGGCTGGCTCCGCTGGCTACAAGAGTACGTCTTCAAGCTATTCGGTCTGACATTAATCACTGGCTATCACTGGCATTAATTATAAGCCATTCCTTTTTCTATCATCTAAGTCCATATATTGCTGGCCCATTTATATATATTTCCTGTCAATTTGTGTCTTGATTGAACCATCTCGCTTTTGATGCCACTCACCATAGAGTTTAGCAAGTTATGAAATATGTGTCAACTCTTATGGTAAGTGCCTTAACCAGATGGCGTTCTATGATGGTATTGTTAATGGAAGTGATATTTGAGTGAAAGTGGATGCAATTATATGATTTTGTCAGCTCAGGACCACCCTGTAAGATGCACCTTAGACATAACTAGTCAAGGACAGATGTCTTTTAAATATCCTCCACTCCCATTGGCCACATCTCGCAGCCATATAGCAAGATCGAACGAACTGCGGCTATATAGACGCTCACTTTCGTTTTATTTACATTTACATTCCGATTTTCAGTAGTAGTCGACATTAATATTATTTGATATTATTTGCATTTCTCATAACTGTCAGCAAAAAGGACTACGTTAGCATATTCAAGATCTTTGATACTATGCTCTAAATTGATTTATACATCTCTTGTCGATAAGCGATGTCCATTATCCAGTCTATCGCATAAGTGATTGTTGTAGGGGAGAAGATAACAGTTTTTTCGAAAGAATCTCCTCCATATACACCCATATATACAGACTTGTGCTAATGTACGGTGATAAAATGCCTTTATGATCTGAATGATCTCTGGAACACCGATATTTCATCACCCTCCAAAGCACCCTTCTATCAATTGAATTGAACGTTATTCTCAAGACCTTATCGCTCCAATAGCGATTTGTGCCTGGGCGTGTTGCAGTTGTTATAATTCTTCGAAGCCGATAGTCAGAATCTTTTGACATTCGTGCTTTGGCAGCCTTTTCAACTTCCGTACAGTTGCTTCCAATTTTAGCGCATTTCCTAATAGCATATCCTATTAAATTCGAAGTGGCTAACTTTTCGGAGATGTGTTTAGTCATGACCAGTACTCATCGTTCCAGAAAAGTCGTTGATATTTATATTATTGAGAGGCTTAAATAATTCGGTTTGAAAATTAAAACTCTTCGAATTTTTCAGTTTGAAATATTTGGAAGATATTGGAAAACGTTTTTTTTGCAAGTTGTCAGTTTTATACGGATATCGGATATTGCTCGAATTATGATTAAATCTATAAGGTTGTCCGTTTAGTGTCGCGATAGGAAAGACTGTCTAGTACGGAACCTTTCTAACGTCGATTGACTAGGATGTAGTCTGGTTGGAATTTTGGTTATCTGAGATATTCCACGTGACTATTGGTAAGAAAGAGCTCATAATGTTCGGCAAAACGAAGAAAACGTTCTCCATTGGCACATCGGACCTTTATGCCATATTTGCCAATCACCGAGTTTATCGCGATCTATGCGTGCATTCCAGTCTCCTATGATTAGGATCATGTCACTTTTCGGTTGAGATATTGCTAGAAAATGAAGTTCCGCATAGAACTTACGCGGTCATCTGCGCTTAAAGTTGGAGCATTCACATTGATAGCAGAAATATTGCTGAATTTTCCTCTGAAGCGTGCATAGGCTATGCGGTTGCTTACTGTCTTTCACTCAATCAGAGCGGACTGAGCTTTTTCAGATGACAATCGCTACCCCATTTCGCCCCAAGTTATTCGAAATGATGTAGCCAGTACCTCTGCTTGAAGCCAGATTTAATAACTGTATCCGAAGTGCGGAAGATGGTCTCCGGCAACATCTACACGACATAGAATGTGGATAGTGATCGCTTAGCTTGCAATGTCCATAAGTGACACTGTTACGCTACGTTCCACACTATTACGGCTAATCCTTCGCCGCATTCAGCGATCTGTTTCTCTTGACAGGTTTCGAGCAGGTATCATATTCTTAAGCCTTGAGGTTGCTTGACTACGCCCATATCGCATATACTACCGCGCTGGACTTATTAGACGTGTCAAGAAGACCTTTTAAAATAACTTATTGAACATATTGAACAACTTACATAACGATTCTTGAAAATTTGATACATTTCAGGATGGAGCCTTTTTTCACTATCAAACTCATCCGAATCCACCAAAAATCCATAATATTTCCGATTATCGACGAATAAAAAATGGCCCTTAAAAGAATTATTGTAGGAAGTGAAAGTTGTGGAAAAAAATTTCAGCCAAGAAAAAATGCAAGAAAGAATGAATTTTCTTCGGCAAAATAAAATCTTAAAAAAAGTACATTTTCGCGAGCGAACTGGCAAAAACTTATATCCGGATCCACACCAATATTATAATCATAAGCATCGAGCAAAGCATGCATCTGCAACTGAAGGATTATTTTAAATAATAGTGCAAATCTGCATGAATGATTTTTATGGAATGATTTTTAGTAATAAAATAAAATAATCCAGAAATTGAGACATAAAAAAAAAGTAGAAAATTGACCTTTTCCTTATTAATAAGGATAGCAGATGCAATATATGGAACATTCCAAACACCAATTCTTTTACGATATACTAATTCAATATAATCATCGGAGCGCGTGTAATATCCATTATCTCCCAAAGCACCCCAGAAGTTTGAAAATAATCGTTCTGGCATTTCGGCCATAGGAGCAATGATTCCTCTGGAAACGAAACCTTAATTTCGTAAGTAGAAAGAAGAACGCCAAGAGAACAACAGTTCAAAACATATTTTTTTTTAATATAACTTTCTTATAATATTAGAAATATAATTTCAATTGTAAATGTATTAAATTATTAATTAACTCCAAAGCAGTAATTATTTTTATTATTTATAACTATTAATAAAGATATCTATTCATATATGAATATTTTATGACATTTTTTATTATTATTGTTTGCATCACCAATTATTATTAATATCATTATTACTTCAAAAATTATTATTAAGAATCTGAATGCATTGCTTATTTTTGGTGTTTAATTTGACCAAGATTAAAGGAAAATGTGCAGAGTACCATTTATCAGTCTTTTAAAACAGTACTTAGGAGAGGCACAAGTAATAAGCTCATTCCAGTAGTTTGTTCCAGTAATGAATAATGGGGATAAAGAAAAGAGTTCTGAGTTGAATCAGATAGCCTCAGATAGCTATTACCATTAACTATTATTACTATCATTATTTATCAATTATTGTTGTTTATTGTTATTTATTATTTTCATTCATTGTTTATCATTTATATTCATTATTATCATTTATTTTTTAATAATATTATTAGATGTTCCATAGTTTATGTCATTAACTTTTCTCCACTGTTTTTTAGGATTACGTATGTTGTTAGCTGAGGGATTAATCACTTTAAAGCAAGCAAAACATACAGTTTGCGATGATCGCTAATTTTGATGAGTGATTGCAGAATGCTCTGATCCATGAAATGGATATCAGCATCAATTAGAAAAGCAAAGTCACTACCTGATTGCAGTGCGAGTTTGCTGAAAAAATAACATCAATTTCATCAATTTTCGAGATGATATTAACTTGTACGAAACAACATTTGCCAAAATGCTAAGATAGAATTAATAAAACATTTGCAGTTGTAAAATAATTTCCCGGAGAAAACCTAAGAAATAGTATAACTTCAATGGCCTCTTCAGTGGCCTCATTTATGCTTAAAATCTAATATTTATGCTTACGTGGGTTTTCGCTCCTTGCATTCGTACTCTATTAGTTAGTATAACAAGGCTAATGCGAGACAATGAAAATGATGTGCATTAACGAAAATATTTAAAATATTAGTGGTTGGAGTGGAGGAAATGGAGGAAACTAACATCGCTGTGCGTCGAGCTTCCCGCTCTCCAATATCTGTTTCAATATTATCAACATCCACGGAACGATATTCATATTTCACTCGTTTGGAAAATTGTTCAACCCGAAATATTTCTATTATTTATGGAAAAAATCCAAAGAGTCAATAAGTGACTTTATCACAACATTTTATTATTTTTTCTCTAAAACGTATCAAAATTAAAGTTAATAGACTCACGTGTTCCTTATTGTATATTTGATTATTATAGACGTAAAGAATAATCTTCGATTTTGGGTACGTGAGAGAAATTACAGAAATTAAAAATTCATCAACAAACGGTACTGGCTTTGCGATGAAAATTCCCAATGTTACCACTGGCCAATTATCTTTATCATTCGCCTGAATTTCAAAAGATTCATTTTGCGCGCTTTAATTTTTTTTATTGCTGGAAGTTTGTTTTGTTTCTAAACAGTTTGGGTAAAAATTTGAGAAGTGAACTCCCACATTTTTCCCTAGTTTGGCTCGCTAAAAGATCCTTTCGCCATGATAAAATTGACGAAATGAATGAAAATTAAATATGCCTTTATATCACCATTCGCGTAATTACTTTAAATTACCTTTAATCTTCCGTCGCCTAGAATATTGCAAGAAATACAACCATCAATATTGGACCAAAATTTTCCTATGTAATTACCCAAATTATTTAATTGCGCAATACTGTTTTCAGCCGCATTGATGATCAATGGATATGTATTATATAGGGTGTCATGCACCTAAAATTTGCAAATCGCGTAATCGCGTACACAGATTTCATAATTTTTCTTTTTCATAATGAAAATCTAAGCGTAATAACGAATAAAATAAATACTTAAAATAATATCCATTATTCTTCTTTTACCCTTCCCTTTTCACCTTTTTTTCAGTATAAGATTAAGAAAATTACTATAACATTACGTAAGCATATCCATTATCGTCAAATTCAACTGTTACTCCATCATTTCTGTCGATTATTTGAAAAATTCTCGTCGTTGAATCCAAACCAATTTTTAATATGTCCTAAAAAGAATTAAATAAAAAACGATTCGTCAAGATGTAAAATTCTTCCAATATTCTTAAATATTCTTATCGTAAGAAATCTAAAATTATATTCTATCTAAATCTAAAATTAATTTGTCCAAACTGCTGAATTTTCTCCAAATTTTCGGGAAAGTATATTTTCGTATATTTAGTATATTTTCCTAATTTTTATGATTAATCTTTTTTATGATTCCACTTTTCATTTATCCATCTACTAATGAAAGGAAAACAGAAATCGGATTTTCAAATTAAATACTGGAAAAACTGTGCCATTCGATTCTAAACAATATATAAAAATAATAGAAATATTTATTATAAAAGCGATTTTAACATCGCTAACTCTGAAATAGTTATCAGTATAGATGCTATTGTAAAAATTTTGTAAGTCGCTCATATCAGCGTTATCAATTTTTGAATTCAGCATACGCCATATATCGTTTGCATAGCCCAAATATATAGCACTATTAAGATATCTAAATTAATCACTTTCATCGTATAAAAATTTGGTAAAAGGAAGATCTATTATCTATTATAAAAAATAATAACATTCCTTTAATATTTTGTTCGAGCACCATTAATGAGATAAACTGAATGCACAGTTTTGGACTTCAATGAGAAATGAAATTACGTGAAGAATCCAATCAGTTTGCACTCATGAAAGGAGAAATAATTGAATCTTATTAAGTTTTTATCAGCGGAACGAAAATAATCACCTTTTTCCCGATTCCAGGATCGGACTCATTGAGCAATATTTAGTATTTTGGTAACAGTTTTTTTCAGCTGAGAATAAAATGTGGATATTGCTGAATGTCAATAAAAACCGTTTCGTAATTTGTTCTTTGTCGGCATTTATAATTGTATGATCTCTGAAAGATTAACAGTAAATAAGCCAAATAACGAAGATTTTTAGTTTATTGCTAATTAACAAAAACTATTGAAAGTACGCACATTTCTTAAAAGAATTAATAAAGAATGGCTTAAAAATTGGAAGACTAAGTTGCATCGTTAATTTTAATTTATTTACCTACGAAATACTTAATTAAAAGCTTTACTTTTATCTAAATAAAGTAATATTATAATTCGAAGTTAAAAAAATTGCATTATGTTTTGGAAGGGTTTCAGCGTTTCTTCCTAAAACCAGCAGAAAGTTTCAAGATCGATTGGTGTTGGTGACTCAATTTTATTTCTAGTCATGTAGTTTCCTGGAAAAAACTTCCAACTATATTAATAGTCAGCTAATTAAAAATAATCAGCGCTAACCACTTTTTTCCCAGAGTTAAGAAAATTTTAGCCAATTCGACATCATATAATAAAAAATATCAAATTATTCAAATTATTAATTTTTAAAAAATTATTAAAATTATTATTAAATTATAAATTATTAAAACCAACGGATCTACAACAACAATGATTTTATTTGCATCATTTTTGAATTTTTCGATTCCTTTCCTTAACGTCCTTAAATATTCGAGTGTATTCTGAAAATAAAACAATCATTTTTTATTTATTTAAATTAAAATTAAGCTAAGCGAAAAAACTTTTTGCCTCGGATTGAACAATTTAACGGCTTGCATATCGCATCCTCTAAAAATTTTTTTAAACATTTGAAGAGAATTAGGGTTTTAAGAAATTCAAAAAAATGTTAATGAATTAATTAATTATTATTATTAATTTTTAAATAAATAAATAATTATACTACCAAACGATCTGCATTCGTCTCTTCAACTTTGAATATATTCAAGTTTATACCGAAATTGTTTGATGAGTGTTTCAGTCTAAGTAAACCATCAGTTTCCCTAGTTGCAACCGTAACTACAATGAGATCGGCTGGATGCGCATCTATGAAGTTCGTTAATAGGAAAGTTAAGCAAAAACTCGCCAGAAACATTTGTCTTATCAGATTATTCATATCTACAAATTTATTAAATTTAAATTCAAGTTATGCCGGAAATTTAGAAAAGAACGCTTCATCTAACGACTGCACAGACATTTGGTTTAGGAAATGATCATTTGCATTAAAAATTTATACTTATACGTTGGTTTTCATGGCAAAACAAAAAAACAATAAAAATCTCTCTGCATTAAATCCGTTCGGTGGAACCATCTCCATCCCTTATTTTCTGCTCCTAAGTTTTGTCTGAAGGGTACCAACATCTATAGTGATGAATGGAGCCATTCAAACCAAAAATAGTGTTTTTAGAATAAGTTTGGCTAGACAGAGCGCAGAAGAACGGGGTCCTTCTCAAAACCTTGTCTTATTTAGCATTACCAAATCACACACAATCAAACTAGTTGAGTAAATTTATGTTGCAAATGCTAATAATATACAAAAAATAGAAAATCAGATTAAATGATTTAAAGTAAGCACAGAGTAGAAAGATAAAGCATTTATCAAAATAGCAACATGTATTGAGCAATAACTGCGTATTTGTTCGGATAAAGATTTCTGATAAGAAATTAAAAATACAACGAAATAAAATATGTACACTAAAAATATATTTAATGGCAGTTAGACAAATGGTCAAAGGATAGGCATGTGAAATAGTGGTATAGTGGCAGAATAAGAAGAAAGATGAATTAAAGTAATATCGCTAAAAATTAAAGGAAAAAAGCGAAGAAAATTTCAACGGGATTCATACAGTAAATTTAAATTTAAATAAGAAGAAATGACTTTAAATTACAATTTATTCCGCGACGGTTGATACGAAAAAAAATCAAATTCCGGGAAAATCACAAGCTTTTGACCCGCAAAATTTTTAAATTTTTAAAAAATAAAGCTACATAATGCAAATAATCAAAGAAACTTGTAATATAAAAATAAAGTTTAAATTTGGAATTTAAACTTTCTTTCAAATGACTATAAAAAAGGAAATGATCAGTCAAATCTTTCCTACTAATTCGAATTTTTTACTTCACTTTTTATGCTTCAATTTTATTCATTTAAAAGAATAATTCATCGGGAAAATGCGAAAATAGAGCTAAAAAACAGTATTTAAGGATTTACTTCGAAATTAAAGGTTATATATATATATTAAGTTTTGGTCGTAAAATAATATTGAATGTTAAAAATGTTTAGAATTATTTAAAAGCGACTCAAATTGAAAAGCGACTTATTGGCAGTACAATGAAAATACCTAAGGATTAATGAAAGAAACTGCAATATAACGTGTTCCGTTAGTAGTTGGAAGGCCCTCATGCAAATGAGTTAATCGACCCGGAAATATCAGTGAATATCCTGAAGAGATTTAATATTTTAACAAAAAAATTCTAAGAAATTGAAAAATAATTGAAAGTGAAAAATTACATTTCAGAGCAAATTTATATTTTCCACCGAGAAAAATTAAAATAGTAAATAAATGAAACCTCAAAAAGAAAAAATTCAACCAAACTTACCAACTCGATGAGCAGCGGCAGTGCAATTGTACCGAACAAATCGTACTCCACCACCTTGAAAATCTACTCCTTGCTTATTCAAGGCTACATCAATACTATAAGTTGAAGCATCGTGATGTGGTCTGAGGGAAGCCTGCTCATCAGGTTTATATCTCACTACAAACATCATGTGCGATTCAATGGGCTAAAATTACTATTGAAAAGTACTTTGGTACGATAAGTTATTTAAAGGCAGGAAATGAATAATTCATTTACATATACATTTTGCTTTGGAAGAAGAGGAAATTTGGATAACTCTTTTGGTGCAAAAAGTAAATCACAAAAAAGAATAAGAATAAAAAAAACAGTGGAAATTTAAGCTAACATTCAAAATTCACTCAATGCGCCTAGCGAGGATCTTATTTTCCTTTATACCTAATGCCTTTTAAATTCCCTAAAAATATAATATCTCCTCGAACCTGATGATAATAGCCGAGGAATAATTGTTCCTGTATAGGACGGACATACTCATCCAAAATATACAACCAGTGACGTTCAAAATCGATCTGATTCATATGGATGTCACGAGTGGGCACATTTTCGTAGCCTCCAGCTATACGATGATCCTGCAATGAAGTGAAAAAATGGCAAACAAATGTCACATCTTTCAATTTATCTTCTCAGAAAATATTATATTGATGTATAATACAAAAATATAAAGAAAAGTCAGAGGCTAAAGCTGACGAAGAGCTGATGAAGGTGGAGTACGATTTGTTCGGAGCTGAAGAGGAGAAATGACTGACCATATGAGTACCAGAAGACCATTGTCCGAAATGCTCCATTTCTTCGATTAATTCCAAACAAAATCGCTTCGACATAAAAGGGAAATCAAAAACATCGGGACATGGCTCATCAATAAATTCCTTACCCATCAAGATATCATCGTATTTTTCATGAATATATCTCGCTTCCCACAGCTGAAAGAAGATAAAATATTCTACCAATTAGTTGTTATGTTTTGAATAAGTGGAAAAACGTAATAAATTTTCTTACAGCTCGATTGTCAAATATTTGATACATTTCTGGATGTTGTTTAGAAGTATCAAAATTTTCGCTATTTACCAAGAATCCAACGTATTGCTGATTATCAATATAGAGAAAGTGACCCTTAAATAAAAAAAAAACACATTACTTTCAACCATTTCCTCTCTCTTACTTTCATAACTTTTGCAGGATATTACTACTTTTACTACTTTTTAAAAATCAGTATAACCCACAAATTAAACTAATTAAGGACTAACTGAGATTATCTCAGGAAATAAACGGTAAAAGGATAAGTTGCACCATTTTTAATAACAAACCAACGATGAAAAATCTTACAAAATCTCGTGCGTATTTGCAAAAACTCATATCCGCATCGATATTACTGTCGTAGTCATAAGCATTAACAAATGCTTTTAACTGAAATAAATAAAAATTTACAAATTTTAAAATTTTAGAATTGATTTGAAAGAAAAAAAAATCTTTAGCTGGAGAATTGTTGTTCGATTTCTTTCAGTGATTCGTCTAACACACCATTTTTGGTTCAGCTGGTTCCACTAATTATTAGGATGAAACTTCTTCGCTAGAGAGTCACTTGCGAACAGAACAAGTTTTCTCAACTCTAAAGCACCACCACGATTTCATTTTTAATTACAATTTACTTCCATGAAAACGGACGAATTGAACCTATGGTGATTATTATCAAGCTGGGATTAATTAATGAAAAAATGAAATAAAAAAAAACAAACATATATTTTTGATGAAAAATAAAAAAGACCTTATTTTTTGCCATCAGAAAAATAGAACTGATAAATGGCACATTCCAAAAGCCAACAATTTTGCGATTTACAATATCTAAATAATCAGCGGATCGAGCATAATAGCCAGTCTTCGACAATGCTCCCCAGAAATTAGTGAACAGTTTGTTCGGTTGAGCGACTAGCGGTGCAATAATATCTCTAAATATTTTCAGCTCAATTTTCAATTTCTTAAGATTTCTAACGGAAAAGCTAAAATGAATATTTTTTGATTCTGATTTTTCCTAATTAGTTGTTGAATATATAATTTGAAGGACTAATTCAATGGACGAAAAACGAAAAACCTCACAATTTTTGCGAAAAGGCTTTTTGGATTAAAAGTTGCAATAAATTCGGTTCAGTGATTTGTACATCGCCATCAAGCGTCACATAAAAATCACTTTGCCATTTTAATGCCAAATTGCTGAAATAAGAAGAAAAAACCAAAGTTAATTAAAGTAAATTAGAAATCTAATCAAAAAAATAAAATAAGCAGATAAAGCGATTACTTTATTTCTGTTGAAATTGCAAATATCTCGAAGATTTCTCCTAAAAACGGAATTTTTGGAAAAAAATTGGCGAAGATTGAGTCGAACTTACAGAGAATGAGTGCGGGCTTCCCGTTCCACCAAATCATCGCAGTTATTCACTTCGATTAACTTGTACTGATCTCGCAATTTTTCAATAAATTCATTTACCTAGAAAAATTGTCTTCATTCAAAATAGCACAATTTTTAAAATATATTTCACAGTACCATGAAATAGAGCACTGCTGAACTGAATTACGATTTTCTCACTGGAAATTATTCTATATTTCTATTTTCTTTACCTTCTTCTGCTCACTCACCGTTGCACTCACCATTCCTGGTTCAGCTCTAATGATTACCAAAATGAGATCCTTTCACCAAAGAAAAGCTTGCGAAGACTTAGAGATAAATTCTCAGAACTATCAGGAGTTCATTTTTTATGGCAAATTTCCTTCCAAGCAAGCAGTAAACAATGCTTGACCTCAGCCGAATTGAACATTTCTCTCAGCTATCCCGACTTTTGTTCCAAATTATTTTATTATTTGTACAAATGTTTTTTAATCCTGTCAGTGCAAAACGTCCAAAGAAAAAAATTATATGAAGAACAATAAAAATTGAAAAATTTTCAATAGCAAACCGTTATTTTATTATATTCTTGATTATTATAAAAATACAAGCAAACGCGACCAGGATATTGCAGTTTCTCCACTAATGATAAAAATTCGTCGATAAATGGGATAGGTTTAATAATAAATATGGATAGCAAAACTGTTGGCCATGAATTCATAGCTGAATCCTAAAAAATTTGAGACCCTAATGTTGAAAAAATCTAATGCATCTAATACATAAAAATCTTAAACAGTAATTAATATTAATAAAAATTAAATAAAAATGACTCGTGATAATGATAATAAAATAGTGATAAGCACAATAATAATAGTGATAATAATTATTAATTATAATAATTTTCATAATAATTACCAATTTTCATTAACTTTCACTTTCAATCTTTCTTTCGTATTGAAAAGTTATTTTAAAGTTTTCAATCCTTAAATCTAAAATAATAATAGAAGCTAATAACCATTAAATCAACAAAATTTTTTTGAGCTCCAATTCGCAATGACCGAGATTTCGCGATATAATTTCCAAGATAATTTAGAAAGATTTTACTTGGTCCATTACCGTGGACGATTACAGGATGTGTGTTATGAGCAGCATTGTAAACCTATAAGCAATCTTTATGATCTATTAAACACGAAATTATATTGGGCAAATCCTCTCAAATTCTGCTATACTCCCTTAAAATCCCTTTTATCTCTTCGAAATCGCCTCAGATTTGTTTACCCTCCTAAAATTCTATACAAAGTGCTTTTAAAATAAATTGGCTCAAATCATTTATAATTTCACAGAAATATATAATTTCACAGAAAATCTGTAAAGAAAATAAATGACCCGAGCATCACCACTATCGTCGAATTCAAGATCAATGTCCTCCTGAACACCGTTCAGATTTTGAAATATGATTGATAAGGAATCCAAAGTCATTTTGAGCGAAGTCTAGAAAAGTCTAATAGAAATATTAATTAATAATGCTTATTTCTTTATGATTTATAGAGTGCATTAGCATTTATTGTGCAGAGAACCTAATGATGAGAAGTTGTGCTGATTAAAGAACTGCAATAGAAATACTGACAGAAACCGGCTATGGATAAACACGAAGAAATCCACTTTTGGTCAATATTCAACTTACAAAGAAATATTCAAACAAAAAAGTTACCCGAAAATTTTCGTTTAAATAGATTTTAGTATAATAAAGTTGATCGTCATCATTATCTTTTATTAAACCAATATTGATTAATTTCCAAATTTCTGGTGCATAACCCATAAAAAGACCTGAATTAAGGTACCTAAAAGACATTATTTCAATTATTTAAAACAATTTGCAAATATTTTTAATAAATATTTCAGAAAAGTATGAAAAATATTAAAAATTTACGACTATTTTTTCGAGAATCAAATGTGAAAACCAATTTTCTAGCAAAACGGGAAATATAAAGAAAGTTAGGACCTTAAGAAAGTTAGAAAGTTAGAAAGTAAGAAAGTTAGTTAGAAAGTAAGTAAGAAAAAAGCACCTATATCCAAACGTGATTAGTGGATATTTTGCGGCTAACATTTTTTCTGGCCAACAATACGGCTCAGCAGAAAACAAAATTCTATAGTCGCCAAAATATTCGAAAAATTTAGTTAATATTTGAGAAGGATATTCATTGAAAATCACATCATATCTGAAATCTAATTATTTTTGGAAAAAAATTTTAAGATTATTTTAATTATTTATTTTACAGATTATTATTTTGTAAGATACAAAATGGTCTAAAATAAGAAATGAAAAATGAAAAATTGAAAAAATTTTTTTCTAAAAGATTTTCGATAAATCAAACACTTAAATCAGATAATCAGAAGAAACCAGATTGCATAAGTTTCCATTTCTGTTTCGACAAATTTTCCTAATCGCACTCCATTTTTTATTTATTTTATATTTTATACTTTTTCTATTTATATTTCTTCAAATTTTCTCGATGTGCTATTATTTCTAATTATTTTATATTAAATTATGTTATTTAAAATTAAGTTGATAATCACTCAAAATAAAAACGAACGCATCAACGAATAAAATAATCAGATCTTTACGATCTTTATATGGTTCCAGTGCTTTTCTTAAAATTTGTATTTTTTGACCGCCACCCTGCAATAAATAAAAATTTTTAAAATAATAAAAATTTTTCAAATAATAAAAAATTTTTTTAAAAGGAGTTAACCGATGCTTTATTATAGTTTGTCGGTGGTTATTAGCATACTCTGCCTTAATTTTCACCTAATAAATGGGCTTTATGAACCTGTTCAATACGAGTATCTCCTCCGGTCCATTTTTCACCAAGTCCATATACTTGAATTTCAATTCCAAATACATCTGCTGATTGTTTTAAACGTCGAAAGCCGTCAGTTTCATCGGTTGCAACTGTGACTACGATTAAAGAGGGAAATTTTTTGTCATTATTTTTGTCATTTATCGAAATAGTTCTGCCCAACAATATTACCATGCAAAGTACAAAGAAACATTCTTGCATGCACATATTTCGTCTTTTTCAATGAATATCTTAAAATATTTTGAGAAAAATTTAGCTTTTTTCAAAAAAAAATCGATGAATGGTTGGCCTTAAAATTTTGTTCGCAGTCTATAATATTAAACAAATATTAAACAAAATATAGGAAGAAAAAATATTTAAAAATTGAAAAAGATGTCGACAAATAATAGATTCCTCACTTATTTTATTTTTTTCGAAAGTCTCTTTTTATATTAACAAATTTTTATAAAAAAATTCGTGAAAAATAAATGATCGAAAATATTGGAATAATAAATATTTATTTCTATAAATAAAAAAACCCTTAGAAGATTGCAAGTTTCAAAAAAGTGTTCATTGAAGAGATATCAAATAAGCAAATATTTTAAAACAAATGCTTCTTCAAAAGATAACAACACTCGTCGACCTATTTGTACAATATTCTCCTTTTCTTATGTTTTGTTCCCTATATAATATTATTCAATCGAAAAATAGTCATCCATTAAACCTAATAAATAATGAGGAAATAAAATCGAATAATAATAGACATGTTTTGCGAAAATGCGTAATGAAAAAGCGAAATAGAGATAAAATGGCCGAGTAGTATTTTTAGACTAACCATCGTCATTAACTATCTCTCATTGGGTGGAAAATTAAAGTGGTACTCGTACTCGTGACTCTATCCCTAATGACTCTCTGGCGAAAAGGTCTCATCATAGCAGCTGAGTTAAGTTCGGCTGTCAGAGGACAAAAAAGACATCAAATTTAGTGAAGTTTAGTGAGATTTTAAGTTCGTAAATCACTTTATATACTTTGTAGGAAGCCTCGAACTATAAATAAAACAGAACTAAGTAATTATATTTAAATGTTGTTAATTTATTATAATGTTAAACATTGATAAACTCCAATTCTCCTAAATAAGCTTAATAAGCTAAAATAGCTACGACTCGAGCATTTGCTTCTTATCAATTGCCAGCCGAAAAAATTTCCTTTATCGATTATCAACTTTAAAAAATGAAAAACATTGATATTATTAAATAAATGAAAAAAAAGTGGGGAAAAACTTAGTGCAAAACTATGAATTAACAAATAACACATTGTTCTGCAAATAGAAATAATCAAATCTTTAAGAAACGATTTACGAAAAAAAAACGAATGAAACTCGAATAAATAAATAATGAACTCTTTTCAAAACATGCGTAAACTGAAAAAAATTTTCGACGAATTCAAAAATCAAAGAAACGAAAAGAGTTGTATTTTATCGAAGCGAAATAAACGAATGCCTAAACTTACCTAAAATATTTTGCAAAGAACTCAAAAAAAGGTAAATTGTATAGCGAAATTGGTAAAAAATAGCAAAAATAATGAAATCATGAAATGGCGATGATTTATTTAAACTCGAAAAGATTCAGCTAAAGATTTTCTTGAGAATTCGAATTAAAGAATTCGAATTCCTCTACAAATAGCACTTACAGTAGTATTTCTTGTTTGACTATTCTACTTACATTATTAGTATTTTTCATCAGAGAGCCATCTGCTAAGAGCACAGCTAAGGGAGATGCACTAACCAAATTTAATGACAGGTTCAATTAAGGACTAAACAGGAAACAAACATGCCTTAATGATCTTAATCAAAGCCATACCATCTGACTCTATAATCGCAATAAAAAATTAATCAAATCTTTATTTAATTAAATTAAAATTATACTTAATCAATCCACTTGTGGAAACAAAATATGTTCAGATGAATTATTATAATATGAAACTTGTAGATAAAACCAGTCTTTTTTTCGTTTTAAATTAAAAACATTAAAATTTATGCAAGTGAATTCGACCTTTCCAGTTGAGCATGGGCAGATCATTCTTCCGCAAAAAATCGTATGCGAAAATTGCAACACGTAAGAAGTAATTTAGAAATGTTTCTATTCGAGAAACAAGCGGAAGCACTGGTCGGCAGTTGACCATTCAGCTATCCTGCCCATAGTTTCAGAACAATATTATGCAGTTCTTCCTCGCTCGGTCCTTTTTTTGCACAGAATTAATTCCTTTTCAATCAAAAAATAAACGAATAAGGAATGAAAAGGACCAAGAAAATGAAAAATGAAAAATCGTTAACTTTCAACGACTTAATGTAATCTTATAAAACTTAAATTTGACGAAAAATAAACTTCGCTTGAAACGACATTCTCAACCCATTTTGAGGAGTTTTTGCTTAATTTTATAAGTAATTTATTAATAATAATTTTAGTCAATTTCTGCTTAATTTTTTTTTAAATATTTACCTTTATTTAATATAAGATGACTGTTGTCCTCTTTGATTTTTACCTAATAAATCGAGTGAAAGTTTTCTTTCAATTTTAGAAAACTTTAATTCGAATTATTATAAAAGAATGTATAAAAAAAATATAAAGAATATAAAAACAAAAAACAAATAGTACGAAATATTAACAAAATAATATTAAAAACAATGGAAAATAACAGAAATATATATTTGTGAAGAAACGAAAGAACGAAAAAAATACGAAAAAGGCGAAAATTTTATTTAAGATCGATAGCATAGGAACGAGCACATATGTGGATTGATTATTAAAGTTGAAGGAAGCAACAGCTGCACCTCGAACTCTTTTGTCGAGTCTTTCCGATGCATTTCTCGATGAAATACGAACGATCCTCAATTTATACTTTTCTCATTTGTTAGTCTTTTATTTTGTCTTCTCTTCCTTCATCTTCCATAATTTGTTTCTTTTTTCTTTTCCAGCAAACTTCCCTCCTTAATATAGAACATCTTAACATTTCTCCATACTCATTTGACCTTTAAATCCACGTTGACCTCGCTTCCTCTCTTTTACTTTCAATTTCAACACATGTTTTCTTTTAATGAGCTATAGAATTATAGAAAAATATTGTTAATCGTCAATATTCTCGATTAATGTGTTGAACATCGAATTTTTATAAATAAACCTATTGAGAAGAAAGCATCATTTATATTTGAAATCATTATTATTCTTCGTTTTAGAAAAAAAACTCGAAAGGATTAATTTGAAATAATTTATTTATGAGGAATGCAATGTATACTTTTATTTTATTAATTCGAATTGAAAAGACATAAAAGAAATAGAAATGAACATTTAATAATAAAAAAACAAGGAAAAAATTTCATGGAACTTGAAATCTTCATGAAACCTTCACTGCGCAAGGCAATGAAGGTTTGAAATAATTTTGAGTTGGTTATTGTGGAAATAAAAATTGTCTAAAGTTGAATAATAGACGGTTAAATCGAAATAAATTAGGACAAAAGATTTTAAAAGGTCCAGAAAATCGAAAAATCAGTTATTGGCCGCCAGTAACAACGACATCGAAAAATAGCAAAACGAATTTATTTTCAAATTTTTACGTAACTATTGGAGTTTAAATTTTTAAATTTAAATTTAAAGATTTTAATTTAATTTTTTAAATTTTTTTCTAAGTTAAATTTTACAAAAATAAAACAAAAATTTTGCAGGATCTTTTTTTGAGGAAAAAAGGAAAATTAAGCAATTAAAAAAAGGAAAAAGGAAAAATATTGCATAAGGAATTATGTATAAAACATTGCGTTGCATAAATTGATGAAAGACAGAAAAATTAATAAATGAGAGAATTCTCCCTGGGAAACCTAATTTTATATTTATGCTTTGTTATGAAAAGAATCGATCTATTGTAATATTCGCTTTCAGTTGATTAGAAAAAATAATTTTATTTTTGAATGGCTTAAAAGAAAAAGTTCAGCAAAACTTCGAGATTTGTTTTCATCTCGCAAACATCCAAATTACAATATGTGTAGCGAATGGCTCGAAAATTTTAGTTGTTGTCTCGGACCAGAGCAAAATTGTTACAGAAATTCTCGCTAGCGCTAAGGAACTACTTTTATTTCTATTCTCATGTGACTTCCTAACAAAATTACTAACAGTTTGTGGAGCGAATCTACTGGTGAGCACACTTATAAAACACTGAAAAACCGAAGATACAAACCGCAAGCAAAGAATGAACGAGGAGATATGCCAAAGAAATAAATAATAGAGCAAATGTGCACCAAGAAAAAAAATAATTAGATTGATTTGACAGTTTGTAAGAAAACATTGGTAGAAAAAAATTTATGTGGGCTGCAATAAATGAAAGTCACGGATTTCAGGGGTCCAATAAATAGTTTTTTGTTTTCTTTTATTTTAATATTATCGATGAAATATATATAAAAAAAGAGTGAAATATAGGAAAGAACTATTATGAGTTGCATCTTCTTTTTGAGCGAGGGTCTTTTTCAGATTAAAATGTATTTGAATTCTTCGGACGGGTTCGGATTTGCTTCGGATCCTTCTATTCCTAGTTGACTCTTTACAAAAGAGCCTCAGTCTAAGCAGAAATACAACATTTTTCAGGTGAGTCCAATTCCGACAAACCTGAAATGTCCAAATGAATATTCATTGTCAATTGTTTTTTCAGTATTGAATATTTATTTTTGTTACAGTTCCTTCTGAATTTATCTCATTCTTTATTTGGCATTTTGCGATTCACATTAGCTGAGTTTAAAAATTTAAAATTTCGATTCTTCATAAACTTTCGTTTCACATAATCCTCGTTTTTACAACAGATTGCTGCGGCACAATTCTTTTGCATTTCTAATTTTATCAAAAAGCATTTTGTTTGGGTAGATTGGTCCGATAAAAGACGCGAATATGAAGATGGGTATGTATGTTTATAATGTAAGGTACAGGCAATTTACACTATTTAAGCAAATAATTTTTAGTAATTTATCAAATTTTGTTCCAATATTTCAATAAAAATTCTGAAATCCTAAGTATTTTTTTTCATTTTTCCCATACGCGTTTCGGGTTGCAAAACTATATTTCATAAAATTATTTGCTAAATTTATTTATTTCGAAACAAGCAATTAGGAATATTAGAAAATACGATAAATTCATTTATATCGATTTTTACTTTATTATACGAATGGAAATAAAACGCCAATTAATCCACTCTTCATTGCTTGTGAATTTATTTTTTTTCGTAAAAATATTTTTTTCCTCCTTTTTTCCTGTCATTTCTAATTCAACTAACTTCATTTCCTTGTCAAAGACGTTACTTAATGATCGAAATGCTTGTGTAGCAATTGTTAAACTGAAATCCTAAGCTAAAATTAAATTGGCTTCGTGTTGTGATAAGAAAGCCGAGAAAATATTAGTTTCAATGGGCAATACCAATAACGAAAGCGTATATAGTGTTGATTTTTTTTAGATTTCTGTATTCAATGGACGATATCCAGAAATTTTGTTTTCGCCTTCCCAAGTGTGTGAGTTTTATATTCATTTTTTTCTTAACTATAGTCCAATGATTTATTGACCTATGATAAAAATAAAGCTCACTGGTTAGGATAGATCCGCTGGTTGTCAGTACGAGTACAGTTTTGTGGTTTTGTAGTTATTTGATTACGCAAATATTGAAGAGATCGCCCTATCGGCTTTTTTAATGATAGATTTATTCCTATCTGAGGCAGGATCCGAATCTTTGCCTACAATTAAATTTTGCCATGCAATCACTTGGCGGCATAAATGGATCGTCAACATCACTCTGGTTTACTCTCATCACTGCAATGTAAACCTTTACTTCACAGCGCGATAAGCTAAACCCCTACCATCTTGCTCCCCCGCTTCACGTATGATAGTGGCTTGTAGCAACAAAATATCCAGTAATTAAATTTTAGGAACTTCACGCACATTTAAATGGAAGTATAAGTATAAAAATTCTTGAAGAAATAGAAAATTCGCACAAAAAAAATGATGAAAATTATGAAAAATTGTTGAATAGTGATATGCTTTGTAAGATCAAAGAAACGAAAAGTATCGATGAGTTCGTTCTTTTATCTTTGTTTTTACTTTTTAAAATTATTTTTTTCATTTGGAAAAATAAGTTTGAGGCGTTTACACTCGCCTTTTAATCTTTTATAGAAATAAATCTTGTCTTTTAATTATATTTGATAATGGAACTCGTAATTTTAAATCACAAGTCATTAACACTTCCCAAATGCTTATAGAAGGAGAGCCACAAAATATGTGCAACTTAATGTGCAAAAGGAAACACCGTTATCTTTTTAAAATATTTCAGAATATTCAAATTATTTCCGATGATACAAAAAATAATGCAACAAAGGGAACATCTGATTTTGGTTTATTTACTTTAATAAATAATTTTATTCTTTTGTTCTTTCTAAGATGTAAAGAAATTTTATTTTTATTAAATTATTTTTTGATATTCTGGTTTCATGAAATTTGTATTTCGAAAGTTTTTTTTTAGCAAATATAAATCTTTAATAAATTTTATCATATTACTTTCATTCTTCGATAAAATTTCTAGAAAATTTACTTTTGAAGGCGACGAAAGAAGTGATAAGAGATTTTTCTGATGAAAACTGTATTTATTTGGAGTTACGAACGACTCCTAAAAATACTCAGTGGATGGATAAACGGGAATATGTTGCAGCGATTTTAGAAGGATTTCGTATATCTCAACTTCTTTATCCTAAAATTGTTGTTCGATTAATACTGAGTGTTGACAGAAAGCAAAGTATTGAAGATGCAAAGGATACGATTGAATTAGCACTGGAAATGAGTAGGTTTTTTTTTTTTTTTTTTTAAATCATAGTTCGTTGCAACGTTTATTGACAATGAATGGTGCTTATCGATAGGCTTTAGTCTTAGCTCTTCAATTTTTTTGAAAGTTTTTTAAAGGTTCGGTCAAAGATCCATTAGTGATTGGTGTTGAACTCAGTGGTGATCCAAGGATCGATGCAAGAAAATTTTTACCTTTATTTTCCAGTGCAAATGAGCGAGGCTTATCAATCATTTTCCATCTTGCCGAAGTAAAATTTTGTAAAAAATTTTACCAAAAAATGCGTTTAGAGATAATCATTTTTTGTTATCACCATTTTTATTGTATTTACCATTTTAATTTATTTTTTCGTAGATGAGGGAGCATCTCGATGAATTATATGACTGCCTTTTATGCAAACCTAGTCGCATCGGACATGGAACATATATTCATACAAACACGGATAAAAATGGACAAAACTTATGTTTAGAATATGTTACTAAACATAGAATACCAATCGGTTAGAAGGCCGTTTAATTCTATCAGATTCTATTTCATAAATAAAGTAAAGTCGCAAGTATTTTCATTTTAAGTATTAATTTTTAAAATTTAGTCAATGGAAGTTTAATTGAAAAATCTTTTGACGAAAGCAGATTTTGCAAGATTTTTGTTTTTTTCGATCACTTAATCGTTTAAATAAAAAAATTCAGAAATCTGTTTAACATCGAATTCAATTTGCAATACAAATTCTTACAAAGAAAGTCATCTTAATTACTATCTTATGAACAATCATCCCTTTGTATTATGTGTGAGTTTTATTTTTAGTAGTTTTTTAATTTTTGGTCTTTAGCATTTAATAATTCTGCGATTAGGAAAGGGGTTGCTTGATTTTTGCATCGATTATCACGAAGCGCTATGGACTTGCCTCCTATAAGGATAAATTTATCATCAAAAAATCAGAATGGTGAACTATTTGTATTACCGCTATAGCCAAGTGATACTCCCTGTCAAGAATTTCTTATCATATCAATAGCCAATGGAACCTAACCAGAAATGAACTCTAATCAGCTTATTTCTGCTTATTTTCTTAAATTCTATGATTGTGTTTGATCTAAGTAAAATTCTTCTTAATTTTTATATTTTAAATTAAATTGTTTATTTTCAGACTGATGATCGTGGCTTAATGAACTGTACGCTTTCTGGCGAATATATTATAGCTTCTGAAACATTTGGTTTATCACGTCAAAAGCTTTTTAATATTGCTGTTGAATCATTCAAGTCTTCACTTGTTCATAAGATTGGCTCAAAAAGCCTCATTGATTCGATTTTTGCAAAATTTATTCAGTTTGCTGAGCGAGAAAACTTATTATTATAGCTTATGACTTATGTCAGGAATAAATTTTCAGTTCAATTTTGTTTTTTGCAATATGCAATTTGCATCGTTTTATCACCCTTAAATAAAACTTAATAGAATCCGTTGTTCAGTTGTTATTCGAAGATTTATGAAATTATCCGATAAAATGTGAAATTTTAATAATTTAAAAATATTTATAAATATTTGCATATTCGTTCTTATTTCGATAATCGCCTTCGATTCTGGCACTCCGATTCGAAAGGAGTTGAATGAGGGTAATGCTGGATAGTGTAATCCACTCATATCGAAATTTAGCTCCTTAGACTAGATTTTCCATTGTACCAACAGATAACAACAGATAAAGAAGCGAATTTAACCAGCGTTATCTACTTGTTTTTTAGAATATTCTGTTCTCGATTTTTTTTCCAATTTTTTATTTTCCAAATGTCGACGAGTTCTTGAAATCGTGGAAAACAACTTTGTTTTAATAAGTTTAAAACGGATAAACTGAACAACTGATAATAAATGGTCCATTTTTTCATTAAAATTATAGTGCAGAGGAATCGTAATTATTTCTTTCGAGATTTCATTAAATCCTTTCAGGAAATTGAAATTTCCACAAATAAAAAAATTTTTTCTTATTCTTCATTTACGAATCCACTTTATACAAATTTTTTTACAAATTTTTACTTTTCAAACAGCTTACTTTTCAAAGGCAATTGATGTGACTGAGTTTAAAAACACTAAATTAAATTATAAGTCTACATAAACTGGAAGAAGTAAACTTGCATTAAAAATGGAATCCCTAAAATGTTGAGAACCTACTTTTATGCCTAATTGATTCTCTCGTAAAAATATCGCTCTAGTTGATGGAAATTAAGATAGACAGGATTGTTATGCTGCTTGCACTTGATTGCTAGATTCTTGGCCTTGAATAAACCTTGTCATTAAATAGAGAATACTTTTAAAACAACTATTCAAGCATTAATAGACAAGAAGCTAAGATCGTATATAATCAATGAGACTTTTAGACATAAAAAGTTAAGCCTTTGGCATTAATGGCCAATATAAACCTCTTAAAATAAATTATTAAATTATTAATAAATTAATAAACTGACTATTAATAATTATTAACTATTAATAAATTATTTTTTTCGGTGAATTACTGAAAATATTATTTATTTTTAAAAAATATTTTTTAATTATTAAAATATTTTTCCTTGACCTTTAGAAACCTCAAGAAAAAGTAAACTCGTCATTAAAAAGATTCGGTTGCTGCTAACGACCTAACTGTGCTTCAATTATCACCAAGTGACTCCATGGATTTTTTATTTTGTTAACAGTCATATTTGGCTTCAAAACTGGATAAATTTCGAACAAATACATCACTGAATATGTAAGTTCGGAAACCAAGGTAACCAACTGCATTGAAAGATATGGCTTTACAATTAATTTAGCGAAATTGATGAATAATATGATTTGACCATTAAAGGAAACTAACCAGGTGTGCATAGTCAGTTATTATTGCCCTTTATTTCGATTTATACGGAACTATCATCAATAGACTATTCTTTCCATATTAAATCCTGCAATTTAATTATATTTTTAAAAAAATGCAATAATTGCAATATGTTTTATATCCTTTTATGTGCTCCTATGATCATTATTCATAAAAAAAGCCGATGGAATATAATTTACTACCACAATAACGAGTAATCAAGTAAAAAAAGAAGTGAGCTCATGAAATAAATAAAAAAATGAAATTATAATAGAAGAATTCCAGTGAATAATTTCAATTCATTTCTGCATTTTAACATGCGTTTTAGGATATATTTCTGGAAAAAAGTATCTTCATTAAATTGTTTCTTATCGGTTATCAGGAATCGGTTATTATCTTTTTTTTTCTTCTTTTTTGTAAAGAATTTTGAACAGTTTTTGTGTAAAAGTTGGAATAGAATAATTTTTGTAAATTAGCATCTTCTCTTCCTCTTCTTCTAACTCTCACCATTACTGCCACCATAGGCTGGCTCCAACGGCTACAAAGGTAAGATGCTTCCAAGCAGCGCGGTCTGATGCCATCGTCCGCAGTAATAGAAGCCAGTCCTTTTTCCTTCTTCTAAGTCCATATATTGCTGGTCCACCTATACGTTCAAAATCTTTTCTCACCGTATCAGTCCAAGTCTTGATTGGCCCACCTCGCTTTTGACGCCATCCATCACACGGTTTAGCAAGTAACGAAATATGCGACAACTCTTGTGGTGGACGACGGAGAATTAACCATCGAAGACGACGCTCTGTAATAACATTATTAATGTAAGTGGTATTTGAATGAAGATGGATGCGATCATGTTATATTTTATCTTATATTTTATCCGCTCGACGGACTCGTAAAATGTACCTTAGACAAGAGTGGTCAATGGTAGATAGCTTCTTAATATCCTCCACTCTCATTGGCCATGTCCATGTCACCTTTTCTATATTCAATGAATGTTCAACTAACATTTTTATCAATTTTATAAATATATCCTGTCATTGTTTCTGTTGAAATAAGAGATGTTCTATTATGAGTTCGGGTAGACCGCTATATTCTGAATGAATAGAGGAAAATAATTCTAATGATTTAATGGCAATCGGTAAAATTGACGTTCCACTGTTTGAAAAATATGTCAATTATTTTGATTGGTAAAAATTTTGATCAAGGTTGGAGGATGATTAGAACGACACAATTTTCCAATAATCATTCACAAAAAGAAGTATTTTTGATAATTTATTTAATAATCTTGGAAGTTTTTGATTGGACCCCCCTGGCAGTGAATTAGTAAAGACAGTTATTAAACAGTACATGTATGGCGAATTTTCCGGAATAATTATGGTTTTTTTTCTTTTTATTCCATTGAGACCATTTCGCTAAAATGAGTCAAGAAAAATGGGATTAGTGTGGTGTTCAAGTGGGTGCTACTGTGGGTTCACCTATATTTCTATCCTCTACCTGAATAAGTTTGTCCTCGATGAAGAGTCATAGATGAAGAGTTATTACCCTGGTGATCAATGAGTGTGAGCGTTGTTGAAAAAAAAAAACGTAATTGTAACAGTTCTTGAAGCAGATTTATTGGATTTTTATATTTAGCTTATATTGGGCCTAAACTTTGAAATAATTGAATAATTATCATATCCACTTTATCTTTATAGCGAGTTTTCATTTCATTTTCAGATAATATTAATCTTTTCATGTCATATGGAGCTTGTTATCGGAGCATTTGTGGCTTTTGTTGCATTTTTTCTTTGCACCAGAATATTCGGCAATGTAAACAAAATATTTTTTAAATTATCATAAAGATCACTATTTATTGCAAAAGTATTGATATTTAATAAATCGGAGGAATTAGCGAAATTATCGTCTCGAGCACCAGAGCTTGGATCCTTCGACAAGAATGAACTTAAAAAATTCACATATGTTGGTGAGGATCCATCTACGCTTCCATCCACAAGTGATAAATAAATAGCTGAAAATTTTCTTACTAAATAAATATCATTCTTAAATTCTTAAAAATTCTTTTTTTCTTAAAAATTGACAATTTCTTTTCTTAAAAATTTTTCGTTTTATTTTGTTTCGAAGTAACTTTGGCTATTCTTCTAAATTTTTCTATTACTTCTAAAGGGAAATATTATCAGTCTTTTCTAAGGACTAATTTTCTTAGAAAAAAAGTTTGTCCTTGGAAAGACCACAATTCGTGAAATTCAGATTCCTTTCTTTGTGCATACCAGGTGATGTCTATTAACTGTGGTGACACACATCATGATTTATGTAATTCATCCATCCTCATCATGTACACATCACTAATAATCAAACAAACCCAAGGTCAAGAATATTTTTTATTGAATTTTAATTTTTTCAATAATGGTTTAAATAAGAATTAGAAATTGCAGGATTTTTTTTAAAACCATTTATTATCACTGATTCACTTAAATTGATCTCAAACGCCAATTTTCAAATTTTGTTCCTTGATGAAAGTGAATCTAAAAGGAAAGTTTGTCTGCTGCCCTCCAACCTTTTGTCTCCATTAGTGCAACTGAACGCTTCTTAAACAATTCTTTAAATCGGCTAAAGAAGCAGTTTTTTAAATGGGTTTTTCAGAAAAGAATTCAGAAACCTCGCGAAAACTAATAATTACTTTTCTTCAGTGTTAAAGATTGAATTAATGAATGATTAATGCAGCTCGTTGTTTCTTTTATTGTTGATTTGAGTGATGATTTTCTTCGCGATTGAACGAATTAATTTATAACTGTGACCCTCTTAAATGGCGAGTTTAAGGGAGGGGATTATTCCTACCGGAAATGCTTATTAGTGAAGGCTGGTTCCAGGTGACAATAAACTGTGACCTTAATATGATTGGCTATTTATATAAGCACCACCTTTGTCCACTCCCCTTTTCAACCACCTATTTTGCATTTTTCGCCCTGCTAAATTTCTCTCTATTTAATATTTGATTAATCTTTTTCAAACTCGGTTAACTATTAGTTTCATTCTTTGAAATCAAATGGATTTGATACTTATCATTTATTGTTGCTTATCACTTCATCTATCACATTTCCTATAAATATTTTGAAAGGATTTCGTGAAATATGAAGAATTTTCCTCTCATCATTATAAAATATTAGTTCCAGAAAAAAGTTCTGAAACTTGTTAATTATAAATTTTCCCAAATCGCAGATCAGAGATTTTTTTGTTATGAAAATTTTTAATGTGAAACAAAAAAGCATTTATTTGTATTGATTACGGTCAACCATCCATTTATTTCTTTCATTTTAAAAATGGTATCAACCATTTAGGACAAATAAACAGAACAAATGAAGCAACAAACGCCACCTGCTTATGGGATACCAAATTCCAGTGTGATAACCTTTGACCACAAGCTAGCTTTATATAAAGCAATTTAACTTATCCAGTTTAATTTAAATTCGTTTTGACCAAAGCGAAAAAATCGTTGCTTATAAAATTTTTCAGTCTTTCTTATATCTAATTCTTCTTTCATTAATATCAAATAGTATTTATTACTGATTAGGTTGGCTGGATTCACTGATACACGGCTAAGGCATTTCCAAGTTTTATGACTCGAAGTCTTATCTGAATTTGTGATCCATAATTAAAATCGTTATTATTTTGATTTAAATTTAGTACATATGAAAATTTTATCTTCAAAAAAAATGATTTGCAATAATTTCATCTAATTCTACAAATTATTTTTGATTAAACAATGTTTACATGGTAAATTCATTGTTGCAAAATCGCCTATGCATGAACGAACATTTTGAAGTGAATCTGACAATGAACATTAATTTATGATTGGAATGAATATGCATGTTTACATTTGGGCGACGGTGATAATTTGTTGTCGTATCGTCGTCCGTCGCTCATTGAGAAATATTTCTTTAGCTAAAGAGATTTAGAAATGTACCCCGGAGGCAATGTTATGAAAATATGCGAGAAAAGAATGATTTTTAATATTTTAACGATTGTGATCTAAATTAGGCGATACGGTCGAAAATTGTGCTTCAGGCAAATTTGTAACAGTTTTCAGATTTCTTGGAATGAAATATGTTTTATTTATTATATTATTCGAGTTTTTCGTCATGGTTTTCACATTCACCGAGCGGCAACTATATTTTCAAATTGTTGAAGGTATGTAATTCCCTTATATTCATATTTTTTTCGAACTTATATATGTCTATCATCTTTTTTTTTCAATTTTCCTATTCTACTTTCTACTTTACATATTCCTTTTTCTTTTTGGTTCAATTTTAATATTTTATTTTGTTTTTAATTTTGCCATTGACGTTTTTTGTTTGTTTGATGGAAATTCTCGTAGTAATTTAGATTCACTGATGCACTGAAATATAATACTTTCTCAGGCTTATTCTACTGATCGGTCATTTTCATTTATCCCTCTCTTCTGACATTATTCACTGTGAAATTTATTAAGTGAACGATAAATTAGAACGAATCCGAATGAATTGCTGTTTTTCTATGTATTTACTTGTGAAAATATTTAAATGATGAAATTGCAAAATTTTCTCAAAATATTTCAACTGAATTAAAAATTGTTCCAGCGGTCGATTAATTATTTTGAAGAAATTTAAAAACTGCGATTTATGAAAAACAAGTCGAAATTTTATTTATTTTAGTGTTCCCATTGCCTTATCCATTTATCTCCATTAATCATTCAATAATTTTCATTCAAAAATTCTTTGACTAATATAATCGAAAAGAGTTATCTAAAGAGAGAATCCTGAAAATTATAAAAATAGGCCTTTAAGTCGGAAAAATATACTATTTAACAGATAACTATTTATGTCGGTTTATTTTTGGCTCTTATTACATATTTCTTTTTTTACGAGCATTGCTCGATTATTGCGTTGAAAGGTAAGAAAGACTATCTTCTGCACAGAAATATTTAAAAATTCAATTGGTGTTGGCGACATAATTACATTTTCAGCCAAATGGCTTTTTGGCACAAATTTCTAATCGTACTAGCCGTCATCCACCTTAAAAAAAGGGTGTTAACCGATTCTAATTCCTCTTTTTTTACCGAATATAACATAATACGATTTATTTGTTTTGCACAAAAATTATTTCTGGTATTGCAATTTGTCACTTGCCAATGTCTATTATTTAAGGTGTGCCAGCAGGGACATTAATCGGTAAAATTCATCCCGAAGCTGGTGTGCGATATCGAATTAATGGCCGTTCGAACTATATCTCTTTCGATAGTGACACAGGTGAACTCCGGTCATCGGTCGTCCTTGATCGTGAACTAGTAGCACCAAATAATTCATTAGACATTGTTCTTGTTACACAGCCAGCTTCTATCATAAATATACATGTACAAATATTAGATATCAACGATAACGACCCGATCTTCCCATTGCCTTTTTTGGTAATCCACAATTTATTTTATCTTTTAAATATCACAAGTTGTTTTCATAAAGAAATTAACTCGTTTTGAAAATTTGTCATAAAATTATTTAATCCATTTTTTAAATTCATTTTTTTTTAAACCGATAACCGATAATTTTTAAAGAATATTTCAATTATTGAATCAGCAGCAATCGGCAGTCGTTATACTTTACAATCAGCCACTGATTTGGATTTCGGTGAAAATGGTACAATTGTCGAATATAAAATTGAGGTTTATAATTTCTATTCAGCAACAAAGAGCGTTTTTTCATGGATTTTTGCCTATTAACACTTAAATTTCTCTTAATTGTTTTCTTATTTATTTTTTTATTATTTATTTCCTAGAAAGGAATCGAGTTGAATGAATTTAACTGGAAATTGAAAAATTTTCAGAATTCACAATCATTTTTCAAATTAATTCATTTAAAAATTCCAAACAACAATGATTTATTATTCATTGAACTACTAAAAGAATTAGATCGAGAAACAAAGGATTTCCATGTGCTTAATATTTCAGCAACAGATGGCGGACAACCACCTCGGTAATAATTTTATGCCATTTTGCCAATTTATGTCTTTTTGGCCGCGCTTAAATTTTCATATTGGACAAAGAAGTGATTTTTTTTTAGATAATTGAATATTTTTTAATAATTTTGCATATTGCAGTTTTGGATACACAACAATTTTTATAAATGTACTAGATGCGAACGATAATGCTCCAGTTTTCGATAGATCTCATTATGATGTCGTCCTTAAGCATTTAGATAATCCCAGCGATCCGATTCTTTCAGTTTCTGCAATAGATTATGATACGGGCGATAATGCACGCATCACATATCGCATTTCCAATGATCAGCATAAGCAATTTCGTATTGATCAGAATAATGGGACAGTTTTCCTTCAAGTAATTCTCTTCTTTTGAATACCAGAAAATTTGCTAACAGCTTTTCAGAAAAGAATTTTTTTACAGTGTATTAAGTTAATCTTTAATATTTTAATCTTTGAAAAGGTTATCTGAGAGAAGCCTATCCGTGCTTACAGAAATCGAACCTCAACTGTTCAAGAACTGGTTGTCAAGAAAATTGTTCGAGAATGTGTGTTATAGCTATTGAAGCAGAAGATCATGGTTCGCCAAAATTGTCGAATCGAGCTTTTGTCAACATTTTGCTAAATGAAACAAACGATCATGATCCTGTGATTCGGTTTAGGTACTATTTACCTTTTCCTCCACATAAAAATTCTTCAGCTTACTACTAATCTATATTTTCTTCAAATGCAAAAAAACAGAAGATTATTAATAATATTAATAATATTGAAGTCGATTTTTTTATTTTCAGGATGTATCCACCAAATTTGGACTTCGCAGCTATAAATGAGATGGCTGCAATTGGTACGACGATCGCAATAGTTACAGTCACCGATGATGATTTCGATCAAGAATCTCGCGTTGAAATTATCGATGGCAATGAGGATGGATATTTCAAATTAGAAAGGGGCAAAAACTTTGCTATTCTACGCTTGAATCGTGCGTTAAATAAACAAATTGATCAATTTAAAATTCGATTCAAAGCTACAGATAATGGTGTTCCATGTCGATCGTCAGTTAGAGATCTTGAGGTGATATATTTTTGACGTTTTTGTCCATATTTATAACTTTTTATGACAGCAAATCTGATTTTCTCGTGTTTGAGGAAATCGCTAGTTTATTTCCTCATTCTAAATGCCTAATACTTCTTGGCTCGGAGACGCAGATAGCCAATAAGTCATTGGCTCAGAGTAAATCACCCACATTAAATAATACCAGAGACTTCAGTTATTTATCTGATGAGGTTTAATTAAGTAGAAATTGAATTGTATTCGCAATAGTTCGTACTGCGATAAAATTCTAATAAATCTAGCCATTTTTCAGTGATTGTCATTGAATGAATTTATGATTAGTAAGATTATTTAATAGGAATACTGATTGAAAATTCCTCTTGGTTTGGATCCACATTATCTTCAAAATTTACTAATTGATTTTTGGTACAAAAAATTCAATTTCCAATTAAAAATTTGCAAAAATTTTTCAGTAAAAGCGGAAAGATTTAGATGCAAAAAAATACAAATATCTTATCGTTTGCATCGCAGATACTTTGCACATTTTTATTCTTTTTAAGGTTTATATTTTATTTTATTTTTTTAAGGTTTATATTTTACGAGATAACGATCAAGCACCAAAATTAATGGAGGATATTATCGAAGCAAGTATTCCTGAAGACGCTATATTTGGGTCATTTGTAACCGTTGTTCGAATCAATGAATCGCCAGATAGAAGAGGGTTCTTATTCACAATCAAAGAAGACGAAGGCGTTGATGGTCTATTCAAAATTGGTCGATCATCAGGTAAATCACTTCGATGAAATCGACTGTAACAATAGTCCAATGAGCCGTTGGACTTCAATTATCCCAATAATGTCGAAAATATAGTGGAATTGTATAGAAATATTTGTCCACATAATTCATTATTTTTAGTTATTTCCAAGTCTTTAACAATTTTAACAATAGAATTAAAATTCGACTCGAAAATGAGCCTAAATCCACTTAAATCTGCAAATATCTATAGAAATTATATCCAACTTCTGAACTTCATCATGGAAGCCTTTTTGAGAATAAAGCGTAGGCCTATTTACAAGTTGGATGATATTATTGAAGACTATATAAGTATAAAATAAATCGTATATATCTATTTATCTATGAAATAGTCGATCCACTTCGCATATCCATTCATTGGCCAGAGATGATAAAATGAATATATGTTGCTAATTTGAACCCCATTTTTAAGTTCGATTACATTCAATAAATAAAATAAAATATAATAAACTTGAAAAAAAAAGAATTAAATTCTCTCGAGTGGCCGTTAAGGCGAGAAAAATTTTTCATTTCTCGAAAATTTTTCCTAAAAATTTCTAAATTTTAGGTTATATTAAGTTATTGGGCTAATTCAGGTATTGTTACGGTGGCAAAACAACTTGACAATCTAAAAAACATTTCAAAAATAACATTGACTGCAATCGTACGAAATGCGAGGCCTAATTTAAAAACAGCGAGCTGTACGATAAATATTAAAATAATCGATGTGAATAACCATTGGCCAACATTTGAACAGCAGATATATACTATAACGGTGCTTGAAAACACTCCTTTGCTTAGCGTCATCGGTACCATCAAGGCTATCGACTTGGTACAATGAAAATCATTTTTGGACTTTCAATATTTTTATTTTGATTGAATATTTAAATATATCTTAAAATTTATATAATGGAGGTTTACTTGAATTGATACTTAACTATTTCAAAATAAACAGGATAGAGGGAATAATGGGTTAATATCGTATTCGATGGCGAAGAATGGCGCTACCAAAGAGGTGTCAGTGAAAGAGAAAACCGGTGAGCTGGTTCTACGTCGTGTGCTCGATCGTGAACAACAATCTCAATATACCATTCGTGCTAAAGCTTGTGATCATGGAAATCCAGTGAAATGCAGTACGACTGATATCGTTATAAAAGTCTTAGTGAGCAGATACCAGCTTTTCAATTTTTTCAACATACTACGATTTATTTAAATATTTATTTGTTAAATCTCATTTTTTCGGCTTTTTTACCAACAATATCTATAGATAAGATGAGATACTCATGATAGATCATCGTTCAGGATATCAATGATAATGCGCCGAAATTTACATTGTCCGAATATTACGGTACCATTGGAAGAACTGATCTTCCGGGTACAAAAATTTGTCGAGTCCAAGCGATTGATTATGATGATGGAAAATATGGTGATGTCTACTATTTGCTATACGATTCACCAGCTGGCTTAATTGACATAGACAATTCGGGCTCTTTATATTTAACCTCGTATGTCGACAAATATGCGAAGCTAGAAGAATTTCGAGTATGTCCAGATCCTTATTTTGGTTATCAAAGAAGGCTGGCATAGAGAAGCATAAAGCTTATCATTATAGATAACAGTCGGTGCTAAGGATGGCGGTGATTTATTATCCTCAAATAATGCTTCCATATTTATTCGTATTACTAGTGAATCTCATGAATCTCATACGTTTCCTTCAATTTTCGGTGAAAATCAAAATTTGAAGGTCAAAGAGAATTCGCCGCCTGGCATTATTCTCAAAAAATTTTCTTTTCATACAAAAAATGTTTGTTTTTCTCATTTCTCTTTTTATACAGTTTATTAATACTAAGAGCTTGGAAATTCATTAGAGTCTTTACTTAGATCTTTGATCTTTACTTAGTTCAGCATGAAAAAATAATTTTTACATGCTTCTAGGGCATTTACTTCCATCCATTTGACTTTATTGAGTAGTATTATAGTATATAAAATATCAATGAATTATGAAGACTTCATTTTATTTTATTCATTCATCAATTCTAATCCTCAAGCTTATAGAATGATGTTCGATATCATATCGCTGATTCCACATTCTTGCAAATTGACCAATATTCGGGTGAATTACGAACTAAACAGTCGATTGATCGCGAAAAATTATATAACAACATATCCTTTACCGTATTCGCTTCGATAAAAAATTTTACGGCAACATACTCCGGCCATTTAATTGTTTTGGATGAGAATGATAATGCACCCCAATTTGAAATCGACAGCACCACAAAGCTAGTTATAAGGTCAGATACAATCGTTGGCAGTGAAATTCATCGATTCTTTGCAAAGGATGCCGATGAAGGAGAAAATGGTCGTATCGAATATTCCGTCGATTCCGATTTTTTTAATATAGATGCACAGACGGGTGTTCTCAGTCTTAGGAAATTCGTCGAGAATTTAGATCAAATTCAGTTTAAAGTTGTGGCTCGGGATCATGGCATCCCACCATTAAATGCATCAAGTAAAGTCACAGCTGTTATTGGAAAAAATGAAAATGTAAGTAGGCAAAGATTTTAATGTTTATTTGCAGATTAAAGTTTTTCATTGATTCTCTTATCAATTACAAAATTCACAAAACTCTAAAATTTATATTTTTCATAATTTAGGTTTATAGTTTCCCACCAAAGATGGTTTTTAAAGTATCTGAAGATGCTTCAGCGGGAACAATTATTGCAAATTTGATGCCCATAGATTTTGTTCAAAGCTGCATTCACGAATTCCGACCAATGGTAGAAAAAACATTAAATTCTTCTGTATGGATTCTCTCTTCTGGCCAAATATATTTGGAAGATAACGTCGATCGCGAAATTCAAGATAAATTCATAATTCCAGTAGATATTTTGACCAGAAAACACGGAATCGAATCGAAGCGAAAAACAATTATCATTGTTTATATCGACGTATGAAAATTCTTCCAACCAATTTTAATAGTTTATAATTAATAATCTATACGGAAATTTTGCATAACTAATTAACTGGTGCCTAAGTTATCAGCCCATTCATATCAATTGCTACAGGTGATTTGGTCAAATCACCTCAGATAAATTAGACGAATTCTTCCAGGGAATATCCATTGTCCAGAAAAAAGCAAGTCATCAAACTTATAATTATTGATGCATCCTTGATTCACTTATTTAACTAAAAGCTGCAGGATATCAATGATAACCTTCCGCAATGCCCCAATGACACTAAGTTTCATATCAAAGAAAATCAACCCCCGCTGAGTGTCATCGGTGCAATGAATGCAATCGACTATGACGAAGGAATCAACGGGACACTTTTTTACAGACTCAAAGAAAAAAGCGAATATTTCTTTATTGAATCAATTACAGGAATTGTTAGCCTTTTTTACTTTTGAAATACGCTAATAATTATTAATTTAAAATTTAAATTTTATAAACATCCACTTCAAATTTTTCCAAAATCTTAAGTGGTTCATTCTAAATGCAACAATTGAATCAAATTTAAAAATGGCTTTTTGTTGGGTTTATGAATGTGTAACTTGTTTTTAATGCAAAAGCTTTAATGCTCATTCGAGCTTCAGCTATGATTAGGAAAAAATTTTTTCTGCTAACGACACGCTACTGGGTTTACTAGCCGTCAGCCATTCTGCTAAGAGGGTTGCTTTGATATAAAAGTATAGATCGATCCGTTGCAACCACCCTGGTTCACTTTGACATGGCTCAGTAAAAAATTTATACGATTTCAGATCAAATCTCTAGTTGCATTCGATTTTGAATCGAAAAGCCTTTACTTTTTAACTATTGAAATTATTGATGGTGGTCATCTAAAAGCTGAGTGCCTAGTTGAAATTCGAATTGATGACGTAAATGATAATTATCCGGAAACAAAGACAGAATTTTATCATTTCCAAGCCGACTTTGGAAATTATCAAATTGGCCAAGTTATTGCCACTGATAAAGATCACGGTCAAAATGGAATCATACGCTACCATTTATCAAATATTGGTTTACCATTAAAGGTAGAATTCATAACTTGATTTGATGACAAATAAAAAATTATTCAATGCCAGAATTTAATTTGTTTAACGCACAATTAATGAAGGATTTCATTTGGCTTCACTGCCCCACAATATTTATTAGCATTTATTACTAGGAAAATAAGTTTTATTAAGAAATATTTTATGCAAAACAGTTATTAATTGATTCGTTGTTTCAGATTGATGAAATCAGTGGTGAAATAAGCCATAATGGAAATCTTAAAGCTGGGGAGGTTTATAACCTAACCGTGATAGCAAGTGACCAAGGCATACCTTCATTAGCCACCACAATATTAGTTTTTGTTCATGTTCCTGAAAGGCTTGATTGTATACCGGAGTTTAAGAAATTTCCAAAAACTCCTATTATAATCCCGGAAAATCAAGCAATTGGCTCGATGGTGGCAGAAATACAAGCAATCGCTTGCAGACAACATGTCAAATATTTTATTGCTGAGGGCAATCACCAGAATATATTTGAAATCGATCCTTACGATGGCATTCTTATATTAACCGGTTTTTTGTCCTTCGGAAACTCTAGTTTATATCACTTAGAAGTTGTAGCTGCAACATCGATCTCAAATTCGTCTTTTTTTCTTGATATAATTATATCAGATCCAATTATTGATTATCCTGTAATTGAGACAAATTTGATTCACATCCAGGTAATAAAATTTTCGGGAATTTCTTGCAGCTGAAACTTGAAGGAAACGAAATAAAATTTAAATATGTTTTTTCATTCTTTGATTGGTTAGGCTTATGATGGTTTTCTAGGCTATTTATTATTTACTTTACCATTTCACTGAGCTATTAACTTATTTTATATTTATCAAATTTAGGAAAACAATGAAGCCGGTAAGGTTTGTGGAAAAGTCCTTGTCACTGGTTTAGTGGATAAAAATCTTATCATTATGGAAATTATTCAACAGATCCCACATGGTCAAATTTTCCGGCTAGAAGATGAAAATTTGATTTGTGAAGATATCCTTGATCGTGAAACTGCAAATGAATATCAACTTTTTGTACGTGCTGCAAATAAACGGAAACGTGACCGAAAGATGGAAAAGTCGATAAAAATTATAATTGGTGACGAAAATGATAATCCTCCATTTTGCAAAGGCGTCGATAATTTTCTTATAAGTGATAAAGCATATAACATAGAATGGAATTGTTTCGATGTTGATGAAGGATTGAATTCATCGGTTGGATATTATATACCGGAAGAAAATGCCCCGTTTATTTCAGAATATTCCAGTAAACTCATTCGAATCCAACCTTTCGATGGAAAACCTCGGCATTTTTCAGCAATTATTTTTGACCGTTCAACAAAGCAGTAAGTATTTCGCCGTTCCTGTTTATCCGTAATTCAGTGGCGTGATTGCCAGAATTTCCTTCTTTTATAATTGAAAGATTGCTCTCAAAACTTGAAAATTTATCCAAAATTTATTTGTCCAAATTTATGAATTTATTATTTTTCTAAAACAAACTTTAGCTTGAAAAACTAATCATTCCAAAACTCTTTATTTCTTCAAAAATTTTTTGGAAAATTTTCAGCAATAATTTGAGCACCATGGACCACCTTCGACGGAGCATCGAGCGACGGTTCACAATAATTCCTCACAGACCATCAAGCAAAATTCGATTTGCACAGTCGAAAGATTTTTTCGAAATAGACTCTGAAACGCCATTGGGTTCTATTTTTGGTTCTGTAAGTGTCGAAACTAATTCCTCGCTTGAATATTTCATCACGAGTTTTCGTGAAAGAAACGTTGACGCATTACAGTTCATAGATATTGATAGGCGAACTGGTCAATTACGAGTTATCAGAAAACCGAACGCTTCTCAAGTTCAGATTGAAATAACAGTTGTTTCAGATGGTTTTACCAATTCTAAAACGGTAAGCATTTTTTTCTTCCATTATTCTAAGCTCATGGCCAAGCTTAATAGCCCTTCATTTGCCGTTATTTATGATTTACTCTACACTGATTATTAACGAATAAATCAGGACAGGCTAAAAATGGTTGTTGTTCCGATTGGGGTCAAGCATTGTAGATCAAGCATTCGCTATCTCTTAACAAACTTTTCCATGGAGTCATTTGGCAATAGAGCAGGTGGGGTGCACTAGTATCATCCGGTTTTACTCCTTTAGCGAAGAAGAGCAAACATGCCATGAGATATGTGCTGAACCCATCTATTTTTTGACCCCACTTCTCTGGCGACCTCATCCTAATAGCATGTTGGGGCATCCAAACCTGAAATGATATCCGTTCAATAAAACAGAGAAGTGGCTCTAGTGAAGAAAGTTTTTGGCAGTAATAGTTTTTTCTCTATTTAAAAAACGAAGCATTAGTTTATGCAGTGTAATTAATTATTTTTGGCTGAATAATCATTTCATTTCATCAGTGTCATCTTATTTTGCGGTAATTCACTTTTATTTGATGACAGGTGCGATGAATGAGCAGATGCATGATATATATGATCCATTAACTATTTAGTTATATCTGTGACGAGATAATTGTTTACGACCATCAAGAAAAATAGGCTCATTAACGCTGAACAGGTAGAATAGTTTAATGGTTTTGAATGGCCAATGAGACATAAAAGAACATTCGTCTCTGGAAAAAAAGGCCAATCAAATCACTTACGTCGGGCATCTTATACAATTGAACTTTGTTAAGTAAAGATAGCAATAATAATATTTTTTGTTAACCGAACAAAAGTATGCTCTGCACAATTAGTTTTCAATGATGTTGTAAACATTCCTATTTGAATTTGTCCGATCTAATTGACCTTGTCGACCTTTGCGGTCGTTACCATGTCAAACTTTTGCATTGTTAAAAATTTAACAATATTTTTCTAGAATTTCATCATAAAAAATGAGGGAATATGATACATATTTATAAAGAATTTTACATAGGGGCTTACATAGGGGTTATTATGGCTGAGTGGTATGTTGCTTCGACTATGTCAAATATCATGGACTCGATTATTATCTTCTAATGGATTGAAACGTTATTAGAAGTGAAATCCAGGTAATGAGAGTTCATCCTTGGCCCATCCGAGTAGTTGGTAAAGGCAAGTAAGCCAGAAACTGCATATGCCGTTAGAAGAACAAAAAGAAGCTTTGTTTCATAGTAATTTATCAATTTTTATATGTAATTGCTTTAAAAATTATTTTAAAGGAGAAAAAGCTTTCGTAAAAGATTACTGATACTGATGTGTGGAATTAACAGCTTATCAGAGCAAATTGTTAAAGCATTTATTACTGTAGAATTTCTGTATGTCTCGAAATAAATGCAAGGCCCCCATGAGCGCTACTGATTTTTTTTTTACAGTGCAGCTCTATAATTTTTTAAAAACCTTTTACAGATTACTATTACTGCCAATAACTTAAGCATCTTTTGGTTAGTTCATACCGATCATATATCACGTTTATTTATTTAAGACCATATTTGCTTCAACTGCTTGCATAAATGATATAAATAACATTATTTGTTTGACCTTTTCATCATGATCAATCAAACCATATTATTGTTTTTCATTCGGCGGCAAATCATTTTTGTCAGGATTATAGCTTAATGATAGAGAGTCTCACGTCGGATTTAATTTCATACAAATATTGTCACATAATCAGCTTATAATTATTCGTGAATATGAAGAAATTATGAAAAATTAAAAATTACAAATGCGGGATTAGGAAGGGCCAATGGTGATAATCTGAGCCACTGGCCGATAATTTTTTTTGTGAAAAGGCTCCATTTCACCATAATATTTTTAGGAATAACCGAAGCCCATTAAAAAATTTTTTATTGTAAAAATTTTGTGGTGATCCAAAAAAACAACTGGTAGCCTTTTTGAACTCATTTTTTGAAACTCATTTTTCTCAAAAATTTTTTGAAAAAAAGTTAAGGTTGATTAGCCATGGTTTCATTCTTTTAATAAGTCATATTATTTTCATATTATTTTTATTGTTTGGCCGATATTTAAATAATAATTTTTTTTAGCGATTTGTGGCTTTGCATTGTTAAAAACTGTTTTAATTCACTTGCGAATGAGTTTAATTGAGCAATAAAAGTAAGTGATGAGTAGCATTTGGTTTAAAAGAGATTTAAATTCCACGGAGTGGAAAGAGGGAGAATTTTAGGATTCAAATTTTTACGATTTAATCATTCCAAAATTATATTCACATGGGAAATGTCGTAAAAATCTTTTTTTTCACAACGATTACCCGAATCGAGTAATTAATTCAGCCATTTCAAATATCATAATTACGAAATAATTTAGTGAATTTTGCAAATAAATGAAACAATTTAGAAATTTATGTTGAGTTATTACTAGTTGAATCAATGCTCATTTTTTATTTATCAATTTTTTAGCGACTTGGAGTTAAAGCTAGTTTGGACAAACTATGCTTACTTCTTCTATAATTTTATTAGAATAGATAAGTGGTTGTAACTTAAATTGCAATCTCGTCAAAGCTCGGGTCTCGACACGAGTAAGCTTGTCACCAAAAATCCGGGTACTGCAGGGGTTCAATTTCTATCTCCAAGAAATTTTTTGACAGAAGTTTTCATTATATCAGCAGCCAATGAAATGAGTTTAATCAGAAATGCTGACCACTTCTTTAATAAATTTAGTCAACTGTTTAGCCAGCAGCACCTTTGCAAGGATGATTAAAGTGCATTAGAAAACTTTTTTTTTGGCTAATTTGAACGATTTCATTTTTCATTTCCTGAACCGAAAAATTGCTTAGAATTTGAGAGATGTCTGTGTATTCTATTTTATATCTATATATTCTATATTCCATTTCGATACTTGAAAGGTGTCCTTCGAATTTTCTGCATTTCTTGATAATAAACTGGGGAACGGTTATATCGTAATATATATCTCTATGCTTTAGATGCGCAGCCAGGCGGATATAAGCTTGCCTTTCGGCATTATTAGGATTATTTTAACAATCATGGTGCTTGAGGTGCGCATATAAGCAATGCACAGTCACTAAACTGCACTTAGGCCGATAAGCTTATCTTCTGAAAAACGATCAAATCGGCATACGATTCTTTTGCACCGCAACATTTATGGTTTTTTTATTTATAGTTGCAATATTTCACAATATTTCACAGCATTTATTTATATTTTATAAAGAAATCAAACAAAGCACTTAAGTTTTTTATCGTATAAGTGTTTGTTTAGGCAAAAAATAACTTAAATATGAAATGAATTCTTCGTATCTCTGTAAGCAATCTTTATGAATAATCTATGAAGCGTTAAAAATTTATTCGACGAAAGGAAAAAGATGGCCATTTGAATTCGGCATTATTCAACATCCGATGATCCCATAAGTTTCGCATCGTTGATCAGTTTCTCTCCCTTTTATCGTTCCGCATAAATTTAAAATCCCTCTGTTAATAATTGTTTGTTTAATTCATGGATATTTTGCAAAAATCTCTCATATTTTGAAGGGTTCGAGTAAGCCGAAAAGCAAAAAAATATTTCGATCAGGATCAGCGCTAAAATTAGGAAGAAAACCATCAAATTTTTGAGTGAAATATAACTTAAACAGAAAATTTATAAAAAAAATTTGCAAGCAAATATTTTCGCAATAAATGCCTCAAAAAATTAATCAAAAAACTTCTTTGATGGAATACGTTCGAATTTTCTTTTAATATTAGCCTGAAAACGCCATTTATTTTAATCCATGAATAAATAAATTTTATTGCTATAAATTATGAATGAATTTCAACTAAAATTATAAGAAATCCACACCGCATCAAAAAGGATGAAACAATACTGTACCAACTTTTAGAATACTTATACATATTACTCGTAAAACAATTATAAAAAAATCTTTATGATCCAATTCAAGCATCGATTTCAGCTAATCATTTTCGTGAAGAACCGTCAAGAGGATCTATTTAAAGGTTTGAAGGAACTTTATGAATTTGAAGTAAATGAAGATGTGCCTCGGGGCTATATTATTGGCACCATTAACAATCAGTCAAAATCAGACTTCAAATTTGCATTCAAGGAAACGGTACACAATGAATATTTTGATATAGAAAAATCTACTGGAAGAATCACTACGAAAGTTGAGATGGATTATGAGAAGGTTTAGTAAATTGTCTTCATTTTAGCCTCCATTTCCACTTTTTTTTAAAACTGGATCCTTCAGTTTATAAGTAATTAGGAATAATCAAAAATACTGATAACCAATAATGTTAATAATAATAAATAAATCATTGAAATATCATCAAATTTCAATTTCATTTATCAATTTCCAATTATTTCTTGTAGATAAACAATATTTACTTGACAATAATTGCATCAAATATCAAGAATTCTCGTGCCGTGCGAATTATCATCGTTCATGTAATAATCGTGGATGTCAACGACAATTATCCAACTTTTATGGAGAATACGACATGGTTGGTTGTTAGAGAAAATTCCCAAATGGGCACATACATCGGAAGGATAAAAGCGGTAGATCTGGATTCTGGGATCTACGGGGAAGTGCGATATTCCCTGGGAGAGGATGCACCGGATGCGGTTATTATCGATAAACACAGTGGCATTATTACTCTAGCTGGAAATTTTGATCGTGAAGAGGTAAGATAATAGAATCAACATTAACAAGGATTGCAAAGATATGCAAAGAAAAATATCTTTTATTACTTCTTCTTCTTCTACAACATCTGGAGATTTTTTCGGAGAACCATTTGCAGTTAAAAATGATGATGCATAGCCTTCAGCATCATTTGAATTTTACCCTTGATGGTAGGTTTGCTGCCGTCAAAGAAATCGAAATCTGTCACGAAAAACCTATTATTCCGCTCGACTGTTCGATCTTCAAACCTTTATTAAATATAAAATGAACTTTCATCATCCGGCAAATTAAAGTTTTGAGAATCTTCAGTTCTAATTGCAGAAAAATTTTTATCGTTTTGGAGTTCGAGCAACAGATGGTGGTGGACTAAGCTCAATGATAAAAGTTTATTTATTCATAGCTGATGAAAATGATAATCCGCCTGTGCTTGAAATGGAATATAACTTATCTGTTAAGGAAGATGTACCAGTTGGAAATATTATACAGATTATTAAAGTTTCTGATTTAGATACAGGTACCAGATATTAGATACTTCTTTTTACAATAATTCATTGTTTTTTCTCAAAAATATTCTTAGCGAGCTTTTCCGATTCTGCGTCATAGGGTATTATTATTTTTTGGTTTCAATTTTTAGTCTTTTAGATAATGATTTCAATTTCCATATCTCCATGCAAGGTAATGAAAGAAATCAGTTTGGAATCCATAACGATGGGAAGCTATTTGTGAAATCTCCACTGGATAGAGAACAGTGTGCTCGACATTTATTACATGTTTTCGTTGCTGATCAAAAACCACCTAATTTAGGTGTTTTTTGTTTTTTAAATTTTATACTCTGTGGCTAACTAATAATATAAATTTTATATTGCAGAAAAAAACTGAAATAGAATGTTTGATCTATTTCCCATACCTATAGCCTAAACTATTAATATTTTGAAGTACGAACAGCATCAGTAATTGTTACCATAGACGTTTTGGACGTTAATGACAATTTGCCGGTTTTTATTTCACCCCAGCCGATGTTGGTGGAAGAAGAGGCTCCAATTGGTTCGATCGTTGGGACAATAAATGCAACTGATGCTGATAAGGATGATACCCCACATATTCATTATCGAATCGTACCAAACTCTCATCCTGAAGGAATCTTCATTATCGATCCACTTCTTGGGCAAATACAAGTCAGTTCTACTGTTGTAGATTTGGATTTTATCATAGATTTTATTATTGAGATCGATTAGATTAAATTAAATATTAAAAATGAAATATTATTTGAGGTCAATGGCAGAATTGATTACGAAATGAAGAAGGAATATAGTTTATTAGTGGAGGTATATGATGGTGATAATCATATACCTAGTTTAACCAATCTAACAATAAAGGTGCTTGATAAGGACGATGTTGAGCCTGAAATGTACAATATTTACAATGCTTCTGTTGCCGAAAATGCTATTATTGGAGAAGTGGTCACTAGAATAAACCTTAAAAACGCAGAAAAGGTATGTTTCTCTTAAAATATAAAAGTTAATTAAACAAAGAAATTTTATCATGCTTTTGCTACATCCATGCGAAATTGATTCAGCCTTTTAAAAATATTCCTTTTTTCCCTTTTATATTTTAGTTTAACGATGTTTATATTAGCTTTATTGGAAATGAATAATGTAGGTTGGAAGTTCAACGAGGTTATTTGAAATTGATGATGGAGACCCGTTACATTACTTTGCTATATCACCAAGAACTGGAATAATAACGGTGAACAGGGAACTGGATGCTGAGCTTGTGTCCGCTTTTAATCTGACAGTTTCTATACGATCATTTTTCGATTCAAAAAAACGCTCCACGTAATTTTTACTTTCACATGAAGTTTTAAAGATTTATTAGAAAACTTCGCCTTGAAATATGAATTTGATCAATATAATTCTATTGCGAAACACTTCTGCTTTATTTTCGCATTTTCGGCTGATAATCATGGATTATTACTAATGATAATAAGGATTGCTAATCAATGGTATTAATTTTTGTGATCAGAAAGAAATGTATAAGTTATCAATAATTCCAAGAAATCGCAGTAAAAGTAATTTCGTCATTTTTATCAAACAAAAAATCAAAAAATCCTTGCTAGTCTTATAAAAATTTTATCTATTTTTATCTATTTTTCAGTATAGTAAAAATTAATGTGATTAATGTGAATGATAAAACCCCAACATTTATTGATGGCGATCACATGACCATTCTAGTCAGTGAAAATATATCTGGTCCTTATCCGATAAAGCTTGGTGCAGCGACTGCTATTGATGATGATCCTGGTTTTAATGGGACAATTTCATACGCAATTATTCATGTACTTTTTAAATTTCGTTTTGGATTTCTTTGGATGTATATTTTCAAATAATTCACTTAAATTGAGGATTTCCTGAAGATGATTCAAAATTTTCTTAACTGCAGTTTTCTCAATTTTTTAAATTCGCTGTGGCTTTTTAAATTTTTTTAAATAATCAAATTACAGGGAAACACAACACTATTTTCCATTGAACCAAATAATGGTGAAATTTTTGTACATGAAATACTGGATCGAGAAGTGCAGGACATTCATCAAGTTATCATCCGTGCGACTGACTTAGGCATTCCAAGACTGTCATCAACCATCTTAGTGTCAGTGATCGTCCAAGACATAAATGATAATGATCCACAGTTCGAGCTCCCCTATTATAAAGCCTCAATACTGGAAAATTCACCAATAAATGTTTCTATAATTCAAGTTCGAGCTACAGATAGAGATGCTAATGAGAACGGTCAAATTAAGTAAGGGATATTCACACTTTGTTTTAAATATACATTTTCGCGAAAATTCAATATTCTTTCAGTTTTCATTTCATTTTTTCTAAAAATTTTTGATATCTGAATATGAAGACAAAATAGTTTTAAATAGTTTTAAATAAGGATAAGAAGCTGGGACAAGTTTTGCGAACTACTTGAAAAACTCGCGGAAAATTTACAGAATCTTGTATTTTATATATTCATTATTCATTACAGATATATGATTCTAAATGAAGAAAAAATTCCGTTTCGTATTGATGCATTTTCTGGAAACATATATTCAACTGAATCGCTGGATCGAGAGAAAGTTTCAACATGGCAAGTGGAAGTGATTGCTGCTGATAATGGCAAATTTGTACAGCGCTCGTCTATAGTTATAGTTACCATAGAAATTCTTGATGAAAATGACAATCCACCGTTGATTCACAATGATGTCTTCGACTTATATATTTCAGAGAACGCAAAAACAGGTCAAAATATAAAATATCATAAATCAATAGGTTTGAAGCAATTAAACCAGAATTTTGAAACAATTTTTTTTTTGAATTATTTTGACGAAATTTGCTTAATCTTTAGCTGGAATCTTGAATATTTATATTATATAATGTATGAATATTTAACCAAAATTTTTAAAATATTATGAGTTGTTAAAATTAAAATAGCAAAAAATTTAAGGAGATATAATACATGCTATAATGGCTTCTGATGCAGACAGTAATGATATTTTGGAGTACCATCTAACAGGAATGGATTCTGAGTCATTCAGAATCGACAAATATGGATTCATACAAGTCGTGGAAAATTTAATTAACAAGAGTTATCTTTTATCATTTAAAATAACTGATGCAGTTGGTAACAATGCGACAATTGACTTGAATTTTTATACGACGACAGCTGCGAAATTTCCTCAGTTTAAAGTAAGCTTGGCTTTTTAAGATGATATTCTCTTTCTTGTTTCCTTTTTATATTTTAAGCGCTTTACTTTTCATTTCAATTTCATTTCAATTTCATCTTCTGTAAGGCTTTTCATTATAGTTATTTATCCAATAGACTTATTAAATCCAGGGCAGAGACAGGCTAATACATTCTAATTACGAATACAGGGAAATTGCAAGTGCTTTAGGCGAGAATTTTAAAAACTTGGAAGAAGAATTCATTTCATTTCATTTCATTTCTAGAATTTGTCGGTATTATCTTATGAAGTGAAAGAAGGAGAAGAAAAGCTTATCGCAACTCTTAAGGCATTTTCTTTAAATACTTCATCCAGTGGTATAATTTACGAGATCGTTGGTGGTGATTCAGCTAAGGATTTTATCCTGAATCGACAAACTGGCGAATTGTTCTCAACGTTTGCTTTTCTTAAGAATTGCTTGATTTGTTTCTAAATCATATTTGGTTGATTATTTTATACAATTGTTATTTTCTTTGGATCGTCAGTGATAAAACTCTTCCATCACTTTACCAATGTTTTGGATTTTTTATTCATTATTAGAGAAAAATTCTTAAAGCAACCGTTCATTTTCGTCAACCTTAATCTGCTGTTTTTATTCAAAAATTAAAAAATTTTCAGGAAAAAAACTGATTATGAAAGGAAATCTGCATATGTATTATTAATAGCAGCAATTGATCAACATTTCCATCCTTATATATCTTATCTTAAATTAAGAATAAATATAAGTGATATCAATGATAACGCTCCAGTATTTGATAAGGTAATTTGATAAGGCCCTTTGTAATTTTTTTAAACTTCTGTGTTCACTGATTTCAATTCGAGTATTGCTTTTAATCTCAAATAACCTTAGATCTTGTATGAGTGCGAAATAGGCGAAAATGTCGATCCTGACACTAAATTCTGCAAAATTTCTGCAACCGATAAAGATGCTTCAACAAATGGTCTTTTGAAATATTCGATAGACGAAAAAGAAGCAAAAAAATATTTCTGGATTAATGAGCAATCTGGCGAAATATTCACTCGAATTTCTCTCGATGCAGATTTGAAAGCAGTGCATCGTTTTACTGTGAGCGCTGTTGATCAAGGCTCTCCTCAATTGAGCCAAACTGCCATTGTTAACGTTAGAGATTTTCGATTATTTGATAAAAATAATAAAAAGTAAATGATGGCTCTTTAGATTGAACTGAGCGAGATCGGACAGGAATTATATCATGTAAATCTATTTGCTTTTTTTCGATATCAAAAATATCTTAAAATCCATAGTTCTTTATTTACCGTGGCTTTAATTCAAATTTTTTTTCAGGTGCATATACTAGATGAAAATGACAATTCACCAAAGTTTTCAAGACTATTCAATGCGGAAATAACAGAGAATAGTCCTAGAGGAACCTTTGTAACTCAGGTAAAGAAACTTTTATCTATTTTGAGAAATTTTGGCCTTTGATAAATTTCGATTTTATATTTTTGAGTGATTATTCATTAGTGAAATAAAATATAACTTTATAGGTGACAAGTGTGGATGCGGATGTTTTCAGCAACATTAGTTATGCACTAGAAGGCGATGATTCGATGAGTTTCGCAATCAATCCAAAGTCAGGAATTGTTAAGACAGTAACTGAAATTGATAGAGAATTTGTATGTATTCTGATTTTTTTCGCACTGTTTTTAGGTTATTTCATTTTAGTAATAAATTGCTAAAAATATTAAATAGAATAGCCATTAGTTGGAATTACAACTCATGAAATTTGAGTTAGGCCGAGCAATAATCGATGCACTTTCGAGAAATCCTCACTGAGCCCTTCATCGAAGCAGGTTTCACATTATATTCACTAATTGAGGATGGATTTTAACTTTACATTCAAAGTAAATCTTCATTTTATTGAACCACTCAACTCAAAAAATTTTAGAAATCCGAGTATTCCCTGAAAGTTCGTGCTACAGATGGTATTTGGCAAGTTCTTAGGTCATTAACAGTCAAAGTTCTCGACTTGAATGATAACGCACCATTATTTAGCAATAGCCAATATGTGTTCAATGTTCCCATCTTAACGGTGAAATATTTTTAGATCCAAAATATTATTTTCAAGAATTTGGTAAACGATCAAACATCAAATATGCAAAATTTTTTAGATCATTGGTGAGGATATTGGTCAAATAAAGGCAACAGATGCGGATTCCGGTTTGAACGGAAAGATTCGATATACTCTTCGTTGTCCTAATGATTATTTTGTGATCAATGCTCTAAATGGAACAATTCGTCTTTTAAAGGAATTTCATTTCGATGCGAATACCACATTTCGATGTGAAGCGAAGGCAATCGATCATGGAATACCACAATTTGAATCGAAGGTAAAAATGGTGAAACTGCGCTCAAATTTTATAAATGTGTAGGAAAAAATAATAAAAAACTACATTTTGATTTTCTAATTTAATATGCAAACAGACCGATTTTCAAAAAAAATTTTAGAAAAATAGAGGAATTTATTTCACATTTTCTTTATTTTCGTTATTATAATAAATTCTCAAAAGAAACTCAATCAAACTCAAACCTTGAATTTAATGAAGCAAAGCCTTCAGGTGAATTTGTGGATAATTCTAACGGAGGTAGATGATGGAAGGCGAAGCTGTCCTTCTGTCATTTCAGTAACTTTTCCTTTGCCTATCAATTCCCAAAGTGGTGACATAATTGCCAACTTGATGCACTTGGGATTCGACCAGAAGGTATTTCATATTGAATCTTTCAAATAATTTTTTTTAATTGGCTCGTATAGAATATTAATCGAATATGTTTATTTACTTTTTATTTATTTACTTTTATTTACTTTTATTTTTTTTATCTTTTATTTACTTTTATTTTATTTTATCTTTTCACTTATTTTAATCTCAGTTTTCCCAACTTTATTAGAAAAGTATATACAATGTTTAGGTTAGGTAAGTGGTAAATAGCAGTGGCTTTTTCACTTAAAATGAGAAATATGAAGTTCATTTGCAAAAATTATTTAATTCCCTGTTAATTTCCCCATTAAAAAAATGATTGGGAATTGAAATAAATTACGGTTATTTATTGTTTTTGTGAAGAATTGTTTTTTCTGGAAAAATCAGAGGCTCAAATATTTGGAACATTTATGTAAAAGTTCATATTTAAATTATTTAGATTAGTATTATTTAAAGCTTATTTAAATAGAGAACTTTTATTGCCAGTGATTAGTTGTATGTATATTTACCTTTGTCCGTAATTAAGCTTGGAATTGACCAAAGGAATTATCTTCGGTTTCTTAACAGAGTGTTTTTTTATTAATTTGAACTGATCTACAGACCAAATTTGCTGTGGATGATCCAAGATTCGCAATTAAAGAATATTCGTTGATCGCCGTTTCGAATAAATTTGATACTAAAAAAATATCTTTGTTAATATCAGCTACTTCCCGCGAAAATCCAATGATTTTTTGTAATTTCACTGCAACACTTGAATTAACCGAAGACAATATGAATTCACCGAAGTTTACTAAAGAAAAGTTTGTTGATTTTTTTGAAGTAATTTATACTTGGACTGATAACGCCACAAATATTGACTTGTCGCTTGGATACTTCGAATGGATTAATGGGCGGTGGGTGGCACATGCTGGACAAATCGTATGGTATTGCATTGGCAAATTTGTACTATATAAATTAGGGAGAGACTCACGCTGAATTCAAACTTAGACTTCCATAATAAAAGCAGCTTCTATGATGAAGCTTAAGTTTGCGCTTTGAAATGAACCACAGACTACTATAAATAGAGGAATGTTACGTTAAGAATTATTATGAATTCAATGGATACTTTCTGAAAACCAGAAAAAAACTTCTATGATCTTTCCGGGTTTAGCTTCCACTTATGATATTATCTTTCAGATATATATTTAATGTAACAGAAAATTCGCCTTTATTTTCTGAAATTGGTTCTGTGCTTGCGAGAGACGACGATAAAGGAATAAATGGGCGAATTTCTTATCATATTAGGAACATTACTAGTTTTCCATTCAATATTCATTCCAATAATGGATCCATTTATGTGAATGGGCCGATAGATTACGAGGAAGATCATGAGTTTAAACTTTTGATTGAGGCAATAGATGGTGGATTTATAAACAAGAATAGTTCAGTCGAAGTCTCAATTTTGGTTCTGGATTTAGATGACAATCTACCATTCTTCGATTCAAATTCTTTCCAATTCTATGCAAGTTTTTTTTAATCCAGATTATTATTTCTTATCATTTATTTTTTTAATATTTTTATCTTAATATTTTTTGGTGAAGTTTTTCTAAGTTAATTTTTTTAACAATAAAAATGCTATTTAGGTGTCCGAAAATGCAGCGATTGGTACAGAAATCGGACGAGTGACAGCGACGGACATAGACTCTCATCCTTACAACAGCACCGTTTATATTATTATTTCCGAGAAAGATAATTCGTTGCCATTCTCAATAAACGAAAATAGCGGTATTATTTCTGTAACGTCGCAACTCGATTATGAATTCATTTCTTATTATCATTTCCATATCGCTGTGAAAATTTTCAACCTAACCGGATCGAATATTTCCGTTGATATATTCGTAGAAAGCGTCAATGAATTTGAACCGAAATTTTTAAGAAAGGTGGAAACTTTTAAAGTCAGTTCGAAGGCTTTTAAAGGTTTGTTTACCATTTACTTTTAATTTTCGAAAATTAAAAGGATGCTTGGGAATCAATAGCGATGGGTGTTGCATCTTTGGCCATAAGCACTGTCTCGATATTCCCAGGAATTCTCGCTGTTTGCACGAGTGAGATTTAATATGAGTGAAAAACTAAAAATTGATTATTGGTTGATACAACGCATTCTATTGTTATTTCTAATTTCTTGAGTTTCTTGTTTGCGAGGCTTTACAAGGTGCTAGTGGACTTAATGACAGTGGATGGTGTTCAGGAGGCCATAACTAGTCTGAGGGATTCAAGTGATAGAAAAGGGGCTCATAATGAAACTAGCTAGTAATAAATTAATTATACATCTTTCAGGGACAATAGTAGGCAAGGTTACTGCGTTAGATTTCGATGATGGCAGGCATGGACAAATTTTTTATGCAATAATTGCGAACAAATTCATAGAGATGGATGATTATTTTTCGGAAATCCTAGTGAAAAGGAATCTTCTTGGCGATCTTCTTGAAGAAGTTGAACTTGAAATTGCAGCTTTCGGTGGAAAAATTAATCGTTTCAGTAACATCCAACCTGATATGTAAATTTTTATGCAAATGAAATTTACTCGAAATATTTTATTTTTTTTAATTTGCAAAAGAAATTTGCTTCATAATAAAATATTTTTTCAACTGGACAATTCTCGTTAAGCATTTGCCGATTTTTCTTCCATTAAATTTCTTGAGTTTCTTACTGTCTTTTTATTTTAGATGCCAAATATTAATCAAATTTACCGAAACACCACCAATCCCCTTAATGGAACCAAATTACTTGTTGCAAATGTCAGAAGATGCTCAACCTGGAACGCGAATCGATTTTTTGTCATTTTCTTTGCCGCATGGTTCGAAAGCAGAAATTGTCGAATCAGAAAGGCAAACTGATCAAGTTTGTTTCCTTTAGTATCAAAGAGATTTTATTTTGTCTCATTTATTAAGTTAAGGTAGGAAGAAAGGAATAATGGAGGTAATGAAGTTTTGAATGATAAAGGAAAGTGAAATAAAGGGTAAAACTTAAATTTTAAAGTGGGCTAAAGAACAGTTTGTTGAAATATTTCTATTTTATATTTATTTCTTATCGTTGTTATTGAATTCCTCAAATTTCAGGTTTACTGTATGAATGTTGACAGTTCATTGAGGCTTTGTGGACCAATCGATCGTGAGCGGCTTGCCAAACATTTCTTAACTGTACATTTGCTTGAAGGAGACGTGGTAAGGTCGAGAACCAAGATTACCATACTGATCCAAGATGTGAATGATTGTGCACCAACAATCAACCCAAGTAGTGCAGTTGGTTTCATACGCGAAAATTCTCCATCACATTTCCCCATTATGAAACTAAATCCAGTCGACAATGATTTTCCACTGACTCAGAAACTATTTACATACAAAATTAAAAGTGACGAAATGAATAAGGTTCGAAGATTTGTTCGCAAATGTAAAGTCTAATTTGTGATTAAAAAGCTTATTTTAGTCGCTTGGCTTATAGGAATATTTATTTTGTTCAAATAGTTATCTTCTTTTTTAAGAAAAATAAATTTTATAGATATTTTCAATTGGCGAATACTCGGGAATACTTTCAAGTCTTCGAACTTTTGATAGAGAAAAGCGGTCGCTCTACCAAATTCCCATTGAAATTACGGACAAAGGAAGGCCGCCACGTTCATCCTTGCAATACGTTCGAGTACATATCGACGATGTGGAAGACAATACTCCATCCATGCAACCGCGTAACATTATTATTGAGAGCAGCGAAAATAGTCTCTTGGGAAACGTAGCCACAACTTTGCCGGTTAACGCGGATGAGGTGACGAAATATACATGTAAAGCGATTAACGCAAGTTTCAGCGATTTCGTTGTTAGTTTTTGTCTATTATTTTCTATCGGACATTTTTTCGCGTAAAATATGCATTAACTTTATTCGGCAATTTATATTTGCAACAGAGTATGCGCGCAAAACATATTTGCAATGCGGATTGAGGCGAATGATGATCAATGAATCTTCGAGTTATCCACGCAATTCGTGGATAACTCTTCGACTAAAGAATTTGCTTCCGATAAGATAAATCCTCACCACCAAACATCGTCTAATGATTTATGTTTGGCAAATTTTCAGCTTTCATCTGATTGCAAACTTTTTTTGTCGAACCCTATATCTTCATCGTCCGAATTATTTGTTAAAATTTTTGACTCAAATTCTACAGACATCACCATTCGTTGCAATATTCAATTGAATGTTGTTGATAGCTTTTACTACAACAAAGCAGTATTAATGGATATATTTGGTACCAAAAGTAGTATTGCTAATTTTATTAATTCATTCCAATCTATGGTGCCCGATATGGTTGGTTTTTTCTTCCTTCCTTAGGAAAACTGCAAAGTTTGATTAAATTCTACACTCAGTACTTGGATAAATGCTGTGCTACTGGTGCTTGCAGTACGGGGTAGTAACAGATTACTTAAATTGCTGATTTATAACTTATTTAATGTAATTTTTAGATATTAAATTTTAATAGTTTTAAAAATTAGTTGGAATGCGAGAAAATTGCCGCGAGAGCATTAAATTGTTTTCGGCCACTGGCCTTTAACATCGAGTAAAGCTTAGAAGTTAAAGCTGAGGATCTAGTAAAATTTTTATTCCCAGATAGTTTTTCCGACGAACGTGTCACAACCTAATAGCCAATGGAGCGAGTCTGACCAGAACTGGTGAGAGCTACCGAAAAATTTCGACTAATGCTGCGTTTGCAATCAGTTCAACGATAAATTTTTTAGCATATCCGCTTAATTGGAATAGAAAGTCGGCCTACGGACTCTTTTCGATTATTTATGCTTATCGTTGATCGTAACGGGAGAGTAGTGAATGCTGAGGAATCCATTCGAATGATCGCGAATTTCGTTTCAAAAATGGAAGTGAGCCTCGATAATATAGTTGGAAGTGTATTCAGCAATATATGTTCCATTGAAAATGAATGCATGCATGGGGGTCAGTGTGAACAATATACACTCATAAATGATCGTTATGAAGAACTTATTGGCCACGGAACAACTCGCATTGCCCGATCACTCGCTCTACAATATAAGTAGCATTTGTCGTTTTTTTATCATTATTTGTTGTATTTTCAATAAAGAAGCGTTTTAAGCGTTTTTAAGTAAGAATAGTCTTAGAACTGGTAATTCAAAAGTTGGAAATCAAAAAGCCAACCAAAATAAATTTTCATAAATTTTCGCAGATGTATTTGCAAACCGAATAGAAGTGGGAGTTACTGTGAACATAAGAATTCCCACTGCACGGATGACAGAAAATGCATTAATGGAGGCAAATGCGATCCAGATTCCGATAAATGCTTATGTAAGGTTGGATATACTGGGCAACGTTGCGAATTGGATGTCGATGAATGCTTGCTGCGAAAGGTAAAATTGGAAATTGTGTTTAGCCGAGTTGCCGCAATTCCTTCAAAAATATTCTTTACAAACGAATAATGATTAAGGACATTTGCGGAGGTGGAAAATGCGTAAACATTCCTGGCTCGTTTAAATGCGTCTGCGAGGATAAAATTACGGACACTCCGTGCGAGAATCGGGCGCTTTCAACAAATTTATGTGCATTTGTCAATTGCCTGAAGTAATAATTTTGAAGTGAAATATTGAAAAATTCGAAATGAGATTCGTTTTTAAAGATCTTCGCCATTAGATTGCAATTTTTTCGTATGATTTGAGAAGCATTTCCAGTGGAAAATGTATCAGTGATGATGGCAAAGCTCGTTGTGAATGTGAAATTGGATTCGAAGGAGAACAGTGCCAATTTAGAGTCCGCTCATTTCGTTTACAATCGTACGTTGAAGTATTACTGCCAAAGAAAATCTTCGATATAAAAATTGAATTCAAAACAACACTACCTGTAAGTTTGTTTAAAAACCTAAGACATTGTGAATAAATAAATAAAACCAAATATGAGTAAAGAAAAGATTTTGTAGAGACAAAAACCCATGTCGTAGAACTGCTTGAATATATTTTTGTGCAACACAAATTTTTTGTCTACAATTTGCATCTCTTTTGCTTTGATTTTAGTCAGCGCTACTTTATTATTCTTATACGACGGCAAGTTTGAATGATTTTGCGGTGATTGATATAATTAACGGCAAAATCCGATATTCATCCAACGTTGATGGTGTAGGATTTTCCAATTTCGCAATCCATGAGAAGATTAACGATGGTACTTGGAAGCGAATTCATATCGAGCAGAAATGGCAGACATTAAAAATAACACTTCAAAGATGTGAAATCGACGGCTATTGCAAAATTTGCGATGGTAAAAATTGCAGTGCCGTTATTGTCACACAATTACCGTAAGTTCCAATTATTTATTAAAGATATATTGTTGTCCGAAAATCAGCCAAGAATTTGCTGCATAATTTAATTTACAAAAAGAGTTAGTGATCACCAGCAAATATACGAACTAATTGAATTGAAAATTTAAAATATAATTTAAATTTAATCTAAAGATATAATTAGTAATAAGTAATAATTAATGATTACAATTAATTAGTGATAATTAATTATAATAATTATTAATTTAGGCAGTTATCTATAACGAATGGCATTAACATTATTGGTAGTATCACAAATACTAGTGAAATTGCTAAAAGACCTGCACAGGTGTTCTTTTTTCCGTTATCAGTGCGTAAAAATCATATATAAAATGGATAAAATATGCTTCCATTTTTTTTAGATATCAGCAATTGATTTTATTGGTTGTATGCGTCGTATAGAATTCAATGGCAAAGATATCAGCAGTTTAGATATTTTAACAGAACAGAGCACAGGAAATAATTGTTCAGTTACGCGATCTTGTCAAGACGAGCATTTCGAGATGAAACGTTGTGGAGATGGATTATGTAAATATAGCGACTTTAGTGATACATGCATTTGTGAAGGAGGCTATGATGCATTTAGCTGTAGCAGTGGTATGGATTCTCGAAAATTTTTCAAAAAATTAAACTAAGAAAATCATTGAAATCCCTATGTTTCTAAGCCTTAAAATTTCCAGCTTCTATTTCTAGAACTCTCAATCAGAAATTTTATGTTCGCTCAGACTTCGTAAAGTTCCAATTTCTGCTTTTTAAGAAAGCTTGAAATCATAAAAACCTTAAAACCGAAGGAAATACTCATGATCTTCACTAGTATGAAAAGAAAAACTTATCGCATCAGTTTTAGATTTCAAAATTACCCATTATCAATTTGGATAAAGTAAATCGCTAGATTATGCCAGCTATAAAGAATGCGATTATTTCACTGATGAATATCAATTGAAAAATTTTAGCGATGCAACCTTGGCTTCTGGATGGTGGCGAAGTACATTTCGAACTCTCAGTCTACATGCTTCGTCAAATCTCTTTTATATCTGTTGACTTGCCTAAAGCGCTAGAAGCAAGTGATGGCTATCGTTCCAAGAGGTCGTCCTTGAAAGATATACCTTGCGAAGAAACAGAATATAAGTTAGTCATATTTTCATTAGTTCATATTTTCATCGAATTTAATGCTGAATATTTGAAGAATCAAACACACCAGATGTCGGTTAGCAGAATGGGAATGGCGAAATAAGTTCATAAGTTTAAAATAAACTCCACATTGATCTAAATAATGGAATATTAAAATAATGTCGAGTATGGAGCAATTCACATTGTCACTCCACTGATTAAGCCTGCCTTACTGAATATTAGAAGATAATTAAATGAATATTAGGATGATATAATAGCCATAGATGCAGAATTACAGGTGACCAGCACGTTCCAAAGTTTTAACTTTTAACAAATTCACCACTATCATGGACAGCAGCTGGAATATAATAATTAAGTCGATAATAATATCACGGACTTACTCTGGGTTTCTATCGGGCAATTATTACCTTAAATGCATGAAAGCATGTTTTAGTGAAGGTGAACCGTTTGATGGTGTAACTCAGTGGATGGAAATTGATTTCCGAACGTTTCATGCCAATGGCATTATTTTTACATTAGTAGAAAATGGAAATTACAGTAGAATTGAGGTGAGTTTTCAGCTCGGATTCTTTGATTTTCATAAGAGACTAATTTTTGCTTAAAATTGTTATATTCTTTACCAATGATCATTCACTTACCTCGTCCTTGCACCTTAATTTCTAAGTGTTTTAAGCAATGTTTAATTTACTTTATATCAGCTAATCAATGGATCACTTCACTTTATCACCATTATACGAGGAGCAAATCCCATTGATATTCAACTCGATGGTAACAAAAGCGATGGAAAATGGTACCGAGTTGGTTTACAACAAAGCAAAGATCAACGAATAGTTCGCTTTAACGTAGGTTTTTATAATTGCAAATTTTTAACTTTTTATGAGTTATTTCGTGTTTTCTCCTGATGAAAATACAAAAAATGATAAAATGATAAAAGTGCTGAAATTAAATTGTCACTGGTTATTTTTGATTATCTCTTAAACTGTGTTCAGTTTTTTTTTTGACTGACCCCACTGGTTTTAAAAGAAATTCGTTGACCACAGAACTAGGGGATAAGAAAAATAAATTAATATTCAGCACCACCACTATGAGTTTTTTTAGTAATGGAAGTAGAAAGTGGTTAGTGTTAATTTTATATTTGGCCAAAGTGAAACCAATAGCTATTAATATAATTTTTGCCAGAGAATCACTTAGATGTAGAAGTTATGATAATTTCGTCCTCAGACACTATTGTGATAATTTTTGAAAAATTTTTATGATAATTTTTTATGGTCAGGTTTACTCCTGTTGGATGGAAAGTTTATCCCAGGTTTAACGCTAGAGGTGGTAATATGAGCAACAACTTCCGAACTTCACACTCAGTAAAAAAAGATCAAATATTTAAGATTGAAAAATTTCTAGTGTGGTGACCATGGAAAAGAAATTTATGCGGAAGCAGAGTTTCCTCGCCTCATTTCAAACAATGTGAATTCAATTAAGCTGGGTAATGCAAACGATGGAACGAGTTTTGTGGGATGTGTACGTCGATTCATTGTTAACAATCAGGCTCAACTTTTCGATAAATCCGAAGCCCTTCTCCAGCAGGTACGAATTTACCATTCCGCCTCAGCTAATAATTGGCTTGGAAATCGATTGATTTATGGATAATTCATTCAGATTTTCGTGCCAGTTGAATCGAGACGTCTTGCGAAAGGATGCACAATATCTTCTGAACATTTGCCATCATCGCTTCATTGGAATTCATTTTGGACTTTGTTTTTAATTCTTACATTCCTCATTGTTATTGCTTTACCGGTTTCATTATTTGCCTTTCTAAGGCACTTACGAAAGTGGAACACACGAAAGGAAGATAATCGAACAGTTTTTTCAAGAACGGAGCTATTTTTAAGGCCAACAAATTTGAAGACTAATGCTATAAATAATCCTTCTATGCGAGAGATATCATCCGTTTCGTCTTTCTCAGCTGCAATGCGCGATTTGCAGGTAAGTAATTTCACGAACGTGGATTCCAGCTGATCGCCTATCGTTCATTGTTTAAAATATTCCAAATAAATTGTAAGTCTTTTTTAGCGAAACTTAGAACTTATTTTGAGAAAAGCACTTTTCCCACCTTAAATTTCTTACCAGTTTGATTGAAACTTAAAATCAAAAATTGTTTTTCACGAGGAGTATTCTAAATCAGTGCGAGATAACGGTTCTTTTTATAGCGACTATGTGTGAAAAGGGATCGTCCAAATTCAAGTTCCTCAACAATTTATGCATCTGGTGAAAATCTCCACGTGCCTAACCAACACAGCACACCTAAAGTTGGTGAATTCTTCAGATCTCAGTAGATTCCAGCGTAGTTCCCATGAATTTTGAAAATTCTTTTGCTGCAGTTCTTGTACTCACCAAATTGCACCTTCTTTATTGTTGGCTAAGAAATCTCCTTGATTTCACTGGCATTTTACAATTGGCACCTGGTACTGTTTTCAATATTCTTTAATGTCATGACAAAATCTGCCAATACCAATTTGTCTAGAGAAAAAATATTTCGGAAAATGAAATTTAGGTAGCTGGGTAGATTTCTACCGTTTTTTTCCACTTCTGAGGTTTGACCTACCATTTTTACCATTCTCAAACTCCCGTATAGTTCCTTAAAAATTCATTAAGCTCACTTGCACTTTCTAATCTTCTTCGACTGTATCCATCCAGTATTTTCCCCAAACCGTTTGCAGACAAAGGTATTAAGTTTCCAGTGTTTTTCCTTTGTGGTTATGATTATATACATTTTGTATAACAATTTGGACTAGTTGATTCTTCTTCCATAGTTCCAGTGGATTTTTTTATTATCTATTTTTTTCAGGTAACCCTGCATTCGATTAATCGTCAAATGGAAAAACAAGAATCTAATTTACGGCAACTAAAACATGCCATTCGTCAAAGCCGTATCTCAATCCATAATTCAGCTCTAAATCCTTCTTCTTCTGAATGTAGCTACGATGTGAGTGCGGGAAAACTATTTTTTATGTTTCACTTCATATGATTTTCATGTTTCGCTGTTAATTTAAAAAATTTAAGGAACCAATAAGGTGCCGTCAGCGACATAGATCCAATGGACCACAAAAAACTGATCATTATCGCTCATCGCCAAATAGTGAAATGGAATATTTTCCGCTGTCTGTTGAAAATCCATTATCATTAACTCCAGCTAAACAGTAATTTCCTATAGATTCTAAAAATAGATTAAGCGAGCAAAATAAATCGTTAGATATTTTTTAATTTTCATTGCGAAATTCCAGAGTGAAACACGGATACAGTTCCCAGTCGACCATACTTGAAGGACAGTATAGAAGCGTAAGTTTTAGAATTTAATAATTCTTACAATTAAAAAAGGCTATACTATCTATCTAAAGGCTATTTTTCTCTTTTTTTATTGATATATTTTTTTGATGGGATGATGAGATTTTACCCCTTTTGCTGCATATATTTCATATCTCATAGTTTCTAAAGTAATTGAATTTTCGAACCAAAAAAAACCACCAGAAAACTAAAAAACCATATTCATGAAAATGGGCTTTTCAGGATAAAGAATCAGATTCTATTAAGACTCTAAGAGTATCGCGAAACATGGTCCCTCGGATGCCTCGTTCTACAATTCTCGATTCGGATTCATCTACTGATCAATCTATTAAGGAAAATCGGAGAATATCAACGATATGCGTACCATCAGCCTATGTATAATAAATAGTTCGAATAGAACTCTAATGCTACGGTAATGCCAAAAATATTACATTTTGCTACTACACGATCTCAGCCTAGTTCTAGTTCTGCTCCACTGTAGCTTGTTCTCCAGTAGATGAGAAAAACTTTGAAGCCAAAATTACAATCTAGGGATGGTATTTCGAAATTTCAAACATTGCGATACATTTACTTTTTATTGCAAATCAAAAAATGCAAATCAAATTATCAAATTTAACAAGCTTCATTTTCCCAAATTTGTTATGGGCAATTGAAGATTTGAAAAAACTGCTTCCATCTGCGAACTATTTGCGATAAATGCAATTTAGTCGAGTGACGAGCAAAATCAGCAGTTGTCCTTAAACTATTTGCTCATTATAAATCAAAATTATATTTATATATTTTTTTTATCAATTTCTTGTTTGTAAATATTCGTATCTATTGAAAGAAACTGCCGAAGCGCTTTAATTTAATCTGTTCTTGCTCAATAAATTTAATTTTTAATTCAATTTTTTTGCTGAATTTTTATACTCATATTTATATCCAAATAATTTCTTGAAATATCAAATCACTTATTTACCTATATAGCCTCATTAAAAAAAAGAAATGAACTTACAGAAATATAAATTACTTTTCACAGACCATTGAATTTCCATCTAACGTTGCAACTAGAATTTGATCAGCCGGAAACTTTAATATCTTTACCACTGTGGGCACTTTAAAAATTTCGTGCTCGTCGCGCACATTAATGAATCCACTACACTGAAGATGGTTATAATTTCCTGAATTAGTCCGGAAATCCACATGAAATGGTTTACCACAGCTGGAAACGAAAATAATGATAGCGATACCAGCTTTACTAATGACGATGTGGTTTTTCGAGTTGTATATAATTGCATGAATAGCTTTCCTTGGAATCCATCGTATGAAAAATGAAAGACTGAGAAAAGTGCGTGAGATATCATCGAACCGATTTTGAGCAATAATCTCAAGGATTGTAACTCGATCAATATTCTGCAAATAAAATGGAGGTTTCGAAGAAAAAGGATAATGAAAAAATGCACCTATATCTTTAAATGACATTAATATAACAACAAGAAATGAAAGAAATGAAAACCAGTGGAATTTCTAAGCCTAATAAAATATTAAGATTACCATATAAATCGCAGAATTTCCGTACAAATCCATTCCAAAATTATTTGCGGCCATAATTCCCAAGTTATGAATTGTTTTTGCTAAAAAAAGAACCTGCACATTATCGCCACCTGCAAAATAATCGAATAAATTCACCAAAATCAATATTTTAAAAGTTATATTGTAATTATGATATTGTAATTATTTTACTAGCAAAATTTTTAAACCTTGGTGTAATCCAGATAATTCCTTATAACTCTTTATATTCCCTTAACAATCATCCTACTGTTTTTACACCTACCATGTGTTCATATTCTACAGTTTCAAAATGTTGCGATACTACCTCTTAATATTTTTTCGACTTTTAATACATTCATTTTTGTACTTTAAAAGTGTGATGAGAGATTAGAAAGGAAGGTAGTAAAATGGGAGTGTTAAAAGGGGTTTGCCGATGTTTTTCACAAAATATTAAAATTGTGAACATATTAGGGGATATTTAAGATCATGAACATGGACTGCTGAGATTTTGCGAGTATTTGACTGGTTTTTAGAGACGAACAGCGTTTGGTAGTATGTTGTCGTGTTATAATTTGACGGAGCTGATATAGAATATAAATAATAAAGACAACTAATAATAAAGATGATTAAAAGTCTGAATAGTTAAAATCAATTTGAAATTCGTCATATATTTTTTCTATTTTCATTTAGGCTTGGCAAAGAAATATTCAACTTAGAAATTAAAAAAATAAATTAATAAATAAAATAATTCGATTCAATAAAAAATTAAAAAATCAGAAAAAAATGTGAAATCCGCAATCAACTAAAAAGTGAATCCAAGTGTTTCCAATGTTGCAACCTCTAATGCTCATAATTCCTTCGGTACTATGTGGCAGTTTGAATAGATGACCTAATTCATGAACAACTGCTCCAAGCAAACTCGCACTGCCTCCACCAATAGTATGCCTTAATTCAGCTCGATCATTCTAAACGAGTATCATATAAAAATATAGAACAAAAAAAAACTAAAAAATATTCTTAAAAATATCAAAAATATTATTTTGCTATTTAAAATTTAACATAAAAATGCCTCGCAATTCATAATAAAGAAATTCTAAAAAGAAAAAGGGAACAAATGAATTGGAATGCAATAAATGCAATTCAGCTATAAAATTATGGAGAAATTGAAAAGAACATACATTTATTTTCGTTATACGCCACAGTGATCTGCAACCAGAAATATGCAACGATTCAACTGAAGAAAGACATTGATGAATATTATTGAATGCGCTAGGAAGATAAGGAATCAATGGAGATTTTATGACAGTTACATTACGTTTTGTTTCGAATTTATCAACTAAAAATGCCTGAAATAGCAAATAATTATTAATCGAATATATTTTATGATATGCAAATGATATTTTATGCAAATGATCGCGAAATCATTCGTTTCATACACAAATAAATAAAAATTTTTTGAGGTGAAAAATGACCAATTATATTTAATTTTAATTGTATTTAAAATTTATGGTAAGATTCTTTATTGCAATTCGGCCGTGAAATCAATCGATTAATTATTTGAACAAATGTGGTAAAAATAAATGTGATTAAAATTTATGGCAAAATATCTTACATCATTGCAATTTGCAGATACCGGAATAAAAACTAAATGAAGGAGGCGATATGGATCAATTTCTCCCAGAATCTCCAAACGATTTGAAATATAACGAGCCAAATGATTCTCAGTAAATAATGAGGAAGCAGTTTTATCCAAATTTAATAATGCTATCTGTGGTAGATATTCTGCATCGCTAATAATAGGTTCTAAATAAATTAAATTATAAATTTTTTTAAAAATATTTTCACATTTTTGAAACTGTAAATTTCAAAACTTTTCATAAATTCCAATGAACTAAAACCAAAATTAAAAAAAATGAATAAAAATAATACGAAAGATCGTAAGAAGCTCTAAAAATAAAAAATTTACCTGATAAATTTATAGTGCTTGAACCGGAATAACTTCGTTCTTCATTAGGAATGACTATAATAAACTTTGCAAAAAAATGGAAATTTTTCTTAAAAAGAAAAATATCATTGGAAACTACGCGCACAAATTCAAAACATTCACAGCGAGACTACTAAAAAATAAAATAAAATTACCAGCAAATTTACATTGCCAATTCGAATCATAAACGTAATTATAGCGTTTTTTAATGCCTGAATTCAATTTGTCCGACAATATTAAAGGGCCATTAAGGAGAGAATCGAAAATCGCTTGAACGACCAAAGCACTTATGTGCACTCGTTGCAAGCAATCTTTTACGCTAAATTATTAAATATTAGTTTAAAAAATATTAAAAAATAAAATGACACTTTAATTTTAAGTTCTTGTAGCCGAATGATTTTATTATTAATACAGAATATTATTCCAATCACTGAGTAAATAAGAGTCTTCTTCTTCTAACAGCTCTTTTAGGCTGGTTCCACTGGCTATAACGGCAAGACGTTTCCAAGTTGAGTAATCCGACGTCATCGTCCACCTATACATTCAAAATCTTTTCTGATCTTTATCAGTCCAGGGCCTTCGTTTTTAACGCCACTCATCAGGAAAGATTTTGTACGGAGAACGAGCGACATATGGATTTAGACGATGGAAAAAGAAAAGGTTTATTATTGTCAGCGAATGCGTCGAATCGAACAGCTTGGAAACCCTTGTACACCTTACCCTTATAGCCGTTGAAGCCAGCCAAACCAGTAATGCTGAGAGTGAGAGTTAGAAGAAAATTTTAATTTAAGAAACTATTATCTTCACCAAATTTCCATCAAACTTTCAATTTAGCAAGTAACGTTCATTAAAGTCCATTAAAATGAAAAAAACAAAACTTACAAATTGCCGCATCGCCAATCCGAAGGTAATGCGATATATAAACGAATTCTCGGTCGCTCGTCGGGAACCTCTGCTTGACAATATGAAAATTTGTGATGACTGCCGAAATTTAATGCATCCTTGCTTTCAGTAAACAATTTATAAACGACAAAACAGAAATCTTCATCATTCTGGAAATATAATAAATAAACTTTTTAAACCAAAATTAAGAATGTAAGGATTCAAAACAAATAAAATAGAAATTATATGCAAAATGGAAAAAATCAAATCCCGAAAAAACATTTTTTGCAAAAATTCCACGAATAAATTAGTATTCAACGACACAGTCCATAATGTTTCTTATGAATCTATCATTAGGACCCTCGTCTTGAAACTCTAATTTTTCCATCCAACTCATTTATTAGTGATACAACGAAATTTCCACACATAATTTGATCACAAAAAGATCATCTCCTAGTTAATGGAAAACGGAATTAATAATTTTTAGATCTTTCTTAAGTAATTCAAAAATTCCATCCTAAAATTAAATTGTTTTTCCTTCTCGAAAGAATTAATTAACTCCTTTATTTCATTTCACTTTTCATTTCGTTTGCCATAAAAATATAATAAAATAAGAGAGAAACAAGCGCTCAATTCTGATAAAAAATGAAAAAGTATAGTATTAAACAAAATATGAAAAGTAAACAATAAACAAAAAATAGAAATTAGCAATTAATAAATAATTAATAAAATAATCCAGAATCTAAGGAAGAAATGAGAGAAATGAAACCATATTCCACTTTCTATTTTATAGCCAATCTGTGAGCAATGCGGTAACACGTAAAGAACGAAACCTGTGAAGCACCAATTATATTTTTACCCCAAATGAAACTTCCTAGAAATGGAACCATTCGAAACCAAACTGAGAAGATAAGACAATGACGAAATAATATTCTGTGAGCTTAAGTACAAACTGTAAATGAAGAAAAAAATAATAAATGAAACAATAAAAATGAGAAAAGCAAAAAAAAATTCTTACGTGCGAGACGTGAAGTTCACAGAAGAAATTTTTGGCGTTCTCCTCAGCGAAAGGTAGAAATTTCTTCTCATTACAACGAATGATTGCTAACTGTGGTGTAAAATAATTACGGCCAAACGACTTTTCATCGATATTCATAAAATGAAATAACCCTTCATAAAGCGTAGTACCACCAATAATTGTTGGACATTGGAAAAAAAGAATCTGATCTGCGGAATAGACCCTCTATAGATCGTAATAAGTGCGCCTGAGTCCTGTTTCTTTACTGACTAACTTTCTAGCGTATTTCTAGCGTAAATAGGAGACATTCTCATTCTGCAAGCCATTTTCGTTTTTCCATTTTTATTTCCTTTTCTTCTAATTTATTCATTTCACATTATTAAGCAATTTGTAAAACCGGCAAATGAATTTTAATTTGTGAAGCAAACCAATTTTCTGTACATATTTACAATTTCCAAATAAAATATATTTTATTGAATCTATACGAAGCAGTTTTCGAAGATAAGATTTACTGTCGTCAAGGATGCACCACACTTTCATTCGTGGTGCAAGTCATGCAACGCCATCATTTTGACATTTTTTAGAGATTGGAAAAAAAATTTTTGAAAAGTGAATTTTTTTACTTAATTTTTCTTCTTACTCAAATTCTCTTCGAAAAGTAAGAGATGCAAAACAAATTCACTTTCAAATCCAAAAAAATTATTTTTACTTTTTACTTTTTAATTTTACAATTTTCCATGGCAAAATATGATAAATACAAAGTATAATAAAATATATAATGAAGATTCAAAAGAATATGCAAATATTCATCCGAAGTCGTGAATCTTTTACGAAAAATTAAAAATATTGAAAATTTTATAAGATTAATCAGATTAAAAATTAAACTAAAAAATATTTTATGCCAGCTGTAGCGGCTAAAAATGTAATAAAACAAACCCCTTGAAATGAAAAAAAATGAAACTGGAAAAAGATAAAAAAGAAATACAGCCCAATTTCTCAAATTTTTACGTTCCAAATAACGACAAACTACAGATATGCCAAAAAAGGATAAGAAATTCTTGAAGGCACTTATTTCAAAATATTGGATTAAGGATTTTGGCTCGATTTATGCGGACGACGAGTGGCATATCTATTTTTATAGAGAGTAAAAATAACTTTCTTCCAAACTATTTAATTAAATTTTCTGCCATACGAAATATCTTTTGCATTTTAATCCAACTTTTTTGATAATGCCTCTCTCACTGTATCTACAAATAACAGATTCTGGAAACTGAAACCATTATACAATAATCACAAATTTTTCATGGAATTTGGATATAATGAGCTATAAATATCTGAAAATAAATAAAAACAACCTGTTGCGAATCATCCTCTAGCTCTGTGCCTAACTGACTCTTTGGTGAAAAAAGTCCTCAGCAATTTAAAACTGGTTCATGCTATCAGCAAGAGAAGAAATGGAAACAGCATTAATTTTAAAAAAAATTACATAATTTTCAACGAGGATAATAATATAATAATAAATTTTCTAACTGTAACCCAAATGTCATGGAAAAACAGCAACTTTTTCGAAAAATGAAAATTTTATCCTAATTTTAATCCTTTGAAGCTTAAATCTTAAAAATCTCAAAATTCTCAAATCTCAAACATTAAGATGAATTATTGCGCTAATAAATAAGAAAAGTAATTAGGTACATCACTAATCTGTGGACAAAGATCACCGACATTATGGAAATTTATAATTCCATTAAAATAAAACTTCTAAAACTTCTAAATACCCAACTTCCGAAAAAAAAATTAATTTTCCAAGAAGTTAACAGTTTGCCCTAAAATCTCATTAACTCCCACATTTCGATAATAATTTCGTATTGCCCAAATGACGAACAAATTTATATACAACAATATTATAGAGATTACTCATCGTCGTTACTGTCTCCAAGTGAAAGAATTTTGCAAATGTGTCGAGGAAGTTTATCCTGACTAGCCGACAACTGATGAAATATAGCTTCTGCAGACGTTAAGGTTTCATTTAAATCGATATTCATCGAAAGATCATTTATATGCTGCAATGTGATTCAAACCAATTTCTGAATTACTTTACTATTATGCTATATTTGCTATATTTTGGACTTAATATTCAAATATTCAAAAAAAACGAAAAATTTGTACTGAAAAGCTGCAAAAAATTTTGTTCCAATGAATCTTTAATGCAAGAAAATAAAAAAAATATGAAAACTCTATAAAATTTTAGCTTACTTTTAGGATTTCGGTTAGACCAAATTGATTTTCAATAATATAATTCATCTGATTATCGAGAATAGCGACACAGATTAATAAATGAAAATTGGAACAAGGTAAATCAGTCCACAAGACCTAAAAAAAATTTGATTTATTAGAATTCTCTAAAAATAAAAAAAAAACTGATAAAAATTAATAAATTTAAAATTAAAACTAAATAAATTAAATCAAAAATAAAAAAAACTTTTTTCGCATTTCATTTTTACCATAAATTTAATGATTAATGATAACTATAAAATTCATTAATTCATGGAAAATGAACAGTTCCTATTAAAATCGAATAAATGCTAAAAACCTAACATTTTTTAATAAAGTTAAAAATTGATCAAAATGGAAAAAATTAAAAATTATACTGAAAATGCCTTTTGAGAATCATTTAGAAATCAAACAGAATGGAAATGAATAAATATTTATTTCCCTTAGAACTTAAATTCCGAGCATATAACTTCTATAATTGTGTTCAAAATGAATATAAGAAATCCTCTTTATTAAATCTTTACATTCCTCTAAGTACATAGCCTCCAAATATTTTATTTTTTTTCTTTTAATGTCATGAAAAGAACATTAACTATAAAAGCAAATAGAGAAAATACAATAGTTATAATTTGAACACTGATGCATAAAAAGCTGAAATGAATTCATGGAAACAATCTGTGGGTCACAAGAATACAGTATTAAATAAAATAATATTAAAGGAAAGAACGAGAAAACGTAGTAATGCGATGATATAAAAAATTAATATGCTGAAATGCATGTTTTTTTTTCATATTTTTAGGCTGATCTTATATGCTGATTTCTAATACTACTAAACTAATTTCTGTCCAAAATAAAAAGTATGAAAAATTCACCTCCCATAATCTCAATATATCTTCAAAGCTGAATTCACGCTTGAAACATACAAGCATCCAACGAAAACAAAAATACATATCGTCCGACTTGTGAGCTTCTGCAAAATTTTTATAGTCATAAATGAAATAATAATTGCTACAATAAAGTAGGTTGAAAATAATGAGGCTAACCAAGATAATTCGCCAATTTAGGATTCACAACCATAAGCAAGTCTCTCAAATCCATCAGCTGCTTTTTTATTGCTGATTGGTCCATTTCGAAATTGCGTTGCTAAAAATTGCTGTAAACTAATTAGATCTACGACCGTTTGAATTATCTTATTTTCTCCTATGCTAATATAATGAACAAAATGAGAATAATAATGCTAAATAAACTTGGATTAAAGCAAAAATTAAAACAATCAAAAATAATTTTTTTCATTTTTTTTGTATTATTAAAAAATAATTTTCCAATCTAATCTTGTTGCAGTTTAGTTAAAAACGTACTACTCGATTCATTAAACCAACAAAACACCAAAAAGCATCAATTTCATTTTGAAGTATGACTAATAATGGAGAAAGAAAATCGCTCATTCCTTGCACATAACCTGAAATTTAGTAATTTAATGAAATAAAATTTAATTCTGTTTTAATTTAATGATAATTCTAATGGATTCCCAGGCTTCAAAAACTGGTAGCGCAGGAAAAAAAACAATAAAGAAAAACATAGAGTAGATAGCCAAAGAAAAGTTTCTGCCAAGTTCCAGCATATCAGAACATCTTAAGGCTAGAACCTACTGTATTTATGGATAGTTCGCTGCCAAAAAAGTGGGCTTACCAAGGTCAAAATTATACATACAATACGTCATCAGAATATCGTTAAGAATGGTCACGTTATCGTTATTAAAACCCCCAAAGAATGAATGGGTGCGATCGGTGCGCGAAACATCTTTTTCTAAAAGAAATAATTTGGTAAAAATATTTTTAAAGTATTAAGTATTAAGTAAAGTATTAAATTAAAAATTAAATCCAATAAATAAAAATCTGCATGTAAAAAAATGATTTGAAATTTCATCTAGGATAAATAAATAAGTTATTTAGTTTGTTTGACAATTCAGTTCAATTCAGTTTAATTTGCTTGGTATCAGTTTAGACTCTAGTAGATTAATAGACTGTAATAGATTAATAACTAAAAATATGACCAATAAGAGCCTTGCGAGCGGCATAGTCAGCAAATCTACTTTCTTGATCTGCGTTTATTGTTTTCCATTGTAATTTCATGCGATAATAATCTTGTGCCTTTTGTTTCATTAGCTAAAATGAATTAAAGAATGGGAAATATCATAGAGTGAAATTTCAAAGAAATTTCACAGTCAAAAGAAAGCCAGTGCAATATAGCCAAAAGAGATTTAAGGTTCATTCAAGAGATTCATTCAAAAATGAGAATTCAAATTTAATTTTAATCAAACAGGACCTCAGTGTTTTCAACATTAGATTTTTTCCAATCTAATGCACCAAGCAAATATTTCCACGCCTCAATTCTTAACGAAGGTACCAGACCACCACGAAAAATAAGGACCTTCAGTGAATGAACATCGCCAAAAGAGCCATCCGAATTCCTGAAACATATGGATTACCGGCTGGAAACGACAGGAATTGAATCAAAGTTCTCAATTTAGATTCAACATCAAAACAAAATACGTAACTATATATATTACCATCTTTTTAGTCGATTTAAAAAAATAATCAAAATTCACTTGTGCCTCTTCCATACATCCTCATCGACTGCTTGCTCGCGACTGAATTCAGGACGTTGCGGTAATTCAAGTTGCGTAACCAATTCAAATCCGCAATCATCGTGCAATCTGCATACGTATATGTTGAAAGCAGTTATTAAAATTTAATGTTTCAACATTTTATAGAATAAAAGAAATCCACCTAAGCTTCCCAGCTGCTTCTTCTTCTTGCTCTCTCAATTCTCTCATCGCTCTGATTTGTTCTTCTGCACTAACTGCATCAGAATCCAACAATGAAGGGATAACCTGAATTTAGCAACAACAAGGAATCTGTAGAAAATTGAATTTGAACTGTATTTCGACAAATACTCCTCACTCAATGATGAAGAATAAGAGGTATAGACTAGGAAAAAAAAAAATAAAAGAGGTTAAAATGAGGAATTTTTTCCTACTTCCATATATTTTGAGCAACATAAGCAAACATATCTAATTAACTTATCTAAATTAATTGAAATTGAAAGTAATTATATTATATAATTGAAAGTAATTATATTATATAATTGAAAGTAATTGAAAGTAATTATATAATTGAAAGTTTATGAAATTTTAAACTGAAACAAAAAGGTTACTTGATCTTGCACAAATGTTGCCACTTTGCCCAAACCTGTCATGGCAGTTGCATAAGGTTGTGCCATCATGCGCTAAACAAAACAAAATTAAAATAAAAATAAAAATTTAAGAAATTCAAAAAAAATAAAAATTAAAAATAAAATCTAGATGAAAAAAATCTGTATCCTTTTTGAATACTTCGTATACTCTATGGATTAAAGGATTTAAATGAATTTTTGCAACGATAATGGATTTTATGAAATATTCAATCGATCTCTATTGCCTTTCCCCTCTCTTACATTTTTTCGTTAAATAATGTAAAAATACCGAAAAAAAGTCACTGTTGAGATTCAAAAGCGAAACTGATTGTTCAAGAGCTGCAATACGCTCATCAGTGAATAAAACAAGATTGGCTTCCCGAGCAGATCTTTTCAATGTGGCATATCTGAAATCAATTTAAAAATTTTGAGGAAAAAATTAAATAATAAAGCAGTAAAGAAATCATAGTTATTTTTTAAAAAACCTTACTTCTGGAGATGATCAATAAATGAAGAAAGCCCTTTCTGCCGAAAATACAATGCAGTAAAAGCTGATCCATCTTTACTAATAAAGCGAACCCAAGGATATCCATCTCCTGAAGACTTGATTCAAAAAGAACGATGCTTACTTTAATGGTTTTTTTTTTCAGATCATTAAGCAAAAGAAGCGAGGAATAAAATAAAAGAATCCAGCAAACATCTATTTAAAAATAGAATTTAAATGTAAACATTTTTCGCTCGCAAATATATAAAAACTGTTACCTTTTTTCGGCTCAACACACTGAAATGATCGCAAATCCTTAATATCCACTGAGAATTTTAAACGGTTATTGAATTCTCGCCTGGATTCAAAACTTTCCGATGATCGGAAACTGCTCACTTCTTCATCTTCCTCTGCACTAGCGATTACCCAACCATCATCATCGATTGGCATCCATTCTATCATAATACCATGAGCCTAAATAAACAATTAGTTAAAGATCAAATAATATACATAGACATAATCATAAACAAATATAACTACCATTTAACGGAATAAAATATATGGTTATAATCGCCAGCAAACAGAATAAGATCCACAAATCTTCTAATTCTTCGAATAACGCGCATCATTGCAAGCTGCAGCGCTGACTACAATGACGAGGATTTTTCAAGCCTTTCAGTCAGATGCCAAACTTAAAGGGAGCATTAATTTTGCCATTATTTGATCCTATACACAGCTGGGATGCCAGTGTGTTCAATGTATCTCTTGATCGCAGCAATTCACACCTTAATCGGACTTTATTTATAAGGCATGTGGTGAGATAAATCAATTTCAATACGCGTTAGGCAGGGCTAAATGATAACACGACGATATTAAAATAAGGCATATGATAATGAATGAACGAGGCCAGATGCTGGATAAGAGATCTGAAAAGCATTTACACAAAATGTTCCTTATAATTTTATCACGATTCCACGATTAAATCATGCAAAAAAATGTATTCGTATTCGGACTTTCATCTTTTGTTCGGCCAGTTAAGAGTGCCAGGAAAGTGTAATTGAAAACAGTTTCATGTTGTTTATATTATCTCCGCTCCAATTTTCTTTTCGATATATGGCTTAATTAGCGTCTATTTCACCATAAATACAGAAATATCAAAAATAAAAAAACACATTGCCCATGCTGAAAATCCACGGCTACGTACTGAACTAACACCTTTTGTGCGCCGACAAGTTATATCCTTGATCCACTCCACTGGGAACAACTCAGTTTTAACGACCAATTCAATTATTTCAAATCAATTATTCCAAAATGATGTACTGATTAAAACTTGAGACGGGGTGATTGGTGGTATAGTGCTTCGTCTCAGCGCAAGCAATAAGGATTTCTGTTCTTTTATTAGAATGCGGTAGCAAAAATTAAGTGCAGGTGGTAAATGATGATGAATGAACGAGGCCAGATGCTGGATATAGCAATTTCATATATTGGATATATATATATATGTATATTTCATTTTTATTTCTACCCAAAACTATTTGTGATTTTCTCGCACAAACCACAACATTGAAAGGAGTTAATTAAACTAGAAATTTCGAGCGTTACTAAATATCATATATCAAATGCCACATATCAAATGGAATAGGAATGGAAAATAAAGTGATGAAGATAATAATGAAATAAAATAATAATAAAAAAATAGCGAAAAATATTTGTTTCTGTGGAAACAAATAATAAGATTATTTATTACCACTAATTCTATGGTAATAGTAATTTCGTCATAACTATGATTGTAATAAAATATAATGGCTTAAAGAAATTTAAGAAATTTCTCAATTTCTCAAATATCTCAAAATTTTTCACCTTCTCCACCAATGATAACTTTCCATTAATATATAAATCATCAATATTTGAATGATCGGTTTCATTAATTCGTTTGGCGCAAACTCCTTGCAAAGCAAAAGTCTCCTAAATAAATTTGGAAGTAAATTTTGGTATACTCTGAAGGAATAAGATAAGATTCATTTTAAAAAAAGGCTCATAAATGATTTTCAATTTTCAAGTAAACTGAAATTAAAGATTAAAGCTTTTCATGATAATGCAAACTCTATGATCGCACACGTTTCTGCGATATATCTAACGCCACTACTGTTATTTTCAGAATTGATTTTCACTGGATAACAGCATGTTTTATGTTAACCACTATTATTATATTAAATATATTGAATGTATTTAAAAACAAGAAAAGTACGGTCAGATAGAAAAATGAGATAGGTTGAGGTAAACCAAAGAGAAAAAGAATCAACGAGCTTTACAAATGAAAGAAAGAACCAAGGTACCTAAAAATAAGAAAGTATAAAAAGAAATATTACGGTAATAATAGATATTGAATAAGAGAGAAGTTCCATTTGGTCTATTATAACTGATGACCATTGAGAAAAATTATTAAAAATTACATAAATAACTAACACGCTCAGTGAAAATAAGATCAAGAGGTGGCGAGTCTTGCATATTCTCGCTGTTTAATTCGGAACGTTGTTTTTTCTTCTGATAATGACGATAAGCAAGATATGCAGGAATCATCAAATTTCAAAACAGATGAACCTACGCTTCTCCTGAAAAATTAATATTCATAAGATGATCGATGATTTCCCATGAAAAAATCGCAAAAATATTCTTTAGACGAAAATTATGAAATGAAAGTACAAATGAATTCAGCGATCGACTCTCGGTGGAGAGAATTCTTTGAAAGTAAATGTAACTACGGCGAATCCTGGATATAAATGAGAAACATTCAAAATCGTACGAGTGGAATTACCAATATAGCACGAAATGATTTCTGTAGTTCACAAGACCAATAAAATCCTCTAAGGGCTGTTTATGAGTTGGAATCTTGAAATGCTGCCCAACGTCCTTCAAAATATATTTGCAAAAATTATATTCACTGGTGGAAAGAATGATTGCCATGTGACTGCAACAAGGCTTCCAATTCTCAAAAAAAGTGATAGGAGAAAGTTGTCGAGAAATCGATTTTCGAGATGCTTTGGCGAAGCTTTTTGCATTTATTCTGATGAAATAATGCGCAATAATCAAGCCGAATTTAGGGGCCACTGGAACATCGATAAGTGCCTCATTAAATTTGCCGATGATTCGATTAACACGGCGATGCTCTAGTCATGCAACATGATGATATTCTAGAGAAGAACCAAAAACTTACCTAAGCATTTTTTTGGTATATATCAGCACAAGATGAATATGGAGAATTATGGAGAATTGGCACAAATTCTTGAAATAACTCTCTTAAAATTTTCAATAAAAGACTTCGTTACATCGTGAGCTATGGACATTGTTTGCCAGCATTCAGGATGTATAAATCAATTCGTCAGTACAGTACCGCGAATATATTGCCCTTTTCGCTAAAAGAAATGGGTACTGACAGAGGAAATTAGTTTTCAAACAAGATTAAACAGATGAGACGAAACTCTTTTTCAATTCGCTTGCAACAACAGAAGCCTTCGTCCGCCTGGCAAAACCTCGCTAGAATCACTGTGAAATCAACCTCAAAACAAAATCGTACCGATACAGTTGCAAAACGCACGACTTACAAATGCGAAATCAGGAAGTTATCTGTTTCTGACCAGTCTTGCCTAAGGTACACAATACATACTACCCGCCAAGCGGACAGAGTCTCATATGACTGCATCTACCTTCGCTCAATATTACCTACTAAAGAACAACTGCACTGGTGCTGGTTTGGCCACCTTCTCCACAACAGGCATTGCGCACATCTCGCTACTTGCTAAACTATGGACGGCGAAGCGAACCAATGAAAAGAAAAGACCAATTAAAACCTGGATTAATACCATTAGAAATTTTGAACGCACACAAGGCTCAGTGATAATCGAACTTGAATGGTGAAAAAGAATAACTTCAGTTACTTTCAGAAATGGCACCAGTGGAAGCATCTGTCCTGAGCGTCAGTGAGCTAATTGATGGAAAGAAGAAGCGAACAGCAATAGGAATGGATTTAAACGAAATATCAGTGCTAAATTCAATTGTTCTGAAAAAAATGTTCAAAAAATGTGAAACTTTTAAAATTTAAGGCTCGTTAAAATCCAATTACAGACACATATAATGTAAGAAGAATGACAATGAGAGATATGCTTCATCTTCGCAATAGTAATGGAAGTTACAACGGCGAAACGTAAAATTTACAGAAAATTAGGTGAGACAAAGGTGAAAGGTGAGAAAAGGTAACTTTTTACCCCTTCAATCAGCAGTTCCCCAGATTTGATTTGAGAAAAACTAAGAACTGTTTGAAGTCTGCTGGGAACGGAAGACCCAATAATTAGCCATAAATCATTTCTGAAGATAAATTTCACAGATATGGGCTTTTTAAAAAGTTACTTTGGATTCCTCCGAGGACGAAAGCTACCAATTCTCGATTAGATGCCTTTTTTATGCAGTGCAGTTCTCCTCTGCTAAATTTCCTAAATTTCCCGGTAAAAAATACATGTAAGATGCGCGATTCATACACACCGCAAAAGTGCGTGGATACAACCGCATTCAAATTCAGTACAAATTCCTTTCTTTATAGCCACTGTTACTATTATTATTATTGTTATGAGCGCCACGATTCGACCACTGCGACTGGTTTGCTGCGTGAGAATGGTTAGCTGCACAATTGTCCCCAAGCGACTCCCGAGCGAAGAAGTCTGACGCCAACAGCTAGTGCAATAAGCCTAACAAAAAATGGTGAGCGCGTCGAAAAACAAGACCCATCCATTCATGAGCCTACAAAAATCCATGTGTCAACCTGAATAGGGAACTACCTGTGGAGCACCGCGAAAACACACCCCCCCCCCCACAAACTTCCCTCTCAAAAATTTCTCGACATGCAAACGAACTGCGACACAAAAGTTTGATGTAACTGATTTCATGGAATTTTGCAAATTCTTTGACACTATGCCAAAATAAATTTCAAAAAATGCAGCTAAAAATTTTCGATTAACTTTAGACAAACGGAAGACAATAGTAATATAAGCCATATTTCAACTGGGCTTTTTCACATTTTATAAATCACCAGCAATATGATTATTTGAGTGTATGACTGTAGCCGCGTTTACTCACGTACGAGCACTTCGATACAAATATATAAAGCGCGCGCGCAAAAGGACATGATAATGGTCTGTCAGTTGCTCGATGATCATGTTTAGTTGTTATCTGCTCATCAGTGGATTAGAAGTGGCATCCTATACGATGACATTGTCCTGTTATCAGTTTAATTAAATGTAAAGAACTGGGAGGAGTTACAAATAAATATAGTGCTGTTATGTGCTACGTTGTTCTACTCTAATCAGCTGATTTTACCATTCGTTGGTTTTCGAGGATCAGATTTTCGTTGACCTCTTTGACCTTTTTTGACCCTTCGCGGAATATTTCGATTAAATTCGTTTAGTTAACTGTTTTTATGCGTGAAAATCGCCGGAGTAGTTGGATTGATTTCCTAAAATTGAAGTTAATTTTTTTTCTTTGAGGATTGCTTCGTTTGTTAAATGTGATTGCGTTATGGGCAATTGCTTACCGTTATTATTTCCAAATTTATATCGTTCGGAAGAAAGTCGTTCATCTTTTCGAAACGAATCAATAGGTCATCCTCAACAAAATGTTCGTTTCTTTTTTCATTTCTTATTATTTCGTTTAGTCGTCTTTCGCTTCTCTCTCCCTTCCCATAACCAATATTACTTTCCTTCTCGTAGTGAGAGTTGCTGCGGGCCAAATAAACGAAGAGTGTCGCGTTCTCTACTTCTAACAGTTCTCCCCATTACTGGTTAGGCTGGCTCCGTCGGCTACAAGGGTAAGACGCTTCCAAATGGCGCGATCTGCTGCCATCGTCGACAGTAATAAAAACCATTCCTTTTTCCATCGTCCAAGTCCATATATTGCTGGTCCATTTGTGCGTTCAGAATCTTTTCTGACCATGTCAGTGCAGGTCTTGATTGGCCCATCTCGCTTTTAATTCCAACCATCACACGTTTTTGCAAATAACGAAATATGCGTCAACTCCTGTAGTGGACGACGGAGAATGTATGCCGACAAGCAGTGTCCATTACCCAGTCTATCGCATAGTTGAATATTGAGGGGAAAAGACATCCTTAACGGATACCAGTTCTTATTTCAAAGGAGTCTGCTCCCATATAAACAGAGCCTGCGCCGACGTACGCTTATAAAATGCCTTTATGAATCGTATGATCTTCTCTAGAATACCGTTGCATTCCATCACCTTCTAAAGCGCCTTTCTATCAGTTGAATCAAAAGCAGCCGTAAAGTCGATGAAACAGTGGGTTGCAAATCTGAAGCGATGTTCAACACCCTTCTTAACTTGAATGTCTGGTCAGCACAACCGCGGTCTGAATTCAGCTTGATTAGGGCGCATCCTGCTGTCTCGTACTTCCATAAGTCTATTGAGTAAAAGGGAAGCAAAAATTTTCGCTGAAACGTCTAGTAGGCTGATTCCTCGATAATTGTTGCAGTATGTCATATCACTTTTTTCGATATTGGAAGCAGAATTGCTTTATTCCAATTATGTAGTAATATTTCTTTTTCCCATACCAGAGAGTACAATCGGTGTGTTATGAAGGACGATGGACAATAAAGAGTTCAGCCCGATGATCATCTTCTCCCGGAGCCTTATTAGCCTTAACGTTAATGATAACAGATATTATTTTTTTTTTCTGTCGCGGGCCCACAGTTGCAAGCATATGGTTCAGCGAACGTATCAATTATATCAGAAGCAACAACAGATGGCGCTTCATGGTTAAGCTTGGTCTTAAAGAATTCTTTCCATCTTATGAGGCTGTCCTTAATACTCTTGACTGGTATGACATTGCTGTCCTTTACCATTGATCGTTCCCCGAATTATAATTGCTTTATCCATTCCTAAGGCTATGTCACTCCAATAGTGATTTTCGTACTGCTTTGCTGCTTTCGTTGCAAATCTTCGAAGCATCCGGTAGCACCCGATAGTCAAGATCACCTGACATTCGTGTTTTGACAGTTTTTTCAGATGATTGGACAGTTGCTTCCGATACCCAACTAGCGCACTTCCAACTAGTATGCTCTAGCATGGAAGTGGCTGATTTTGGAGACATTCCTTTAGTTTGGATCAGTATTCATTTGCCGTTCCAGAAAAATCATTGATATTTGTATCGTTGAGATGCTTCAATAATTCGGTTTGAAATGAGCTCACTGTCCCCGAATTTTTTAATTTGAGATAATTTAAGGATCCTTGGGAATGCGAGTTGTCAGTTTTATACTGATCTTGACTCGAACCATAACATGGTCAAATCCACGATGATTGCCCATTTCAGCACCGCGGTATGAATGACTATCTAGTATAGAACTCTTCCAGCGGTGACTGACTAAGATATAATCAATCTGGTTGAAATGTTGGTTATACCGAGAATTCCACGTGATTAGATGTTTTCTACGATGCGGAATAACGAAGAAGACGTTCCCCATTGGTGCACCGATCTCCGATGCCATATTTGCCAATTGTAGAGGTTTATCGCAGCGGTATTATGACCTATGCGTGCATTCCAGTCTCCCCTGACTATGACCATGTTATGTTTTGGTAGAGAGTTGGAGTTCCTCATAGAACCTATTTTTATCACGGTCATCTGCCGACAGAGTTGGCGCATAGACACTGATAACCGAAATGTTGCAGAACTTACCTTCAAAACGGACGTAGGCCATACGGTCGATTACGGATTTCAAAGCGGAATGGGCTTTGTCAGACATGACAATCCCCTAGTTATCCGAAGCACCACAGTACCTCTACTCTGAGCCAAGATTAATAATCACTCGAGACCCGAAATAAGGAAGACGAACCTTCGACAAGCAAGCGATATCCACACGATATTTAGAAAGGGTGTGGATAGTGATCGCTTCCCTTGCAACGTCCATAAGCGTTCTACGCTGATACAGCTAAAACATCGCCACGCGTGCAGAGAGCTGTTCCTTTTGATAGCTTTCGAGTAATTATCCTGGCTTGCGAGCACATTTTATTTATCAGCCTTGGGATCGCCCGGATTGTGCACTTGTCGTATGTACGACCGGGCTGGAAGTATCGTGCGCGTCGGACGCCATATCAAAATCATATCAAAACTATCTGACCCCTTCACCACAGAGTCACTTGGAAATAGAGATTCAGGTGGATCAGGTGGGTCACCCGGATTTTTGACATAATAGCAGGTTTACTCCTGCCAAAGACAAAAAAATTAATAAAATTAATAATAAAATAAGAAAAAATTAATAAACAATGAAATTTTAAAAATAAGAAAAGAATAAATTATATATATATTATTTATATATATATTATTTATACAATTATATATATATTATTTATACAATTTAATTGATTTGATTCATAATTTATTGATTTAATCTAATTGATTTAATTTTAATTTATTTTAATCGTTATTTGGTACAAAAAAATTAAAAGTTTAAGAAGATTTAGCTGAATTGTGATCAGAAATGAAAAAAATAAATTCATGAAAATAAATCGAGAATATTTTTTGAAAACGACCGCTTAAGCAAAAAAATTTTTGAAAAATTCAAATAAACGAAGAGTGTCGCGTTTTCTATCAGTTCACTTTTTTTTGTTCTCTTTTAATTCACACCATGAATTTTAGGTTTTCAACCGTAAATGATGAAATGTGACAACTTTTATCGATAAAAAGTCTTTTATGGTTTATCTTTTCTTGAATCTTCTCAATTTTCAAAATAAATTTTAAATGTTTAGAGAGAAAATTCATCATATATCAATGAAGTATGGGCATTAGAAAGAAATGATGAACAAATTGATGCAGAAAATGTGAATGCAAAAGTGGGTGAAGCGCGCCTTTCTGTTATGTTGGAGCAGATTCCAGCAGATAAATACGTACAAGGAACTAAGGGCGATGTTGAGTAAGTAATTTTGTATCCAATTTCCTGATTTCCCTATAATCACCCCTCAGTAATAATTTTAGTAATTTTTTATCCTATTTTTCTTTGGATTTATCACTTCACCACCTTGCATTTATGATCCTAGATTTGTACTGCAGATGCTTGCATTTTATTTCACAGAACATAGAGCGTTTTTTATTAGCTATGGAATCTGTGGAGAATCGGTCGATTGTATATTGATAAATCTTGATTAAAACACAGATTCTTATTTTTTTTGGAAATTTTTCAGTTTCGATTAATTAAATTAAAATTAATTTGTGAATTAAGGTTAAGGTTAAGCTTATTTGTTATTTGTTATTTAAGTTAAATTTCCCTCGGGCAAAATTAATATTTCGAATAGCTTTGCCTAAATGGTTCATTTAAAACTAATAATTTAGAAATAAAAATAGTATAAATAGTATAAATAAATAGTTGAGCATAAGAATATTTTAAAAAATTGCTATCTGAAAATTCCAACCAAAAATTTAAATAATTTCAGATGTGCTATATGTATGGTTGATTTTATGGACGGTGATGCAATTCGTTACTTACCTTGCATGCATTGTTATCATATGACGTGTATAGATGATTGGTTAACACGATCTTTCACTTGTCCTTCTTGTATGGAACCTGTCGATTCAGCTATACTTTCATCGTTTACTGCACATACAGCAACTAATTTGGATGATCTTACATGTTCTGCAGCTACATCAGGACCATGTCAAAGGCCAACTCCTTCATAGCCATATAATTCTTTGAAAATTTAGCTTCATGTTTTCTTTTTGAAGTTTTATTCTTTTTTTCATTGATTATTTTTCTTAAATCGAATTTCTCGAGTGCTGCTGCTTTTTATATGGGTTATTTAGCTTAGCAATTTCATTCAAGCGAATTCAGCATTGTTACCAAAATTCTTTTAAGTCATTCCGAAATGATATCGTTGTTAATTATTGAATTTCCAGATATCAATAGAGATGTTTACTGCCTTGGTTAGAATGAGTTAGTGAAATTTTGTTAATTTTTATTTGAAAAAATTGTTTTAAAAAATGTCTAAATTATGAAATTCGTGAAAATTTTATGAAAAAAATATGCATTATTGCTGAAAATAATTTTTAAATCTAAATGAATGGAATCTGAATTATTTTAATTACTAAATTAGTAGAATTACTAAATTTTAGTTCATAATTTTATTACTGCATTAATTTTGCATGAGAATTAACAATAACGATATAACTTTCTACCCAGTTTAGATATGTTTATATGTTTATTTGTTTTTTTTGTTTGTTTTTTGATCTTTTTTTGGTATCATCTAGCTGGTCGGTTTGATGGATCAATTTTTAATTGACCTTAAAAAAATTTTAGGTGAATAGTTTAATTTTAATATGCTTCATCAGTCGTTTTTTTGGTCTTTTTTTTTTAATAATATTAAATTTTTTTGGTTAATTTGCTAGTCTATAATTATTATATACCTATAATAGTTAATTCACGTGTGGCTTTAAGAAAATTTGAAAATAAGGATGATTTTTAAAGGATTTTGATGAAAGTCGTCCTTGCAAATGAGCATTTAGTACTTAGTTTTTGGTTTGCTTTTCTCTTTTGATATTTTTTTGCTTAAAAATGTAAATAATAATTTCTCTTTTGTTTTAAGTCTTATTTTTTTGATTTTCATTTTTTGGTGTTTTAAATTTTTTTGAGATTTTTTGGATTTCATTATATGTGATAATGCAAAAGATTTCGATGTTCTGTAGGTATTATAGTTTGATATTTTTTGTATTATTCTGTATGACAATAATTGCTGTTGGTTTCGAATCTTTTGAAATTTGAATGCTTATATCACTCAATTTATTTTCATTTAAAGTGCATTGAAAGAATCGGAAGAAAACCATTTTTATTTCCGAATTGGAAATGCTCGTGTATTTCTATTCGATTGTATGCTTTTTTTCTTGTGCAGTGAATGCATTTAGTGGAATTTTTTGAAATTGAGAGTTTCGATGTAAAATTCGTTATTCGTTCGTTGCCTAATGTCGAAATAGAAATAAAGTGGTTTCTGTAATTTAATATTTTATTTGGGTTGTGTTTCGCCAGAATCCCTGCGTTGAACACTCTGACCTGTTCAACTGTGCAACTTTTCAGTTTTTGCTTCGATTTTAATCATATTTAAGAGTGTTTTCTGCAGTTTATCGTTGTTTTTAAGTAAAGTTTGTCTGTGGAAATTCTTTGCTAAATTCCTCACATTTGTGCAAATGCAAATTTAAGATTTCATTGTATTTTAATCGAAAAGTTTTAAATTTTTGTCTTATTTTAGCCGATAAATGTTTTTTGCAAAATTCTTTATAACTTTTTGTATATATTTTTAAAATAAATTATGTGCATTCGCTGGATTCGTGGAAATAAAATTTGATGAAAAAAAGTGGATACATTTGTTGAATAAATAGTAAAGATAAAGATGCTTTTTAGTCTTTGAACGGTGTAAAGTTGCAATTTTCAAATGAATGTTTTGAATAACGGTTCTGAGGCTTTGGACCGGGCGCGGAGGTGTCCGGAGGTTCAAAAGCGACGAATATTAGAAATTATCATTCGCGTAAGTCGTTGGGGTACTCAATGATTTTTTGGGTTTAACAAGGGGTCCTTAGGAACGAAAAGTTTACAACTATAAAATAATTGCTATAGTTTTCCTTTACTATTTTGGCTTTTTGCATTTATTTTTGTTTAGTTTAAGAAGAAAAACTAAAGAAAATGATGATTGAGAGGGGGGCGGAAAATTTTTTGTTTACAAACACCTAGTTAGCGTAGTCGTTAGCTCTGCAAACTTTACAAATTTGTTAGTTTTAAGGAGCCGAGACTGCTAGCCTGTTTATAGTTTAGTTCATCGTTTATAGTTTTTCAACTAGTGAGATAGGATCGCTTCGCTAGAGGGTCCATTTAAGGTAGAAATGCCGCTGAAAGCAGTCGGATTTAATGGCCTAGGCTTAGTTCCGCAAAGCAGAACGTCGTTGAGGATGGATGTAAATTTTAAGGAATGGCCCATATAAAAGCGATGAGAAAGGGGAAAGGAAGCCCATTTCAGCTGCTGAGGCGACACTTCAGTTTCGAGACCTTCTCCCAGTCAACTTTCCAGTCACTCAGTGAAAAGTGTATTAAGAAAATATTGTTAAGGCATTCGTGCACTTTAAACATTTCTCCTTCACTTCAAGTACTTTCTAAATATTTTTAAATGAACATCTCGTCTGAGATTTCAATAAAAAATACAGCTGATCTATTCTTTCCGAAAAGAAGTCGATTCTCTAACGAAAGAGTTTAATGGTTCGTTGGCAGTTGGGCGAACTGAACCAGGGAAACCGCTTATTTACGAAGCAGAAGAGCCATCTTCGTCACTTTTTCCCTTTTATAAAGAAATTTAATTCGATTTAACGAAATTTACAAAACATGGAACATAATGGCACTGGAACATAATGGCATCACCACTGGATAATGTAGGTTTATTCCTGGGCAGGAGTAATTCTATGGTGCACTAGACCAATCTGTACTTCTATACAACGAGCATCATGTTGCCACTGTTATTTTTGGACACGAATGGACCTCTGCATTGGACCAATCTGTACTCTCTTCGTGATTCTGTGGGGAAAACACCTGTGGTTAAAAGCAGTAAATTACGAGATGCATCAGAAATAGAGAAGGAAAACAAATTTATGAAATAATCGGAAACCAATTAATGCAGTTGTAATTTTTGCTGTTATTTTATACTTATTGTTATTTTATTTTACATTTATCTTATTATTTTACATTTATTTGGCAAAAATTCAGAAGCAAAGCATTAAGGCCCAAAAAATTACTTGAGATGACACTGCCATTCTTCTAGCGCCGCACCATTTCCACTTTGGCTGGTTTCATTGTCTATTTAACTTTTTGGAAGATGCAATTTCAGTAGAGAAGGCTGCATCGTTGTATTCCATCACTGTGCATTTCTTCTACACAAAGAAGAAGGAATTAACTGTTGACGTTTGCTCTAAGTCAAACCAAATTCTCATTCATCGCTCCTTTAATTTAAATTAAATCTCTGAATTTTCCATGCATCTCTCAATCGTCTTGCTTCCTTTTTTCACGTGAACTTTTAATTTCATCCTAAATTACTCAGCGTTTTTCATTTGGTTAATTTGGAAGGTGAATCCTTCTCGCCGGAGGACTGCGTGGATCTTCAGCTTCGAACTAGGTTGTACTTCCATCAAGCGTTACAGAGTGAAATCTGATGCTGCAATTGCACCACAATGATGTGAAATGAATCGGTGTTTGCTAACATTTCTGCTTTATTTCTTATTATTTATATATAATTCTTCGCTTGGGCACTAAAAGTTTATTTGTCTTAAACGAATTCTGAGAACGATTTCGTTGTTTTTTTCAATGATTATTTGATGAAAAATATTTTCCTTCAATCAGTTTTGTCGATTAATTTATTAAGCGAAATCTCTTACACGTTTTGAATTTAATTTTTCATTTTTTCATCGTTTACAATTTATTATTTTTAAATTTTTTGAAATTATTTTTTATTCTTCTTCTTCTAACAGCTCTCACCATTAGTGATTAGGCTGCGTCCGGTGGCTGGTTACATGCTAAACTGTGTGTGGTGGATGGCTCTGCGAGGTCTGATGCCATCGTCGACAGTAATAAAAGCCACTCCTTTTTGCATCTTCTAACTCCCTATTTTGCTGGTCTGCCTATACTTTCAAAATATTTCCTGACCGTATCAGTTCTTTTTTGATTGGCCCACTTCGCTTTTGGCGCCATCCATCACACACAGTTTAGCATGTAACGAAATACGTGTCAACTCCTCTGGTGAATGACGGAGAATGTGTACTAAACAGCGACGCTCTGATGGTGCTCTTAATACAAGTGGTATTTGAACGAAGGTAGATGCGATCATATGATATTTTATCCGCTCGACGGATCCGTAAAATATACCAAAAGTGGTCAAAGACAGATAGCTTCTCAATATCTTCCACTCTCATTGGCCATGTCTCGCAATCATATAGTAAAATCAAACGAATCGCGGCTATATAGATGCGCACTTTCATTTTCATTTCATTCCATAAAGTCATTTCATTCATTTCTAGCTGCTGTTATCCGAATTGTAATTTTTTCATTAGAAAATTCATTAGCAATGAAGAATTATTCATTACGTTAAATGAATATTATTGGTGAAAATTTTATGTCCTTTTTCATAATTTTTATGGATTCTTCTTCTTCCACTAACAACTCTTATTTAATTTGCTAAGAAGGAAATTGAGGCCCTTTTGCCAGAGAATTGGTTCGCTTAATTCATAAAAAGAGACGAACGCCCAGAAGATCATTTCGGAATAAATATGTGTCGCATCAACAACGATTTTCAGGAATTTGATTCATGAAAAATTAATTAAAAAATGGATTTAAGCAAATAGTTCCAAAATAAAAAACAAGAAGATTAATGGATTATTAGTGGTAAATAATGAATTAATTAGAATACAAATTTTATAGCTTCTTTTTCATCGCCTCAAGCTTATTTCAAGTTTATTTACTAAATTCATAATTTCCCTTATAAAATTTCAATCAACATTTTAAAATAAAATTTTTTGAAAATCAATAATTTGTTTGTTATCTTATCATTCTTTTAGCTAAGCACTGATTTATTGCAAAACATCCTTCGTGCATCGATTGAAATTTTCTTTTATCTGTTAATATCTTCCACCTGACATAAATATTTTATCGTCACTTAAGTCAGCCTTTGTAGTTTATGTTTCGCATAAAACTGCGGAGAAGTGAGAAATTTTTGGCTTTGCTTTTCAATGGTTTAATGCGAAATTCAAGTCAAGTCGGTATTTAAAGTTTCTTTAATACTAATAATAATACATTTCTGGTTTGACAGCCAGGTTGAGGTGGAGGTATAAGTAGGTATCTCCATCATCACTTGGATTACATTTTTAATGACGCATTACATTTTTACCTCTGCCAACATTTTTGCTCATTCAACTGTGTCCAGCTAAACAAACTGTATTAATCATGGAAGTTTTTTTCAGAAATAAAATTTTCTGTGAAAAAAAGCGAATTTATTTTCGGATCGAAAACAATCTACAGCAGTTATATGCATTCTAAAGTAACAATTATTATTGCTTATAATTATAGCAGAAATGATTTGCAGCGATGGTTTTTTCACCAGAACTTGGTTACGATCCTGATGAATGGGAGGAATGTTCGAGTGATACTCATTTTATGGTTTTTGGTTATTTTACACGAATGTTTCTTTCTCTCTCCATTATTTTTTTAACTGGATTTTTATTTTGGATGATAGAATTTCGAAAGCAAAGCGACAAAGCGAATAATGCCAACAGAGCCAATCAGGTCATTTATTTCTCCCCAATAAGTCACATTTGGTTTGCATATGCAGTTTTGGTGGCGGTTTCGGTTCGAAAACATTTGATAAATTCCATCGGATAGTAATTTTAATATTAATTGTAGATAGAAAGCGAATCACAAATTACATCGGATGCAGGAAAAATACGAGAGAAATTACTTGAATTGAAAAGGTTGCAAGAAATTGAAGCCGAGAATAGTATAAAATTTTCCAGGTTAATATTCCACTTATTAACTCATTAAGATCAATTTTTAAGAATTGGCAAAATTGGAAAAATCAAGATTACAATGATAATAATTTATTATTTATTAATAGTTGCAAATTAAATTGTTAATTCAACTGGCTGGCATATTTATAATGCCAATTTATCAATTGAAAATTGAAAGAAAATTGTAATCTTCTTAAATATCTTATGAGAAGAGGAATGAAGGGTTTCTTAACAGAATTAACTGATGGGGAAGAGAATGAAGAGAGTCGGAAGAGGGTGGAAACGAAAGGAGTGGGAACTGAGGAGGAAATCACTGGACAGACTTATTTCTTTTGGAATGATTTTGCGATATGAACTTAAGAACTTAAGTCAACTTAAGTATTTATATTTCATTCGCTTAAATGCTCATTCCATACAACCATAATAATACTTGGAAATCTGATCAACAGTATTCACTCAGTCAGCAATTGTTGCTATTTTATATGGTATTTTGCGAAAATGTTAAATATAAAATTGATTTGAAGAGATGAAGCAGATGCACTGGACGATTGGCATCGAGAATTGGCAAAATTGGAAGAATCAAGATTACAAGAATTAGATGAGAATTATCGAATCGTTGATGGTTCACAAGGATTATCCGGAATCGAGACTGAATCGCAATTAATCGAACGTTTCATTCCAGCTGACGAAATTTCGATGAATACCGATTCTGCTGATCTTGAAAAATTCTCTAGAAGGTCTTCTTACAGATTTAGCTGACATGCATTAAATTTAATAAGCAAAATTTAGAATAACTTTTAAAAAATCATTGAGAACTTTATTATACACTCAATTTTTCGAATAACTGCTATTTTATCTACTTAAGACGCTTATCGATATTTGCAATTTGCAAATTTCTGGCATGTAGTACCTCATACCTCATTAACACATAATTTATTATGCGAATGATGAACTGATTTGATGAAAATAGTTAAAAGAATCTGTTTATAGGAAAGGAAATGCTTTTGCTGATTGGGAACAAATACCTTCCGCGGTGAGTTTATTACATTATCTTAAATGCTCTAGTTAGGTTAGTTTTGTAGCCTCGGCTGCAGGAGGTGGATTAGCCAGCACCAACCGGTATGGCTATAAAATTAGCAATCAGCATGGGATACAAAATCCAGAAAATTTCATTTTTTATGAGCTTTAAATTCATTTAGCCATTCATTTAAATCATTTTGAAGTGCATAATATTAAATTTTGATTTATTATTCTAAGTTGCCAGAGATTCATAATTCTAAACGTAAAGGAGCATCAAATTATGAACTTTCAAAATTTTCCCAAATGCGCTTGAAACTAATCGCTTGCTACCTGTAGGCTATAAATTTTTCTATCCAAGCACTTTTGCTAATATAAATGAATGGTTTGATGAGGAAAGGATTGTCTTGATTACGCTTCTTTTCGCCTCGTATTACTTCTTTTGATGAAAAACCTCGCTAACTCAAGATTTCTTTGGATAGTTTTTCACTATCTTCCATCGCCTTCTTTTTATAAATCTTTGCCTTAAAAATATGGCATGGTTTCCATTTCAACTTTCTTTAAACCAAATGTAAGGAGATTGCCTAAAAGGTGAGGAATATCTTGATGGGATGGAGTTCTTACGCTATTATATAATGTCGATGAGCAGTTCCTCGATTCGGGATAACAGTAGTATAATTTTTGACTTGCTTATTCTTGACTTTTAATTTGATTTAGGCTACAATTGAAGAGGAGATGCAAGTTGCTGATAATCAGGATGAAAAGGAATACGTTCTTCTAAATAGAGTTAGTGATAGGACAGTTATTGTGAAGGATTCGACAGATAGCGAAAATGGTTTCGTTAAAGTTGAGACGGGGGAAGAAAGAACATTGGAAGAATTAGAAGAACTAAAAGAAATGCAGGAACGACTGGCTGAAGGAGTCGATCATTCTTGTGGCACTCTGTTGCATATGGACAATGCGAAATTAAAAATCGGTCAAGAAATTCTGCAACCAGTTCTTGCTGATTTGGCATCTAAAGATTCCCAGCAGTCAGTGGGAGCCAACTTCAAAGCTATTCACGATCAAATAGTCCCATCAGTTACATATAAAGAACAGATCAGTGAAGAAAAGCACATTATTCCTGGGAAAAAAATGGATACTTCAACAACAATTCCATCAAATATAGAAACTGAGGTTAACTATGATCAATCTTCGCCCCAAATACCATTTTTAGTCGAAGCCACGTCAAAAGTAGCAGAGTCCGTCGATGCATCCTTTGTGTCGCAACACGCTACTTCCGATATGTCTCCCTTTAATTCACCTGAAGCGTTCAATACCGCAGCTCCACTTGATGATGAAATTAAGAGGCTAGCTGAAGTGGACATTTATGTTCACGATGCAATCGAATACGTCAGCAACCAAGAACCTGATTTGGTTTCTGGATTCGTCATTGAGGAAGATATGTTGGAAAGTGCCGGGAAAAATGAAAGTTTGCACCGACTGCCATTATTTTCAACTGAAGCTACAAGTCAAATGGTTAAAACAAATGAGGTAAAAAAGTTGAAATCCTTAATTATTTCTATTTTTCTTCTTTTTTCACCGTGAAAAAAATTGCTACGTTCGCAATTCGATGCTTTTAATATAATTTTTATCATTCATTTTGATATTTAATTTTGATAATTATTTTGCTTTATATTTATAAAATTCTTCCCTTTATTTTCCTCTATCAAATTACATTTTTCCCCGCTTATCAGATTTTTTTTAAATTTTAAACTTGCACCCTTCTTTTTGTCCTTTAATGTTGACGTAACACTCAATTTTTTATTAATTTTTCTTTATTAATTAATTTTTTGCACCCATTTTTTCTCACTCGCTTGTTGAACTCTTTTCCTTTAACTAATTTTCCACTTCTAGGACGAATCATTTCCTTCACTTATTTCTTCTTTAATTCATTTTATATCGAAATATCCATTCCCGAAATTATTATTGCAGTCTTTTTTTCAACGATCATTTTAAATCGTCTTACTCTTATAAGAATATCTTTTTTAATTTTATTGGTAAATTTTGGCATTGGAACGAGTTGAAGTTCTTGATTATTTCTATTCTTTTATAATTTAATAATTTACGATTGAATTTAAATTGACCAAAATATTTTTGAAAAATCAATTAGGTGTTTGAAAGAATGGAACATTTGGTGGATGTCGATGATACGATGACTTACGCACCTGAAATTCAGTCAATCGAAATACCTCCAGATCAAACGAGCGAAAACAGCGAAAATTTATTGGAATATTTCGATCAGGTCGCCGCTGAATGTATGGATATCTATAGGGTTAGTTGAATACTAGTTAATCATATTAATGCAAGTCATTATATTCGTACTTAGCGATTGGCTTAAATCTATCCACTGACCAGTTAGGGAAGGAAATGCAGTGAAGAAGGTCTTGTTTTGCAGGCACCAGAACCGAAACCATTGGACACTTCGCCGATTTTCTTAAAACAACTTGAATATTCACCATCTTTATCGTCTTTACGAAGCGCTAAAAGTGTAGAATCGAGCGACGCTCTTTCAGTATGAATTTATATTTTCAGAGTAAATTGAATAATTTTTATGCAAATTTAAGCGAATTTTTCTGGATAGTTGCAATCACTTTGATTTTAAATTGAAGAGAAATTTTAGTTTCGAAAAAGTTCGCTACTAAATATACTTGGAGTTAGCGGCATGCAAGATATGTTACTTGCATTAACTTCCTTGGATGCCTTGTCACTTGCTATGCGAAAAGCGGGTCTTGAATCCACTAATTTGATTTTCGGTATACTTTAATCATCATCATCGAAGCTATAATCTTTTATTTTGAGCGAATTACCACTAATCTATCTTTTTTTAATTCATAATTTGCGTGAAGCTTCTTTTTCATCTTTAAAGGCTAAGCGTTAAGAGTCACTGTTGTTATAGGATGAATTTATTTGCACTGCAATAAATGCACACTATCCTGGCCGTTTCAGCGTCATGAAATACTTAGCTAATTGGACGAAACCACTGGGCATAAATTAATGAACATCCTTATTTCTTACCATTTATCATTTATTCAGGAATCGACTATACAGCAAGCAATAAATACCAAGGCGAACATTGTTTCAATGGTCGCTCACTTCATTCGATTGAACCTGATGTGCTGAATCCATATCAACAGGTTGGTCATCAAAATTTACCTATTTTATTTTAATATTTAAATAATCAGTTCAATTTCTCCTCCTTCTAACAGCGCTCATCATCTTTGGTTTCGCTAGTGCCACTATCTATGAGACCACTTTTCCAAGAAATCGGTGGGGCACTCGGATTCAAACATTATCCGGCACTGTTTCATCATTTATTTTTTATTTCTTTAATTTTTTAAATGAAAATGGATTATTCTAAATTGAAATATTAAATTCTTAATATTCACTGAGAATAATCGTAAAATTTCTGATATGAGTGTAATGAAAAATTTAAGGTAATATCTATAATGGGAAAAACATTAGCGCCGTTCGCAACATCAGGATTTATTCCCGCATATGGTTTTGGTGATGCAAAAACTAGTGATTGGTCCGTTTTTAAACTGAAATCGAACGGAGAATGTCACGATTTGGACGAAGTCCTTAGGTACAAGGATTTTCTTAACAGTAAAATTTTTTTCATTGATCATTTTCATTGATCATGTTATGGACTATACAATATATTTTCATGGATCTTTTCAGATACATTACGAAATATGCAATAAAAATGTTTAAAAATATGATAGTAGAGATTTTTAGTCATTATTTAATTTTTAGTGTCTACAACGAAATTACACCAAATGTCATTTTAAGTGGTCCAACGAACTTTGCACCGTTGATCTACCAAGCAATTAAGATATGTGAACAAGTTCAAGATGTAAATTCTTGTTTTTATCTTTTAGTAATTCTTTTTTCTATTAAAATAAATTTTAAACAAACAATATTTGCCCAATCTCATTGGGGATATGGGGAGATAACCAAAAATCTACAGTACCTTCCTGCTTAAATTTTTGCAAATTTCAGTACCACATATTGGTTATTATTGCTGATGGACAAGTGACAAACGAGAAAGCAACAAGGAAAGCGATTCTTAAAGCATGCAAATATCCACTCTCAATTATTGTCGTAGGTGTTGGTGATGGACCATGGGATATGATGAGGGTACTTTTTTCTCCTTAAGCATTCATTATCTTGTCTTCGCTGATCAATGCATGTAATTCTTTTGCCAAGAGGCAGAGCAATGCTTGAACCAATATTATAAGTAATGCTCATCATTCGAGCATATTGAAAATCTCATTAAATAGATAATTTCGAGTTCGAATTTTCAGGCGAAACTTTAGCTTATTAATCGACTAATATGTTAATTTTTAAAAGTTATTTTGAGGTATTCGATGATTCGTTACCGAAACGACCATGGGACAATTTTCATTTCGTTGAATTCCATGAAGTTATAAGAAAAGCGTCTGATACGAATGCTGGCGAACTGTCATTCGCCATACAATCTTTACTTGAAATCCCTGATCAATACAATATAGTTCGACAACTCGGTCTCCTTCGTGGACCACTCCAATGTTCAAACCAAAATTTCAAATTCTATTAGCCCAAATATATATATTTGCTCTAAAACGCGATGGATCAGCTTAATTATGATCCACTCTTCATGCGGTCCTTTTTTTGATCACACAATTGGTAGCGTTTATGTACTGAATTTAACGGTTCTTACCTGTATTATACAGGACTATGGTTAAATAGATCGAATTCACTTTAACGAAGATTTCACTGACTATACACATGCATGTTTCCACTTAGGTGCATTTGGATATCAGAACATCTGCTTGAACAACACAAAGAGATTTTGCAAAGTGATTCAGCTATGACTAGTGATTTATTCATTAACTTTTATTGCTCATATTATTATCCATGAAAATAGGTAAAGAAAAACTGATATCAAAAATACATTTAAAACTTTATTTTAACATAAATCATTTTATATAAAATCTCACTTTCTTTCATTTTTAAATTTAAAATCTCACTTTCTTTCATTTTTTTATTTTTAAAGGAAAAAAATAAAAAATAATTTAAAACTGCTGAGCTAAAAACCAAATCAACGGTTACAAATGCCAAATAAGAATATTTACATAGTACATTATGAATCTATGAGCCTCTAACTTTTCTCGCCCATTTTGCACATATGCCTTAAGGAACATTTTACGCTTCAAAAAAAACTAAACTCCGACAACCCTGAAGAAACAACGAAATTTGCAAAAATGAAAATGAAAAATAGACACTTTCAAAACTAAAAATAAATTTTCGTCTTCTTTATTGTTTTTTCCATATGAACAAAAATTTTCATTTTTTCATTAAATCAGTGAGCCAGTGTGTCAGTAAAATTCTGATAAATATGAATGTACCAAGGAAAGTTCGCTCGAATCGAATCACATTATGCGCCAGTTTTGTACAGAAAAATGACAGCAAAGAAATTAAAGAAATAAATATCAATAAATTCATGTTAAATTATAGCCTTAAGCTGAAATGCAATTAAAAAGACCACTAAGTCCAATAAGTTCAACTGCTTTATAAAGACATCTGCTTTATCTCTTTTTCTGAAGAAAATTTTTAAAAATATGTTTTTAAATACATTGGATCAAAATATAAATGAACAAAAAAACGCAAAATTCCAAGTTGACGATTCTTTTCGATTCAAATTGTATTATCGCAGGGATGGATCAACTCTACGACTTATATCAAGCATAATATCATCAACCGTTTCATCCATTGGATTATTAAATTCATCTCTGAATTCATTTCGCATTTGTTGCAGACGTAACCTTTAAGAGATGCATTCATAAAATCATTGGCAAAAAATATTATAGCCATTAAAATTTCAATTATTCAAAATTTCACGTAAATCTTCAAATAAGGAGAGAAACAAGATAGTGGAAAACCTAACAATGTTACGATATCAGCGTGCTTTTTCTCCACAGCTACATCTAATGGTGTTTCGCCGGCATGATTACATAGCCGCTGATCTGCACCTCGTTTCATTAACTGACAAACAATTCTGAAAAAATCTTTTTAAATCGCCTTTAGTGTAGTGCAAATGATTTAGAACTGTTAGTTAACAAATAAACAACTGAGAGCACTCATTTTTTCTGATTTATATTTATAAGAAATTTAAAAATATAAGTGTTTCTTCTTTTGCATAGTTTCAGGTCTGATTAGCTCTATAATAAATAATATCGTGCCACCTTTCGTAGACATAAAGATCATAACCACTCGAATTTTACTTTTTACGAGAGATTAACACCTAATAAGGAAGGAAAAGAAATTAATCTTCAACCTCAAATACCACACCACCCGAAAATACAATATAATATATTCTGAATTTCGTCAATTTTTTTAGAAAAATGGAAAAATTAAAAAAATAATAAATGCATAATGAATGCTAGGTTTTTAAATGACTGATTTCGTCAAACAATTCATCGTTCTGTTTTCACTTGCTGACAACGACGGCAATTGCGATTAATAACATTACCCTCTGATATTACGTTGATTACTCGAGATTAATTATGAAGAATGAGAGTTGTATAAGTTCATTAATGAAAATATTAAATAAATCAAAAATCTAACAATGTATGTCCCAAAGATGATGCGAGATGTAATGGCGTATTCAATGAGGCATCAAGCGCGTTTACCTTTGCTCCATTCAACAAGAGAAATTCAACCATTACACAATCCCCCTTAAGATTGGAAATTATTTGAAAATAAATCGGTATACTTATTTGAATGCAACTATTTTATAATTTATAATTTTCGGTTGCGAAACATCTATGAAAATTCGAATCAACTCTTTTTAATAAATAATGCCAAAAAAACAAAAACATTTTTTAGCACAGCATGTAAGGCTGTAGTATTAGCGAATGTAGAATTTATATCAACTCCCTCGGCGATCAGGCGAATCAAAGAAGTAATATTTCCGGATTTCGCTGCTTCTAAGACTCTTATACCGTCGCCATCATCGTCCCTAGCACCTAAAATCCACAAAAATTAAGGACTAAGATGTAATAATTACAGCTGGAAGAAAACCGCAAAAAGAAATATGAAATCAGAAACGTGATTTATTTATGAATTCAGTCGATTTTATGAGCAAAGAAAAAATCAATATAAAATAGATGGAATGAAATTCGAAAATGTGAAAAACCTGTAAATTCTTGAGAACTGTAAATGTTTGTCTCGGAACTATACGCAGACATCCTTGAAAAACCACCTGAAAACAAAAATTCAGCTCAAATTATTTGAGGGAAAATAATTCAGATTACAAATAATATAGCTTATAAAAGTTATAATTAAAATTATTTATAAATGCTACTTTCGCAAAATCAAATGATGAAATGGAAAAAAATAGAAAATAGAAAAAAATAGAAAAATTTATGGGATTTATGGCAGATTAATTTTGAATTTAACAGCCATTTTAATTATCACAAATATCAGACTCTTTATTGTGCAGATAAACTTAAGTTACCGTTTAAATGTGACGAAGATTTCCATTCCACATGCATGGATTTGGAATTTAACTGACCAGTAGCGAGATCTGGGGCTGACATCGACCTGGGAACATCTGCAAAATCTTTCAAAAAATTGTCCATTCAGAACAGATCAACAGCTCTAGCCAAAATTTAAATGCAGTTTTAAATTTTTTCGAATTTAGAATTAAATTCGCGCTCAATTTTCAAAATTTCCTAGATTAAGGATAAAATAAAGATAAAAAACAATCGATAAAACAACATAAGTCAGGAAAAATCTGGATAAAAATTCATTTTCTAAACTTTCAGCTTTTATAAATAATATAAAGAAGAATATAATTCATACACTGCTGAACCCCAAATATCCTTTTCTAAGAAAAAGATCTACCACAACAAGCTAATCTCAACAATTAGCCCCTTTTACTCAGTCGTAGCTATTACAACTGAGTTAAGTTTTTTAATATTGCATTACAAAGCAAATTAGTGGATATTATGAAGAATGTAGATATTACTGACAAATTATTAATTATAAATTATTCAAATGGAATTTTGATTATTTCAATGCCCGCTTCGAAACTGTTATATATATATATATATATATTTATATATATGAGGATAACTATAAAGTATTTCACTGAAGATCAGAGAATTTAAATGACCTATGAAATAATTTAAATAACAGAGTTAGGTGATTGGAAGAAAAAATTGAGCTATCTGCCAATAAATGTAAAATTTTACATCTTAATTTAAAATCCTCTGGAACACTCTAATTTTCCCTCCGAACGCATTAATAACATATCAGACCTTGGCTTAATTATTGAAAGGAAAGTGAATTTCAAAATCTTCCAGAAAAATAATGAAACTAACCACAAATTTTTTAATTTTTACTTTTTAATTTTTTAATTTTTAATTTATTTTAGTACTAATTTCAATTTTTTAAATATCTGAAACTTTTCTTGTTAATGTGTACAAAGCCTTCATTCGATAGAAATCTTGCGTTACCTACATTTAATAGAGTGTAAATAACACGCTTAACTTTTGGAGGTTTTAAAAAATCATTTTTGTTATTTAGATTCTGAATTTATGAAATATAACTGAATTTATGAAATATACTATAAAATTTCATAAGAACCATAGACTAAAGAAAAGATTCGATTTAAATTTATATTATTTAGTTTTGTTGAATCTATATTTTAAGAATTAGGATATTCTTTAATTCTAATATCGAGAGAGGAAACCGACTAAAATTATCTATTTGCAAAATAAAATAAAAGTTCAACTTTTTCACTTAAGAGCTGGAATAAATCATCTCCTAATTTTTGCCACAACTATATCAAATTTTAAGAATAAATTAAATATTTGCACCATAGAATAATTGGTCGTAGACCTTGACAAATATTTATTTATTTATTATAAATTTTCTGTCATATTTTCTGTTTATTTTATTTATTTTATTTTTTATTTGTTAATATAAAGATATTGTTCTTACTATGAGAAATATGACGAAGAAAACATCCCTCAGCTCTTAAATGTGCAAAGTTTCTTACACGTTCAGAGGACTTTCGCACGAATCGCTTTTCAATATATTTCGCCTTAATCCAGGCTTCTCGAGCTGGTCTAAAAAAACAACAAAAAAGAACACTGATTACCAATGATTTAAAAGAATATTATAAAAAAATAACTTAAAAATTTCCAATCCAAAAAGATATTGACTGAAGTTAGTAGAGCAATGAATTAATACATATAGCAATAACAAACCGTGATGAAGTTGGTTTTGATGGAGGTGGTACGATATTTGACTCGGGTAAGTGTGCTAAATATACTGAATTCACAACACGATTCCCTAAAGCGAGCATTAATTTACGCTGTTCTGGTTCTAATGAATCCATTGTTAATGAGCGAACTTTCGATACTTGTACACCAAAACTTCGATGAATGCCACAACACTCAATGCATATTAACGCCTAAAAATAAATTCTCTTATATTTAATATTAAAAAAATTACGATTTTTCATTAAATTTAAAAGTGAGTTTCAATGTAAATTGAATACAGAATATTCTTCTGATCAATGATTAATTTCAAAAAAAAGTAATCTGATTCATGAATGATGCATACACCAAGATTTATGCTAGCCCATTTTGGAGCTTTTGCACCACAATCAGCGCACTTCTCATTCCCTGGTATTTGCCATAATTCAGTTAATAAAGTATCACGAAAGCAATTTGTTAATGTTGAAGAATCAGAAACAGAAGATATAGCTGGTTTGAAATTGTCTAAATTATCATCCACTTCGTGTAAATGGTGTATAGTCCGTTGAAGTGCTCGTATCCAAGCGTTGCATAAGGCATCCGAATCTGCTTGCAACAAATGACTCCTTAAAAAAAGAAAATGCAGTCTTTAATGATAATTTAAAAAATCACTAAGGACTAAATTTTTTGCGAGGATGGAGAAGTTTCATTCAGATATATTTCTTAGAAGCAAATAAAGCAAATAAAGTAAAAGACTACAACTTTGAAGGTGTTATCAGTTCAAAACATGATGCTCTATCCACTGAAGGAGGTGCAGATCGAACAAGACATAATTTCAAATCGGGTTCCATAACAGTTGGCGTTTCCATTGCTACTGACCGATGGCTGTATATCTTAATGTGATATAAATAATAATTGATTCTAAAACCATTCAAAAACTGTTGACATTAAAATTTTCAAATATTAAAAAAAAAATTTGATAAAGTTGTTCGAAAATTTATTAGACCACACTAACTGAAAACTAGAAAATAAGAAAAAAAATAAATCTATCCAATTGTTTCTCTAATTAAAAATAAACCAACCAATTTATTGTCTTTTATTTGAAACCATCGTCGATGCCATGTTTTGAAGGCATTAGTTGCTCTTTTAAAAAGGTATCCTTCCATGATAACATCTTCGTCTGGAGAAATACCAGCTGGATGAAGAAAAACTTCCTTAATGCAGAAAAATTTCATCGACAAATGAAAAATTTCTCATAGATGTGTAATGCTTTATATATGAAGTAAACTTAAATGCACTAATCACTATTATTCATCTCTAATCGCCATTGTTAATGAGTTTTAATAAGTTTAGGAAAACCATTCTCAACCTCAATCTCAAGCATTTTATGCAATTGTTAAATAAACTTTTTAAAAAGTGACATAAAAAATTTATCGAATTTCCTTTTTTAAAGCAGCAATAGGAAAATAAAATTACTAAAATTTTTATGATCCGTTTTATTTTCTCCAGAAAAAAAATATTACAAATTTTAAAATTTGATTTTTACATTTGTTATGAACAATTTAAGTAATTAAAGATTAAATCAAACCTTTGGTACCAATGCATGACGATCCTGCATTTTTCTTTCTATCGTTTTACTTTTATCTGCTAATACTGCCACAGTCTCACATATCGGTCCGCTTTCCATAGCTGTCCATTCGTCGAAAAAAGAATGGCCGCGAGTAAAAAAAGAACTGCATTCTTTTATGAATGACCACAACTAAAATAAAAATTTTATTTTACTGAAAATATAAAATTTTTACTATCAAAATTTCTAAAAAAAAGCAAGAAAATCAGTGTGTATAGTTCGCTTTTTCATTCAGACTAAAATACATCCAAAGACCTTTAAAAAAACTGAGAATTTAAAAAAATTCAAAAAAACATTCCATAAAACTAACACCATCAAGAATAAGATGGTCCTTATGAGCATGGGCAATGTTAATCTGAGCAACATAATCCAGTGCAGTGTGAGCAAAACAAGTACCAACGGCAGTTAGAGCATTTTTAGCATCGGTAATTTCGTTGGGACGAGTACGACATATTGACGCCTTCCGCATCAAAGCGTCATCTAACGAATTTGATAAGCTTTCATAATGGACTTGCGTCTCTAATATTTTTAGCCTTTCACTGAAATAGTAATTTCAATATAATTTAAAAAATAAAGAAAAAGAAAAAATGAAAAGTAGAAAATCAAATGCAAGCCACGTTTAATGTCGACTTTAACTTAAATTTTTAACTTAAATTTAAAAATTAACTTAAATTTTTAAGAAAAATGTTGAAAAAAATTCACTTTCGCAGGAAATTACTAATATTTACACATAACGCATTATGAGACTTTTCGATAAATGATCGATGTAAATGGATAACATGAATGAAAGCTTCTGAAAGTGAAGCGAATGCTGACTGCACTGCCGTATCCTGAGGTAATATTTCGCTGCATAATTGACCAACTGCCACAGATAATGAACTAAATTAATAAATAAGAAAATTTTACTTAATAAATTAATAAAATCTGTTTGAAGAAGAAACGAATGTAATAAATAATTCAAAAGAAATACGAATTAGTGCATTGATATATTTTACAGTTCAAAAAATTATTGGAAAAATTTAATGATAGAAATTTAAAATAAAATATTCTTTTAGAGATTAATTAGTTGATTAATAAATGAAAAGAAACTCACTAAAACGTGTTAGTATAATCCTTTCCATGACCGGTCATTGCATTTAATAATCGCAAAAGCTGAAATGAATATTTTGCTAAAATGAATGAAAAAAATAGAATTTTAGAATTTTTGACCAAATAAACGATTAACCAAATAAAATATAATATCTTCAGTGTTAAAAATATGATAAAAATGATAAGTACTCTGAGTATGACTAGAGCATCATAAACCAACTGACTTCGACTGTCTCAATGAAAGTCCAAGAAAGCATGCACTGGTACTCGCAAAAATACCCCATCTCTTCCTCACCACTCGTTACATTGCCGCTGTATTTTTGAGTATAAATTTCAATGATGAAAATAGTGGCCTAGGACTGGGAAGCAAGGTGAAAGGAGACTCTGATTATAGACACTAAAGGAATGCACCTTTGGGTAGACCTTTGGCGAAGGGAATGCAAGAGAAACTGTAAATATTGGCAATTCCTTTACCAAAGTGGTATACGAGAGAATAGCGAAAATATAACTCACCTCATTCAATTTCACATCAATTTTGTTGAAGAACTGTTCATGTAAAGTAATTGCATGCCTATAAAATAAGAGAAATTAAAGAAAACATGGAAAATTTTTCGCTGAATCGCTGATTTACTTTTTTTATCTTAAATGTCAGTTTTCAAATACTCTGAAGCTATAAGGCTAAGAAAATGTGGCTAATAGAAAATAGAAATCGCTTCTCAAAATTGGCAGTTGTCAAAGTTGTATCGTGAATTTAAGAGATGCTATTACAGGTCACGATAAAGGTTATAGGCAATTCATGTTGGCTGATAAATGATAATCAGCATAATGAACTGAACTTTGGTCGAAAATGTTAATGAATTTTTCAATCATAAAACCATGTTGAAGTGATAAATCTTGAATTATGGTGAATTGATGATTTTCATGTCATTTAGCGAGCTAAACATTCACAAAAATCACGATTATTGTACTATTTAATGTGGCTAAATTATTCCAGAAATTAGTAAAAAGTGTACCTCAGCCTCGGCGAATCCTTTATTGCTTCTAAAAAATCGAGATTTGGCAGCAATTCATTTCCTCCGGCAAACATATTTGTACACGTCAAATTATAGTTTCCTCAGTATTTCTGAATAGAATTTTATCTGGCAAAATTCCTTAAAAATAAAAACCTGGGCTCCTGGAAAAAACCATCGTACTGGCTTCTACATTAAATAACATAAATATAACCGACAAATATAAAATATAATTGTACAGTGATATTTCCCCTACATAACTGTGGAAAATGGTTTCATTTATCCACAGCAATATTTTTCTTATTCGAACAAATAAAAATTTCTAATAAAAAAAAAGATCGTTCAAATAAAATTTGCAATCTTTGAGGTGGTCGATAATAAGAAATATAAGTTTATAGGTCAAAAGGTCAACAACGGCAAGCATAATGAATACGAGAAAAACACAAACACAATCACAAATCACCTTTCACCGTTTCACCATTCATAACTTAAAAAACTTAACCACAACAATGGAGCGAATCCAGGGAAGGAAGCACTGAAATATAAATGCCTCACCATTTTCGATATCTTTCTAATGCCAGTTGAAATTAATTTTTGTAGAATTTATAAGATTTGTTGCTGATCGCTGCTATTCCCATCCCTGCATTCATCTTTTCATCTCTTTATCAAATAAACAATATAAAAGGTACTGCGAATGAAAGTTTTGCTTTCTTGTGGTGAACGAAGAAGAAAATGGTGAATAAAACCACAATGAACACCCCTCACCCACTTCTTTCACGTTGTCCGAATAAAATACTTATAATTAAAATTGATAATTATTTGATGAATAATTGATAATTAGAACGAATTGATTGAAAAGGGACATGAAAACCGATGGGACATTGGTTTAGATTATGGTAGTGAAAAGCAAAATTCGACGGCTATGTTTACCACCCCTGCAATTTTATTGCCGAGTGATTCCCTAGCAAAAAGTTTCGAAGTATATTAATAGCCAACAAAAGGTGGCTTAACCAGAAATGGTGAGAAACTCCGACCGAAAAATAAAAGTAGTGAAAAAGTGCGATGCAAAAAATGAAGTCCCCTACCCTAGAAAACGTTTTACTCGCAAAAAGGTAAATAAATCAAAAATATGAAACTGGTTGAAACCCAAAAAAAGTAATCCAAGAACAAAATTCTAATTATTGCGCATAAGATAAAAACAATAAATGCAACAATAATGAACAAGACGAAATAAATAAAAAGATCGAAAAAAAGATAGAAGAGATCGAAAAAATAAGGAAAATGGAATTCTCGATTAGGGATTGCAATTTAATTAAATTTTTCTCTTACTACTGTAGGTTTAGCCACAAAATCAAATGAATAAAGAGAGATTTTATTGACAAAAAACTTCTCGCAAAATTTTTGCTTTAAATCAAAAGTGAGGAGTTAGAGTTATCAGATTTCAAGATCATCGTCTAGATCACTATCATCGAAATCATCACGTTCGTCAGGAGTGTAAATTATACGGCCACCAGCACGAATTTTTTTATTTGAACTAATATCCATTTCAGCCAACACTGAAAAAATTTATTAAATTTCAATTATTGAAATTGAATAATATGAATATTGAATAATATGAATACGAATATAAACTTAGTTTACCTATTTTGTAACATCAAAAAAGAGCAAAGAAAATTCCCTGATAATAATAAGTATTTTATGGTTCAACTTTTTCAATTTCAAATAATTCGCCTCATTTTTTTCATAAAATTAATCACTTTAAGCTAATTATTCAAGTTTGAAAAGCAAAAAAGGAAGAGAAAAATTTTGAGAAAATATAGTGTAATATGATAATATGTAATATGATAATACTGGCAGAAATAATCGCTTAATCATCTATGGCTCATATGTAGAAAAAGAACCATAAAGACTAACTCTTCTCATCCTGTGCCATTAGATATGGAAGTTTTACAGATTCTTTAGCTATATGCTCTGCTTTGCTTAACGATAAGCCCATGTCGAAAGTTGTTGTAGGTGCCATCTGGCCAATAGTCTTTTCTGATGTCGCTGATGGTAAATAAGGTGAACAATGGAGATTTAAACAATTATCGAAGGTTAAAAACTCCTTCTGAAGACTTCCAACGAAATAATGAGATCAGATAAATAATATAATAGAATTTTTTTCTCTGATAAATAATAAGTAATATAATAGAATCTACATCACAAAATAAAAATGAAATAATATGCAAATATTTCCAAGTTCATTTTTTAGCATGAATCCGACATTTTGGATAAATCCGAAATTTTTTCAGAATTCACACGATTCATTTTACATTCAATATTATCCCACATAATTCTAAGAAACTGATAATAATTCTAATTTGACTCCATTATTCAATAAAGTTAATTTACAAAATTAAAAAAAGAAACAACTGGTTTGAGTTTTTAAAAGATTTATGAAAAATATGGTCTTATTTAAATTATATTATAACGTCAATTTTAGCTAAAAAATTCGAAAAAATATACTTCCAAAACTTATAATCAAATCACGCCGGGAAAATTGATTTAAAAAATGAATGTTTATAAAATCACTTTTGATTGCCGATCACCACTTTTTTTAAAGTGAGTCCATGAACATATGCAGCGTTCTTTTTCATCCGAATAAAGCACCATAGTGGTATTGGCAATCGATATAAGACTTTTCCAGCCATCATTAGAAACAACATCAGAGTAAATACGAGTTACAACCAAATTTTTTCCTAAAAATTGAAAAAATTGAAATCTTTTCAAAAAATGTAGTACTTTCCCAAATAAACTTGATATTTGGTCTTTTAAAAACATTTCGATTCTCCCTGGTTTCGAGGTCCCACATTTTGTTGTCATGCAAAGTTGATTAATATATCAATTTATTCTACTTGTCAAAATCTTTTCCTTCTTTTCATGGAAGAACCAACAGGCTTTAGATTCGAGATGAAATGGCATGAGTCTCCACTTCTAGCACTTAGTTTAAATAACAGAATCAAGCCAGATTCAAGGTAATATGCAAATATATTTTAGTGAAAATGCTCCTAACGAAAGCAAAAATGGTTCATGAAGTTCAAATCCGGAAAAATTCGAGTATGAGTATCGAAGACGACCTATTTTGCTTTTGCTCTTCCTAATTCCTAAGGAAATGGTGAAGTTATATAGATGATTCCAGAAGGAGTTGTGTAAATTTCGCGCTTGAAATTCATGCTTAACGTGTTAAATGTTTAAAAAAAACGACAAAGGAGTATCCCACGAATCGATTGAGACTTATGAAGTTTTCCCCATCCACTATATTTTCCAAGTAGCCCTTTAATATTCATTCTCACTTCACCCCCTCTGCAAATTCCTTAAGAAGAAATATAAATAAAAATACAGTCTTTAAAATAACTCAGAACACTTCATTGCTTCCAAAAGCATGGATTTTGAGAGAAATAGGATGATTGCATCTGCATCGCACTGACAAAGGTGTTTTTTGTAAGAAGCTTATTTTAAATAAAAATGTTCATTTCAAGGCGGTTAAGGCCTTACAAAATAAACGACAAAGCAGAACTTTCTGAAAGAGCCAATATTTATCATATGAAATCAACATATTCGCCTTTCAAATAAAGCCGATTCAACCGCGAATTTAAAAATTCAGCGACAAACAAAAACATTGTAAACTGATACAATTCATAAGGAAATCTAACTAATAGAGAAAGTTCCAAGGCTACTGGTGAAACTGCCAAAACTTCACCAATGTAGCGCAGTAATATCGAATATTAAATTACAAATCTCGCATATAAATAATATATATTTGTTCACTGAAATTTTTATCGATTTCTCGCACTTTTTTAATTTTGTAGGAAAAAATCTTCAAATTAAAAAAATTACTAATAATTTTGAAATGAAAAGCAAGTCGCAAGATAAAAAATTTACTGGATAACTGGGCGAGATGCGCTACGATTTTTTCACCGAAATCCAAAAAATCGCGATCGATGGAATCAATAAAATATGCCAAACGTCGATTACCATCACTTTCTAATTTAACTGAATCAATATCATAAATAGAATCCACTTCATTAAAATGCATATCAAATTTCGCTAACATTGGATAGCGACGTTCAAAAGTTTCCTTCCACGTATTCGTTAGAAAAACTCGCACATTATCAGATTTTTTCGCTGCCTTCATCAACAAATTTATCCATAACGGTTCGCCTTTAAATTGCAAATTATCTGAAATAGAAAAATTTTTAAAAATGAATTTCAAATTTAACTACGAATTTCAAAATGAAAACTTTAAATTTTTCGAAATTAATGACCAATTTTAGTAAGAAAAATTTCAAAATATTTCCATTAAACAATAAAAACGCACAATTGTTCGGTGAAATGAAAGAAACTTGGATTTCCAATGAAATAAAAGCGCTTTCCATAGATTTCGAGCAATAACCTCGACATAAGTCAATGCGATAAGCTTTTGGAAATACTTCCATTAATCGCTGCAACAGCGATAATTACAAATGAAACTAAACATGAACATGAAACGAACCGCTAATGACGACGAACCCGCGCAGATCCAGGTTCTCCATGGTACTTCGCTTGGCCTCGCATCCGCTCGGATTGTCCACTGCGAACTTCTCTAAACGCATATAAACCTTAGCAAAACGAGAAACTTTTACTGAAAGCGAATCTGAACTTAAGTACAATAAATTAGAGCGTAACACAGCGACAGATGGAAAATAGAATTAATTTCTAATTCGTTACTTTTTTAAATAAATGGAAATGAATAAGTCAAACAACGTTTTTCTTTGCAGTTAATTCATTCTTTCTGAACGTAAGAGAAATAAAATGAAAAGGAAAAAGTTTATGGAACCCCACTAAATCGGAACTTAAACACTTTCAAACTAATTTAATAGATTTTTAATTAAAATGGGTTCGACTTTAAATCAAAATTGAAACGGCCTAAGGAACCTAAGCTACAAATTAGCTTTCAAAGTCTCGGCAAATAAAAATTTTTAAATCAGCATCAGGTGGCTGAAGCTGCGAATTAGTTTAATAATTCGCGTTCAGCGCAAATTCATGGAACACACGACAAACCCACACATGAGAAGTGTTAGATAGGTTTTTCGAGGTGATGAGCGAAATTCTTGCGATGCGCTGATGCCCTTCTGGCTCGTGCAAACCGAACGTCACGCTGAAACGACCCTTCTCGATGTGCCGCTTCTTTTCTGACTTTTCCTCCTAAACCTCGAACAGTGTACATTTCACGCCTTGACTTGAGTTTACGTTATTTCACGTGTAGATTTTTTGAGACGTAGAAATTCATTTTATTTATTTCGATAATACATATAAGAATAAAATATCTGATTACAATTAAAAAATGAACAATAAAAAAAAAGAATCCTCTAAACATTTTTACAAAAAATAAAAACTTCCCAAAAGTTTATTATACATCTGTAATGATAAAATGAACAATAAAATAATAAAATCTATAATAATAATAAATTAATGCCAGTGCAAAAACTATTTGCACTTTAATTTCCAACAAAAAGAATTATAAATAATTAAGCCGAAACAATTTAACCTACAACTGAAATACTTTGGAGCCAGTAGGTGAATCATGTCCAGATCAGGTGCTATACAACAATATTTATGAGTCATTGTTGGATGTCAAAAACTATGGTGATAGCTGGTTAGCCATAATAAAAAGTTGAAATGAACTGGAAATAAACTAAAAAATGAGATAATTTAATATGACGTAAAATATAACATTAGCATACAAATATTGGGAATAATATTTATGGGCCTTCACCAGTCGTTTCGCATGATATTACCATAGGAATATCGCCTTCCGCTATAGCTGTGGCAGTAGTTTCTGAGGGCATCGAACAGTCCATTGGTTCTTCTTTTATATCTTCTTTCGACTCCAGTATTTCATTTTCTTCGCTTTTCGCTTCCTTTAAATTTTCACCGGTTTCTTCTAAAATTTCAAATCATTTAATGGAAAAGTTAGAGAAAATTAAATATTCTATATTTTTAAAATGAAAAATCTGAGAAATGATAACAAATTATTAAATTATTAAATTAAAAAATGATTCTGAAGAACGACAACAATCAAAGATGTAGGAATTTAAAGAGACAATACTCAAATATGATTCGCTTCAAAAAAATTCAGCAAAAAAGCAGATACCCTCTTTCATTTCCTCTTTCTGCTTAGCAGCAGCAGCTTCAGCAACAGAACTTTTGGTTAAAGCCGCAAATTTAGGTTGAATGCCCGATAATTGCTGGCCAAGAGTTGGTGTTACAAACGGTCCAGGAGGCGGAAGTGGACTCTGTCCAGAAGCTGCTTCCGTGTCACGAGTTGTCAATCGACTCAATATGCTGAGAGAAAAATTAACTTTCTATTTACTGTAAAAAAAACTTAATTTCTGAGAATTAAAATTAATGTTAAAATAAAAAATCACTTGAGCATATAGGACTTATTTTCTAATTCTGATAATTCAAGAAAGAACCACCAAAACAAAACAAAACAGAAGAAAATATTTCAAAGCAAAATCCATATTTCATTCAAGAAAAACGAACGATCTTTCATTCATGCCTAATCTTTCAGTGACGGGCCTAAGTTTAGCCAGAGTAGCAGGTAATCTAGAAACATCTGACTTCATATCTGAGAGTAATTCTTCCAACTGGTTCAAAACCTGAAATATACTTTTCAAATTAAATAGGAGCTTTATATTTTCTTTTGTATGAGGAATCGACAATATTTACTAAAAATAACCTTATGAAGTACGGCGCTTGCATTTTTATTGCCTTGCATGCTATCTCTCGCAAGATGCTGATGACTTTCTGCGAGGCATTCTATGTCTGCAAATCGTTCATTAAGCTGTTGTGTTCCATCACCGTTTGACTGAGTCAAATTTAGGTATGCCGCACGACGAAGCTGCTCTTCGATTACGAGTGCTTGTTCCAGCAACTGAAAATATGACTAATTTTCCTTCTCTCATAGTTATATTTATAACATATCATACTCTGAAGAATTAAAGAGCATTTAACCAACCGATTAAACAAAGCACTAGAAGGATGTAATAAAGAATAATTAACAGAAAAAAGAAAAAACAGAACAGTTTCGAAAACAACAAAAGAATGAAGTGTTAAATTTCGCTCTAAATACCCATTGCTCTAAGAGAACTGAAATCCACTAAATCTACCTTGTATCGACGCTGAAGAAATTTATTCTTAATTTCAAGGAAATTTCCTTTTCCTTGTTCCGTACGGAATGGTTCATTGATAATGGAAAACCTTGGATCATTCTGCATATCTTGATATCGACCATAGCCATAACTACAAAGAAAAAAATTTGGTGCAAATCAATAATTTCATTCCAATTAAATTCTCAAATTCAATAATGTACCTGACAATGCCAGCGAGAAGCCAATAATCATGTCTCCTGTGCCATATTTCATATTCATTACCAGGAACAGCAGCTTTTTCCTCATTCAACCATAATGTATGTAATTCAGTGAATCCACCATCTGCTATATTAAATTTAAATGGTGGTCGCGGATATCTAGACTTCTTCGACACCAATTCTTCGTTTGCAGACTTTTCATGAATATTCTCAGTCTCTTTTTCAATTTTTCTGGTTTTTTCCTCACCATTCGTTGTTGTCCCATTATTTCCCTGAATTTGATTAACTCTCGATAAAATCAACGAAAAATTTATATGAAATTTGGTTAAATAGTAGACAATTTTAGATTAGGACAAAAAATGATGAGACGACTAAAAATCATCAATTCCTATTTTCAACGATTAACAACGCCTCAGATTCGCCTTTTAAAATCATTTAAAATTTTTTTGTTGCATTATGCCTTTGCGAAAAACAATCCTCTTTTTCGTTCTTCGCCCAAAATTAATGCTTTACTGTGCCGTTTAATCAAGGATAATTTAATAATTCAGTCCATTGAAGAATTATTCATAAAAAAAGATTTTTTACGGCATATGATACAAAATCATATGACACGCGTTATCGATCATTGGCGTAAAAAAATTTTTGAAAATATAAAATATAAACCAGGAACGGAAAAAAATTTTTATCAAACTTATTCGGTTTTAACTTTCAAATAATTGATAGCTTAAACAAAATAAGATTAAAGGATTGTTATTTGCGAGTGCCATTGCCGATTTCTGCAGGAATAAACACTTATAATTCAACACTTATAATAAAACACTTAAAAATCTGAGTGATGCTGGCGATTTAACTTCAGTCCAAATTACTCTATGGCAAAAGAAAGCAATGTTTGCCTCGATAAACCATAGGAGCGAGCTTAATCAAAACCATGGTGAGCCCATTTTAGAAAAAAAATGAGCGAAACAGAAACTCGGCCAACGTATTCTGGTGTTGGAGTGATGTCCTTTGTTGTCGCTGGAGTTGCTGAACGGCTGGAAGCTTTAGATCCCGTTTTAGCACCGGGTCCGTCTTTTTCAGGATCAAAGCTTTGTGTAACACGGTCTCGTATTTCAGGCATCGACCATTCACCATTGCTTGTTTCAAATTCCTGTTTCAGATTATTTTCATTATTTTCTTTAAATTTTAAAATAAGATAAAGTAAATCTTGTTACACGAAAGGTGAATGAACCACTGCATAAAACACGAATTAATCAATAAAAAACAATTACTTGAACTTTTTTACGAATAAGCGACATGATTCCGATTCGAGTGAGAACATGTTGTCTATTTAACCCTTCACGGGGAACTCCATCATTGAAAGATTCTTGAGAATCGGCACCCGGCTCACAAAGATGACGCATAAATAATGATGTATATGCCTTGAAAGCGCGTTCTGACTTTCCCTTAAAAAAAAATTTGAATTGGAAAAAGATGTGCACATTATAAGCACGATTTTGAAAATTCTTAAATCGTAAAAAACACCTTAAGATCTCGCACAAGCCATTGAGATTGATACGCATCTTGAGGAGGCATACCCCATCGCATAACCGCATTATAGAATGCTCTCCTTTGTCTCGGATTAAAACCAAGTACCTTAAAAAAATTAATGTTTCCTAGAACTTGCAGAAATAAGAGTAAAAGAATTTAATGAAGATGTATCTGACCTCAAGCTGTCCATTAACACGTGCAAGCAAAGGCGGCAACTTTTCGTCATTACGATCACGATGACGCTTCTTTTTATCTTGCGCATTATTATCAAATTCATCATCTTCGCCTTCGCCATCAGAACGACCACTTTCACCACTGTATGATGACGAAAAATCGTCGTTATTCGACTGCATTTGCTGCCAGTCCTGTTGCATATTCTCCGATGCATAATTGACCTGAATCCATTTATTTTATTTATTTATTATGCCATTTTATTTTATTTCATTTTAAATTCTATTAAATGATCTTAAAATTTAATAGTATTAAAATAACTAAAAAAAATTTTACTTGTTTTCTCACACGCTTCCCTTTTCCCAATTTTTGAGCTTGAGTTTCCTGTTCTTGTTCATAATGATGTCGCAGTAGTTTCTCCCAATAATCGGGGTCAGCTTCTTGAGCAGCTTCTTTGATAACTTCTGTATCATCCTTGAAAAAGATAAAGCCAAGTGTTTGAAAATAACATCATAACTCCACCGTCAGTAATATTAAAAATTACCTCTTCATCAGGTTCTTCTTCATCAGCTTCTCGAGTAGTGTACTGGGCTACTTTAAATGATGATAAATATTCATTTGTCCAATGTTCCTTCTTTTCACCATCACCTTCACTTTTCGCTTCACCACTGGCACGATCTAGCAAGGCATCAACCGCTTCATCATCCCATATAATTTCTTGTTCATTTGCTTTTTTTTCTCCATCCGCAGTTTCTGTTGATGCTTCATCCTCCTTAAATCCATATTGATATTTTATTAAAAAGGTCTCATAAATTTAGAAACCTATTTTCCTAAGAGAAATAAAATTTCTCCAACCTTGAAGAGTTCCTCCGTTCCCCAACGAAGTACATCATCTAACTCGCTTTTGCTCATTGACGGCCCTTTTTGGCCGATTCCAGCACGAACTACCAAATGAGTTAATAGCATTTTTTTTTTAGCCACTGAAGTAATTCGTTCTTCTACTGAATTCCTAGTTACAAATCGATAAATTAATACTTTCCTTTGTTGACCAATTCGATGTGCTCTACTGAAGGCCTAAAATAAGGTGTCACTAAAATAAAATATGAACCGAAAAAAAAACGATAAAACCATCCTGTGGTTATTTTGTGATCACTCATTAGTTAAAAATTAGTCGAGGAGCAAACAAAATCGTTTTGTTGATTTATATTAAATATAAAAAAACAATACAAATAATATATAATACTTGTATATCATTATGAGGATTCCAATCAGAATCGTAGATAATAACAGTGTCGGCAGTGGCGAGATTTATACCTAATCCTCCTGCTCTTGTTGAAAGCAAAAAAACAAACTGTTGAGCATTTGGTGCTGAAATTATTTGCCGTAAATACGATCAGCTTAAAAATCACCTAAAAAAGTACTTTAAATATATTTTTCAATAAATTTATTTAAAAATGAACCATTAAAACGATCAATAGCATCCTGTCGTGCTTGACCAGTAATTGAACCATCAATTCGCTCATATTTATAACCCTCATTTTCACAAAAATCTTCTAGAACATCTAACATCTTTGTCATCTGAGAAAAAATTAACACTCGATGACCTGTAATATGATCTTTTGTTTAACTCTGAAAATAATACAATTTATCCCAACAAATTTCACTGGTAAATGAATCCATATCAATACGTAATACAATATATTTCTTTCTAAAAAGATGCTTGAAATCAAAAACAAAGGAAAAAAGTAACCCTGGGTTTTCAATTTTCGCAGCATTTTTTGCAAAAGGATGAATTTTCCTGATGCTTTCACTAAAGCAGTTCCTTCATACATCCCATTTTTATGCTTTGGTGCTTCAATACTCGCTTTTGGAAATAGATATGGATGATTACAACATTTTTTGAGATCCATAATAATATTGAGCAATGAGACTTGAGTACCACCGCCTTTGGGGTTCAAGGCTTCGAAATTTCTAGTTAATATGTTTTTGTAGTATTTCCTGAAAATATGCTGACACCGCTATTAAAAATACCATTATTTTTTTTTTCTTCATTTTCTTGAATTATTTTTATAAAATGCTCACTTCTGCATTGGCGAAAGTTCAACGCGAACAATTAATTCACTTTTAGAAGGCATCCCAGATAAGACATCCGATTTTAATCGCCTAAGCATATGGGGCCCAAGAAGTGAATGTAGTTTTTGAATTTGATCCTCTTTCGATATCTCAGCAAATTCATGGGTAAATGAATCCATATCACTGCATAATGACTTATTTAGAAAGTCTCTTTTAGAAAAATATAAATGCAAAGAATGAGAGATAAGCAATTCAATTAAATTGAAGAAAAAATATCGAAAAGTGGAACTCACTAAAATCTATCTGGAGATAAAAAGTTGAGCAAATGAAACAACTCTTCTAAATTATTCTGCAATGGTGTCCCAGTTAATAATAAACGATAATGAATTCGAAAGTCACGCAAAGTTCGAAAGAACAATGACTGATTATTTTTAAGACGATGGGCTTCATCAACAACAAGACCTGCCCAATCAATCGAAGATAATATGGTCTAAATAATTTTATAAAAGTAGCAAAAAAAAGAAAGCAAAAAAAAAAACAAGCTGAAAAATTAAAACAATAAGAATAAACAATAAATTCAATAAAGAAATACTTTGTCAATATTGATGAGTTCATAAGAGGTTAAAAGCACATGAAATTTGATTCCTTGATCAGTTTTCATCCTCGTTACTTTCGGACCTCCACGGACTGCTCCTTCGATGAAAGAAAATTCATGTTCTCTGAAAAAGGAAATGAAAAATGAAAAGATGTGATAAAAAAGTTTAATTATGAATTTTTTTTCAAAATTCCAACCTAATGACGGTACGGCTGTCTTTATCACCAACATAAGTCACAACATAAAAATCAGGACACCAAAATTCAGCTTCTCGTTCCCAATTTATCAACGTAGATAAAGGAGCTGCCACCTATGAAAAAAGTTCCTTTCGAAAAAAATAAAGGATTAAACAATAAACAAAAAGTGAATAAACGACTAATAAATATGACAATCAATTTTATCTTCAAACTTGCCAGAAAAAAGCTTAAAATTTTTTCTAAATTAGAAATTTTAGAGAATTTCAACAATTTACTAATTTACCAAGAAGGGTCCTTTTGTATGACCTTCCTTGACCAATGAATATAGAAAGACCATGGACTGAATTGTCTTGCCGAGACCCATTTCATCTGCTAATATAGCATCTGTTCCCTGTGACCAACAATGCCGGAGCCAATTGACACCTTCTAACTGATAGTCATGTAATTTACCACCAGTTTCCGTGATAAAATCAGGTTGTACTTCGTACTTTTTGCGCAACTGTAATATCTCTTTTTAGTACTGCTTCGCAAAATAAGGGAAATATTTGAACAAAACGATGAACAAAACATTTATGAATTCGAAAATGCAAAATTATGCAAAGTTCGAAAGAACGGTGGTCGATTATTTTTACGATTGAAATGGAAATGAAAAAATTTCGAGCAATAAGTAATTCGTAAAAATTAAAACTTACATCCACTTTTTCTTTCTTTTTTTTTCTCCTACTTTCTTCATCCTCTTCCATAGTATTATCATCTTGTTTTTTTAAATTTAATTTCTTGCCAATGTGCTTAGGAATAACGTCCCCATTCATTCGCTCCCTGCAAGATAAAGATAATTCACTGCGAAAATAAAAATATCGTGCGGCGACAATATTCAAATAATTTAATCATCCAATAAAAGAATAGAAGAATTGAATAATTCTATCACTTTTTAAATAGGGCAAATGGAACGATGAATTTCCAATTTTTAAAATAAAAATAAAAGTAAAAATGAACCTGTGGAGCCAATATTTATTGATAGCTTCCTCATAGCCAATAATTTCAAAATCATCACGCTCCCAAGTTGCTTGTTCATATACTAATTCTCTCCATTTGACCAAATAATCAAACTGAGTTTTGCCATACTGTACATGATTGATTATGCGATGCACCTGCATCCACTCTGGTTTTACACCTGACCAAAAAATCATAAATTATAAAATATTGTGCAATATTTTATATTGTAAATTTATATTATAAATTTATACTATAAATATTGTAAAAATTATAAAATATACATTTGTAAAAACTTTTCAATTGGTCTAAATTAGAAAAAAATCACTTTAATTTAAAAATATACCAAGAAAACTGGCTGAACATACCGTAACGATAAAACCTTTCTTCTAAATTATGAGGATCAGCCTCCTTCTCTTTACCTTCAATTTGACCAGTTTGTAGATCTTCTTGACTACCATCATCCACTTCCGGTGGTGTCTCAGGATCCATTTTCCGCCAATACATACGCAAATACTAAAGGCTCATATATAATTTAAAAAAAACCTTTTCTTACATCTGTAAGGATTATAGGTAATTTCCCATCTCGGATCGTTTGCGAAAGGACTAGGATCTTGATTGCTAGCATTGCTAACTTTTCCTCCTCTTGAACAGAGAGCTCTGAGCTGTTCTTGAAATCTATTGGGCCACTTTTATTCTAATAGTATTATCCCATCAAATTCCAGATTTTGATCCAAAAGCCTTTTTAACTGGTTTGCTTGTAATTCAAGCTGTTGTTCTTGCATTCCATACTAATTCAGCCGCTACGTTATTCCTAGAGGCGATATATAAATTTTTTAGTTTAGGAGTCATAATTGCAAATGCTCCAATTATCACTAATTACTTTTACTTTCCACATTTTCTCTAGTTCCTCTTTCAGCATCTGGTGGTTATCTAACTTTTTATATTCTCCTTTTTAATATTCTTGAGGCTTGGTATTGCCATATTTATTAGAAAATACTGATAATACTGATACTGATTGTATAATACTGATTTCTGATTCTTGCCAACTACCACAATATCTGGCTGATTGGTTCATTTTTGTTTATCTATCTGGATTCCACAGGATTTTTCCTTATTATTCTCCACAATTTTCTGAGGAATCTGTCGTTTAAGAGGATTTAAGCCATATGCCAAGATATTCTGGTACATATATATCATGTATATATACGTATATACATAAAAGAATCATATAATATAAATTCAATAGGTACCTGTGGAAAATGGACATCAAGTACAACTTCGTTGACCCATTCACAATGCCAGTAGCTCATATATTTCCATTTCACGAACAGTTCCCGCTCTCGACGAGGTTTCATAGGCTTCAATGGCTTTAGCGCTATTTTACGCCCTTCCATTTCTTGAAATGTCTTAAAATTTTTCAAATAATACTCTAACATTTATACCAATAGATAAACGGAGAAAAAAGCCAAAGAATCTTAACCTTTAATTCTTCTTCAGCCATTGCCGCTGGATATTCAATTTCAATCCATCTCCAAGAAAGAACCTTTTCCGGCCGATTTTTCGGCTCCTGACATATTTGTACTTCACAGCGAGGACAGTGCCAACCTTCAGCCTCAGGTATTTCAGTAAGAGGAGGACTGATGCAATATGCATGAAATGAGCTCGGGCAAGTAGTACAATAGAGCAAATAATCTCCTTCCTATAATATAATAATTATCTGAATATTATGAATATTAAACTATTATTAAACTATTAAACTAATGTTATAGAAAAAATGTTATAAATGTGTTATATGTTTTTATAAATATATATTAATATTAGGCAAAAGAACCTTGCAAATACGACAATATTCCATATTTATTGTCCCTTTTTTTTCTTCATCTTCTTCCTTGAATTGGATTCCAGCAGATTCACAGCTAGGGCAAGACCACCTTCCCTCAGGTGCCTCCTCCATATCAGGATCCAAGCACACCATATGGTAAGCTTTAGGACAAGTGTCACATAAAATAATTTCACCACCTTGTTGGCATACTTCACAATAATCCTGATGATCGGTCTGAATTTCTCTATTTAAAAGAGAGAAAGCATAGAGCAATAAGAATTTCTCAGACTTTACATAATACCTGCTTTATGAATAAAATTTACGAGAAAATACAAGATAACAACGGCTTACAACCTCGTAGCCATCATCTCCCTTCTTTCTTTTTCTTTGTTGACCTTTTCGTCCTCGACCTTTCGCAGCCTTACGTTCTTCCTTCTCTTTTTCCTCTTCATCAAGTTGCTTTTCATGCTCCTTCAGCAAATGTTCAAATTCTTGATCACTATCATCTATATAAATATTTGATATTTCAATATATTGATCACTCATCAATTAAATTTGATAAAAAAAATGAAATGTGATTACGATTGGTATCGTCATCTTCATCTTCATTTCGCTTCTTCTTTCGTGCACTAATTCTTATTTTTATTGGAGCAACTACTTTTTCACCAGATGTATCACTTCTTGATTTCCGAGTAGTATTACCAATTATTCGACCGCGAGACGCCATATCTTCCTTAATTCAATTCAGCATTAATCCAGCAAAAAAAGATAACTAGCTTATTTATAAATCATTAAGATTGGATTTATTTATAAATTAAAATAAATTTATAAATTAAAATATCGAACTTAAAAAAAAAAAAGACAAATGAACTGATCTGAGAAAGAAAAAGAAAGAAAACTGTGATAAGCGATATGAATAGACAGTTATATTTAATTGCTAATGAAAGAAACAAACAAAACAAATGTTAAATTATCTCATATCAGTTATATCAATATCAATTATAATTATATTCTCATTGTAAATAATGTTGATAAAGAAAATTCTAACTTGATATTCACGATATTTCACCGAAACAACTTGCTGTATTCGAACTGATAAAGCCTTCATATTTGCAGCTTGAATTATAGGACGAACTCGGGCATTAAATGTCTATAAAAAAAATAACTTTTTCATATAAATAGGCATTTATCAGAAATTATATATTCACTGATCTAATTTATTAATTTATTTGTCCTTTATCGCACCTTTTAACGTCATTTTCACCAATTTTTATAAATATTACAAAAAATCAATTTAAAGAATTTAAAGAATTAAAAATTAAAATTCCTTTTTTTTCTCTAAAAAATTTTTCATTCCAAAAGATTTTTAAAGAACAAGCTGAGTTCTTCCAGGAAAGCATTTTAAATTAGAAAAACTGGAAAGTTTTTACAGAAATAAATCGGTCAAAACCGTAAATAAGATAACTGTAATTATATAATTATTATTATTTTAATATTATAAAATATACCCTCAACCTAACAAAGATCCTCTATCATCTGGGAGTTTATCTTAGCTATCCCTAACAGTATGTTCATCTGGACAAAGATCTCTGGTACTGTTCTTGGAGTCTGTCACCATTTTCTGCCTTAAGAATCACAGATCAGAACACCATACACCATTGACTCTTTTAGTCTCCTATTCCTTATTCCTGATGTCATCTGGTAACCAAATATTCCTGTAAACAATGCCAGCTACTTCCTTATACCACATGTTATTCTTGTCTTATATCCTACCGTTACCTTTAATCGACAGTCTCTGAGAGAACTTTCTACGCAATCTGCATCTTAAGAGTTCTGTATGATGCGTTAGTATCTCACTTCGATATTCAGGTACATGGTACCTGTTTTGTTGTCATGATCAATCAGTCAACTTTTAGCTTTTAACTTTTAGCTTTCCAGCTTTTTTAACCCCAGCCAGGATTTCTCAATTAATCACCTCAGCTATTTGTCGATATATTCCATGGAGAACCGCTGTATTTTCTCAACAATTCAGTTTTAGTGCCACTTTTCAGATCTACACCTGAAGGCTCTAGGTTTCGTTCAGAATTGTGGTTATTGACTGAACATCCATCAGATCCCACTCACCTTCTTATAGATAAGTACAAGGTGGCACTTATATAAAAAATATTTGTGTAACTCTGCGATCATGGAATAGAGATGCTGCCATCCTATTCTTCGCTTCAAAAAACATTCTCTCAAGCCTCACTACATTTTCTTAATATCTTCATGCTCCATTTCCTTAAAATGCCCAAACATTGCCTAAACCACATATGATTTAAGCATATTCATTAGTTAATGAATAATTAATGAATATTGTATTAATAGTAAATAATAATAAATTTATTAATTAATAATGAATTTGTAAAATTAATAAGAAAAACAAATAATTCTAAAAAATCAGTAGCGATCTATAATCAAATCATAAATTAAATTAAAAATATATATAGTGTTTAATATGCAAAAAATATCTTATAAAAAACAAAAGAATTCTTATAAAAAATTCTTATAAAAAATATCCTAATTCTTATAAAAAATGTAAGAAAAATGTAAAAAAATGGCAATAATAATAACATAAAATATTTGTAAAATTTCTTATTAAAAAATTTAAATTTTTGAAAAATTTTTCCATAAAAAATTGTTGAAAAATTATTCCAAAAACAATTCCGAAATTATTCCGCAAAGCATAACGTAAGGCAATGAGCTAAACCAAAAAACTAAAATGGACAAATATAAATTAAAAAATATAAATTTAAAAATGCTAACCTTGGCATTTGTAATTGCACTATGGTCTTCTTCGGTGAACTGAAGTTGTACATCGTTCATACCGAAAAGCTGACAAAGTTCCGCCGAACTCATATTTGGTTCGATAACTAATTCTTGCTTTCGACTTCGTTTCATTTTATTGCCTTTTTTCGAATTCCTCTTTCTTTTTAAAAAACGGGATTCCGACACTAAATTTTAAAAATTAACACTCTACTCTACTCTATTGAATAGAATATATTAAATCGGAATCCGCAAAAGGTGAGTTGAGAAGTAACTGGTGAATCTTCGAGAAATTTTCGTTAAATAATTCACTGAACCACTTTGCATACAGATTAATGATATTCTTTGATTAAACAAGGATTTCAATGTTAAATTTCCTACGATAAATTTTCACATCATTTACATAACCCAATTCTATTTTTTGCAAAAAACAATAAAAAAGGATAAAATTTTCAAATATTTTAAAATTAAATAATCTTAAAATATAAAGTAATGAAAAATTTACTAAATTAAAAATTTCAAAATTAAAAACTAAAAAAAAGCGAATTTCTTGCCAGTTTCATCGAGTGCATCATCTTCTTCTTGTTCATTTTCTTCTTCACCCATTTCAACGTCATTACCACTTACCATCGATGATTCTTCCATTGTTTCTTCTACAAAAAGAATTTTCACAGTAAAAAATTTTTTTAACAATGTAAAATGATGAATGATAAATGTCATAATGAATATTCGGAATCATATAAACTTCAAAAACTTAAAAAAAATGAAAAATTCAACAAAAGTTGTGCAGTAATATAGAATCGATCTGCTCTACAGAAATGATTAATTTTGGCAAGGAAGATTTCGATAAAAAACCATCTTTGAAAGTTTTAAAAAATTTCTGAAATGACATATAAATACGTGCAAAAAGGTACATATTGAAATTATACTTAAGCACCACTTCCTCAAATGTTAGGGCTTTGCCTTCCGTATATATAAATTTGTTATTAAAAAATCTAAATGGTGCTGAAGGTTCATCTGCCTCTGTCACCAGGTATCCCCTCTCCCATCAAAAATTTCTCACCGTACTAAGAATCAGCGATGAGAAATGGTTAGCGCTGGTTCTTGCTATAATTACGCATAAAATGGTACATACTTAAAAAAAGGATCAAATATTTTAAATATTAATCAAATATTTAAGAAAAAAAATAAATTATCCTTTAAAAGGTGAAAAGAAAAAAAGACGATGCATTGGATAAATAAATGTGACCTTCATCATTCATTTTGTATCGCTTTCTCATTTATATTGTTCTTCTCTTGTTTTTATTAAAAATTTAAAAAAAACTTAAAAATCGATAATTGCTAATAATAAAGAGATAATAGAGAAAAAAAGGTTAAAATACGCCTAAGCGTTGATTTTTCCTCTAAAAGATTATACGTTATGCACCTATTTGTTAGTCATTACACAAGTACCATTACCGAAATTCAAAAAAATATTACCATGGTCCTCCGATGAATAGTTTGTCGCATTATTCGCATTTATTTCATCAAGTGACATTGTTCTTTTTTTTCAAATCGATTCAGTTAGCACACCTGAAAAAATTAATGATTATAAGGAAACAAATGATTTTTCCCTAAAATATTTCGAGAAAATAGGCGGGAATCCAAGTTGAGGCCACACCCACTGTGGGCTTAATATAAATGAGCCGATTAATAAAAGTGAAAATATTTGGTGTTAATTTGTGGTACTAGAAGGCAAATATATACCAAATGATTAATGTATGATTAACATAATTTGAAACTGGAGAGACAAGGTAAATCAATGGCAGAAACAAAAATTTGCAAAAAAACTAGACGACGAGACAGTCTGGGCGAATATAATGGAAAAAGTAGCGATGAGAGAAGTTAGGGAACATTTTTTACAGGTACCTGGGGCAGAGGGAATAACGAATTAATAACCACGGAGAGGATCTTCTAGATTTCTTCCATGGTTTGAATCTTAAGTGTTCTCCATAAAATCATGGAAAATAGTTTTCAAAATAAAATATGTAAAATCGAAACATCAGCGAATTTATAAAAATTAAAAATCTAAAAAAAGGCTTTCTTGCAGCTCTAACTGAAGCTGAACAACAAGGGTTCGGTTCCAGAAGAAATCGAAAAATCCAAGTGGTATTGGTGGCCTCCCTGTATTTTTCTATCTCTAGTGATCAACCCCACTCACTACTCAAAGCATTCAAACAAATCAGATATTTCTGGTTAGATTTGCCAGTTTTGCCAATTAGGAAGGCCACCAGCATTAGCCGCATTTTCGAAAGGCAGGTTTTGCCGAGAGCACATCAGCAACATCAGCGCTCAATGCCGCCCGTTTGCACCCCTCGATGTGTACTGTTAGAAGAACACAAACCGCCAGAAAACAATTCATGAAAATGTTCAATAAAAAATTTGATTGGTTAATAAAATTCTGATAAAATTAAAAGGGTTCTAAGCAATTGATAAGCAATCGGATGAACCATTTTTTTTGCACCGATCCCGCATTCGTGGACCAAAAAGAACCAAAACGGTGACTCCATTTCTAGTTAAAAATTCGTGAAGTTTATAGGGATTTAATTGTACGTTAAAAACTGGGACTATAGAAATGAAAAAAAAAAGAGAAAAAAGGAGGACCGTACGAATGCAAAAAATAAAGTGATAAGAGAAACAATTTTATTCGAACAATTCTGAAAAATAAAGCAATTAAACTGATTAAAATATTTCGAAAAATTCTTACTTTTTCTTAAAATACTAAAATAAATAAAAGATTTAGGAAAAAATTAATCTAAATAAAAAACTGGAAACAAATTTAAAAATTTAATAAATTTATATAAATTTAAATTTGTGAAAGTCAATTTTTATCCTTAAGTTGCCCCTCACACGTGACAAATTATTTTTACACGTGATCCCACGTTAACCTCTCAAAATGACATAAAACTATGGACGAAAAAAAGACAAAAAATCGATTAAACGCAACAACGTTTGCTCCTATGAAATTACCAATTTGTCTCGAACGAAATGAAATCTATAATGAATATAAAGCGATGCATCGGATAAATAAATGGGACACGCGCAACGCTTTATAACTCATTTATGAAAAGAAAAAAAAGAAACTAATCGATTTTATATCTTTGAATATACGTTCCACAAATCACGTGATTTTTATTCAATTCACGTAAGTAACGCTGGGAAAATTTTTTAAAATTTACATGAAAATTCGCGACAAATGAAATAACCAATTTTGAAAAGTTACGTTTATCTAACGTCAAATGGATCACGCAAATCCAGCAGTGAATATGTTCCATGGATTTTTTTCAATTGGAAAAATTAAATAAAAATCTGAAATAATTTTCGAATAAAAGTGTAGGTCACCAAATATTATTAAAATCTTTTTTTTGCGAACATAAGTACGAATTTTTTGACGGTTTAAATCAATAAAAGGACTCATAAGAAATCCCTTCCTCACCGCCAGAGACCTGGGAAACTTGAGGATTCTGTGCGGTTCTTAGCATTCTTGCGTTCTTCTAGATAGAGATCTCTGATGTTGTTCCTGGAGTCTACTGAAGCCATTTTCCTTGCCTAAGGCATATATACGTAAATACAAATGGAAAATTTCCTAAAGAAAATTGAACTAAACACCACGAAGAGTCAAAACCCAACTGCTCGGACTGAGAAGATGGAAAAAATGCATTAACGCAAGAAAAATATAAGAAAAAGAAGGGGGGTAAAATTGGAATTCGAAAATATCAGAAAAATAAAGGCTAAAAGGAAGAGGTTAAAGTTCAATTCATTTGGTACTTGTTGATCGATGCATTCAACCAGTTTATTGCAACATAAATGCCATTACAAAATATGGAAAAAATGGAAAATTTAGCCGAGAAAAATCGGAATAGCAGAAATTCTGCTTTCAACGCTCAACAACACTTTCTGGTTTGACTGACTGCTAAGGTGAGACTCCTTTCGCAGAGGATCGATCACTTTGAATAAAAGTCAACAAAATTACCCAAAGTGGAAGGTTTAAAATCCGAATTAAGATGAGAATTCAAATAAAGCGAATTATTCGGGGAGAATTTTCAGAGAGCAGAAAAATGCAGTAGTATTCTAAAGCGAAATTGAGTTAAAAGGTTTAGCCGAACTATAATTCCGGAAATTCGAAATAGCCAAAATCGAGGATTTTAATCGTAAAAACTGAAAACCGGAAATATCAAACCTCTTAAGAAAAGGATTTTAGGAAATATTAACGTTTAGTTCGAATAGCTGAAGCCGGAAGATAGCTAAAATTGCTTGGAAAGAAAGCAATTTCAATTTCCGCGATTTTATTTTTTTGATAATTTCAGCGAAGAGGAAAAAAGAAGTTTTACTGGTTTTTCTTTCGGTATTTCTTAATTTTTCGAAAATTTTAAGAAAATTATGCTTTCCGGGAATGGAAAATAATAAAGGCAGTGGAAATATACTAAAGTGATAATTAGTGCGATAATTATGGAAATCATGGAAAGGTGAAAGGTATAAAGGAGAGAAGAAAGAGTTCAAGTGGACAGTTACCTTCGAATAAAACCGGAAACAGTATGGCCGATGAGTTCTGTCCACTAAGAGGAAAAGAATTACTGGAATATAGGGAGTGGTTTCGGAAAACCGGAAAAGGTGTGTCAATCGGAAAGAAAGAGTAAACCCAAGGCGTGGCGATGAAGCCGGTTAGAACAGCCGGTCCCGGTTGGCCTTGCCTCTTCGGCTTGCGTCGCGTTTTATAGATTCTGCTATATGTGCGAAAAGAAGAAGAAGCTCAGCGATAGTACTATTGTTACCTTCAGGATATTCCTTAATATCCAGAAAAATCTTTTCACCGTTTCCCTTTTTTTATAAATCCGAAAACTTTTATAATATTCATTAGCTTTCAGTGATGAACAACGTTCATCGAATAAATAAGTTCGTTTTTTAATCATTTTTTCTTTTTTTTATTCATTAAAATTAATTTTTTAATGGATATTGGTGAACGGATTCTTTGCTTTACGGATTCTTCCTTATTAGCTGAGATCCGCGTTGGAAAAAGCAGTAGCATGAGGACTGAGTGGTTTTGAGGCTCCTTACCACTTAGTCAGCTGAGCCAACCAAACCATTAGTGATAAGCGCTGTTAAATCCTTTAAGGCTGATATGCTAATATTCGTTCCCTTAAATGCCACTCGTTCGTGATAAATACAGGGTTATACGCTATGGATGTTACGAATATATTTTGAGAACACGTCAGATCATAACATGAATATTTATTATTACCTCTATATAGACTACTACAATCATTACGATAATGTTTACTGCAACAACTTAGGTACCATAGTATTAGGTGATGAGATATGGACTATGAACCACTACTGATTCTTGATTTTCAGTGTCCAAACAACAAGTACATTGAATCCTCCTGGCGAACCGTCATTTAATGAAATTCTTATCAATACGGTGAAACAGTATCGTGTGCTGTACTGCAATCAACGACGTGCATATGAAAATGTTGATCGTAACTTAATTTGGGCTGAAATTGCAAATAAAATTGGTAGGAGATGTACAGGTGTGATGTTAAAAGAATGTGTTCGTTGAGGGAAATGTGGGGAAATTCTCCTTGATGCTTCGATTTTTGGTGAATTAGCTATTTATAGTCAAAACTGCAGAAAAAATCGGTGTTGATGAATCTTCAAATATGAATGCGTGGAAATGAATTGGTTCATAAAGAACCAAAAATATAAATTCAGATTCTATCGGCTCTGCCAATTTAGCCCTTCGTTTCTTTATGATATGAAAACTTCTTCTAACGGCACTCTCCATTTAGATCGGCTGAGAACCCTTCGCCAGAGAGCCACTTGGGAATAGCAGTAGAGATGTGTCTTCAGCACCAATCCATTCTGATAACTTTTGAAAAAGCATATCGCAAGAAGAATAACGCATTAATATTAATTAATTAATAATATTATTGCGATAAAATAATTTAAAACGGTTTTATCAGTTGAGAAGGCAAAGATTTTAATCACTTCGTATAATCTTCAAAAACTTTTTGAGGATTTATTTCCAATTTCCAATTTGTAAAACCTTACTTTTTAGCTGAATTTGCTAAAAAACGATGGTTACAATTACGTGATCGTTATCGAAAAGAATACAAAATCGCCGTCGCGAACAATTTCTCGCAACCTCAAAAATGGAATCATTTTCATCTTCTCGAATGGCTTAATCCATATTTACAAGGAGCTTTGTAAGAATTTTTCAAGTACTAAATTTTCTTCCAAAAATCACCTTCGGATAGCAATTATAAATGAGTCTGCAGTGGAACTTTAATTCTATTAAAGTAAAGGAGTTAAAGCCAAATTTCGAAAAACGATAGATGCTAGGTAAATGCTGAGCTTTTTGCTGAGAATTTAAATAGGTACCATGTGCTTTGATATTGAACCTAAGAATACTTCAGCTTTATGTATTATTTGCTACTATTTACTATTGGTAGTCCTCGTTAAATCTTCAGGCCAACTGGTTCTTCGACCAATTCAACTAATGGAACCAATGTGCTCGTAAGAAATGGTACTTTTGTTGCTTCGGATAGCAATTATTTCGATTATGCTGCTGAAATCGCTGCCCATGCTCAAAATATTAACGAATGTACAATCATTTTATTTCGATTATTCCGATTTGAAATTTCATATTTATTTCAAATTTTAGATTTTTATAAGATAAACATTATTATTATCAAATTTCTGTAAAAATGAGAAAATCATTTGTTAGGTTATGGTGCCTGCGATTCTGATGCATTGGAGGATATAAAGCCTGAAATTATAACTTTGGAGACTATTCTTGCAGTTGCAGAAGCTTCAGCAAATGCCAACGAAGACTGTGGCAAGCTTATCCATATTTCATATTTTTTGTGTATTACTTTTCATTAAATATTATATTATGGCGTTAATTTTTTTGTGCTTACTATTGCGATGGGACCATTCAGCCATAGATTTCCACATTCTACCTTTAATACGCTCTTTCCAAGGGAAAGAAATAGAACCGGTGGTGCTTGGCTGATGTAACATATGGCGTAAATTTAAATATTTAGCCTTATCCTTTAAATAATTTAAAAAATCATAAGAAAATTGGTATTTTTTCACTGATTTTCACTAATTTACTACTTTATCTCTTCTGCATCTAAAAAAAAATCAGGTTGGTGCTGGGGACTTTTTTCTTAGAGTTCTCACCATTGCTGGTTAAACTCGCTCTGCTGGCTTGTCGCGATGGACAAATATGCCAGGGAAGTTCTTGGTAATAGAAGTCGCTAATAGGTAAATCGCCACCATCACCCGATGCTGGGGAGTGTCTAACCTTAAATGATTTTCTTATCATCTTAATAGCTAGAGCTAAACCAGAAATGATGAATGCAGTTGGAAAAAGAAGAAAAATTGTCAATAAAGAAAAATAACTATTTTTAAAATGCCCTACACTGTATAATTTCATTGCAAATAAGGAAAAAATAAGTGCGAAAAAAATAAATTTTAGATATGTGTGGTGGAATAAAAAGTTCGCAAACAATTTGCTCTGAAAATGGAAATATTAATGAAGAATATAATGAAAAAAATGAAGAACCGATGAATATCTCGAATGAATCGTCAACGATTTCGTCAAAAACTTTACCTATTTCAACCAAAAATGCACTGGAAGGCAAGATTATTAAAAATTTGGTGAAATTTTATTCAAAAATTCAAATTTCACTTGCTTCAGATTCGAGTATCACAATGTCTATATGCGATGTGCAATCACCAGAATTAAACGTGCCGGAAACGAAGGACGGAGTTGGCGAGCCTATTCCAACTTCAAAACTTCGATCAACGGCATATTCAACTCAGTTGCGCCTCCGTTCTCGAAATATTAAAAAATATAAATCAAAATATGTTCAGAGTAGTCCTTTGATACAAACTTTCGCCGTACCATCAGTTAGAGCAACGATTGATACAGATTGGTTAAATTCAGAAGAAATGCTTTTTGGAAGAATTGTTGGCCTAAGGCTACAAAAAATGCGACATGCTCAAAGAGCAATGGTTTATTTTCACATTTGCACAGTTTTTAATCTAATTCTTTCCACCAAATCGACGACATATATTTTCGATTTTCTTAACCTGCAGTAGCGAAAGTAAGGTGGAATTCTATCTTTCATTCGATATTTCTCAATCCTAAAAAATTATTCTTTTATAAAATTTCTCACTTGCATTACACATCTAAGGTGAGTATGGCTGAATAGTAATAGTAATATTATTTCCACCATAATATTATTGCCGCATTGAACCTAAAGAGTTCCATCCTAACAATTTATTAAGCCAGCTGAACCAAGAATGATAAGTGCTATAATATAGAAATATTCCAGTTTTAATCCAGCTGCCTTCATAATCCTTATTTGAGTAATATGAATACCAATTAAGAAACTTAATTATTATTGCTGGTACTTAGATTTCTTATTTTCAATTTTCTGGAAAAACTTTCTTCAAAAATGCTTTCATGGTTTTTCTTTTTTGTGAAATAACTTTTTGTGGCTTATTAATAACAATATTTATTAAATGTGCCTTACGAAACATTTCAGTAGTTCATAATGGTGAAAGTTGTAGGTACGAATGAAAATTATGAATTTGCTGGATAACGAATTCGAAGAAACTGCTGAAACAGGCTCAAGCGTTATCGAATGAAACCAGATAATAATAAACAGATCGGAATAGATCAGATGGTGTAAGATTGGTTGCATCCACCCTCACATATAGCCTAAATCTTCTCAGTTATCGCAGAACAGTTTTTTAAAAAAATAATTTTGCGGCTATAATTCTTTTACGTATTTTTTTCGCTTATTTTATTGAAATAATCGTATATAATATTGTGTGTTAACTTATTGTTGCAAATATTTTCAAAACATCGATACACCTAGTTTGTTATTTAAATTTATAATTTTGGTTTGTATAAATTTGTCTGCTCACAGCTCGCTGCACTCACTCCTTCGGCTCACCTACTACTACGGCTCTTCCGCCATAGAGTCCTCCGGGCGCAGAAGTGCGCGCGACTTCCCGGCATCATTTTGGTTTTGCTCTTGGCTTAACTTTCAGAACGCGCGAGCATGATGGTAAAATAATTTTTTAAATTTTCATAGTCGTTTTTTTCGATTCAATTCATTAATTTCCATCGAAAATTAAAATTTCCCGAGTGAAATGCGACGTGAATATTTATTTGCTTGCATTTTCCTCTTATCTGATTGGATGAATGAATTTTGAGTTTCAACTAAAATTGTCGACATATTTATTTATTTATATATTTTTGAGCTTTTAAAAAATATTTCATTTATTTATATTAAAAATATTAAAATATTTATTATATTTGTTAAAATATAAAAATTAAAATATTTATCAGCTTTAGATTCTTTTTTTCAGTGGATAAAAACTATTGTTCCGATAAAATTTCCATAAATCTACGGAGAAGTGTTCATGTTTTTTCGTTAAAATATTTTTGAATTAATTTCTTGCAGAAATTCTTCGTATTTAATAAATCTGCGACTATCGTAAATTTGGATTTTAAGAAGACAGTTTTTATATAATTTTCGAATGTAAAACCACTTTCAGCAGTGCTTTGCCAATATCCTCGATCACAGAAATCAAAAAAAATGTTTTCTTAAATTATCCCACAAATTCTTTTATCAATTGGTGTGTTCACCTCAGCGGTTACCTTTTTCCACTGTCGTTTTGTAATCGCCTCCAACGTTTTCGACATTCCGATTTTATTATCAGTCAATTATCAATATAGTGTTTTACAATATTTAAACAATCATCTTTCGACCTGTGAACTTTAAAGAAAAGTGAATTTTTTAGAAGAAAATTAAAATTTATTTTTTCATTTCATGCATTAAGAATCGTGAAAAAAACGATATTATTAGTATTAATTGACCGTATAAATTCAGTCACCACGATGGATGATTAGTCGATGTTTATTGGCTTCATTAAGCTTTCTGAAATAAATATTTCATTCATCATTATTATTATTGTTTTTATTATTATTATTATAATTATTATAAAATTAGGAAAATGAATTTTCTCAATGTCGAAGTGATATTATTAAATATTATTCACGAATATAGATTTATTTTGAAAGGATAGAAAATAGATAGAAATGTGATTTAGAAAGAGGACTGTGTGACAGGGTTCATCCTTAATATCGAGCAGTAAACCAGCCACAGTGCAATATTAACGTTAAGGCCGTATCCTACGGTTGCTTTCCAGCGTAGCTAACAGTTTGCTTAGATATTAGATATTTGTCTGATGAATTTTATTTAATTTTGTTCATCTAAAATCTTTTCATTTAAATGACAATTGAAAATTTAAGGAAATTTAAATGATTTTGATTTTTCTTCTTTGGAAAAAATTCATTTAAATAAATTTAAATAAATAGGAAATTCAAATTTAACTAAAAATTCGAATAAAAAGAAAATTTGAGGAAATTGAGATTTTTCAATAAAAATTATTCCTTTGCATAATTGTCAGAAGAAAAATTTTTAGATTTAACGAAAATTTTCAAAAATTGTGTCGTAAAATTGTTATTTTATTGTAAAAATAATTCTAAAATTTATTTTAAAATGTTTTATATCTTTTTAATTAAAATCGTTGAAAAGAAAATGAACGAATTTTCCTGAAATTTAACAAACAAACTTGTAAAGTCCATAGAAACTTCGCTTCGAACGTCCATCAAGGAAGTATTCGGGCAAAGCGACGAACATCGAATCAGCGTCAGATATTCTCGGTTCATCGATCTGAAATCAGCGATCAACTTAAAACGCTCCATAACTATTATTCGACTCGGTCTATTGTCAATCAAATGAACACAGACGATAAAATTCATTAATATTAAATAAAATATTGCTAAAATAATAAAATGACAAAGTTTAGCCGACTCGTTTCACTAAATTCGGACGGATTAAAGTAAAATTTCAAGTTTTATTTACAAAGCTTCGAGGTTGAAATATTGAAAATTTTATGACCAACGTGGCTCACCTCGTTATACGCGTAAACAGAAAATGGCCAGGAAACTGCAAAATTTGAAAGGAAGCAAATGGTTAATACTGTGGCGATAAAGCGAAAAATCATTACTGTACGAGTAATTACGGTTGAATAGCAGTAATACTGCAAAATTTACTAGTAATTTTAAAGTTTTGTCGAGACTGAAACACCTTAATCCACGGGTTGGGCATCCAAAAAGGTCCACGAAAATAGCTTATTGAATTTGGAATTTGAATTTCCAATTTACTATTGCCTGTGTTTTCCGAAAAATTCGATTCAAATTATACAAATCTATTTTTGAATTTAAAACATCCAACGAAGTCCATAATTTTTACCAAAAGGGCAAATTTTCGTCAAATATCGTTGAGCGTTGGGACTTTGGTCCCTGGCCAAACTAAATAAAAAATCGGGCCTGGACCCGCTTGTATTTTTATCGTCAAGTGAGCTTACGACAAGTTTGCCAATAGCAGGTCGAGCGAGTTTAACTATACATAGCTTTTTAAAAGGTAAAATTAAGCAATTATTATAATGGAAGCAATAAGAGAGAATATCAACGATGTTTAATCGTTGTTTTTCTGCTTTTTAAACGACTTTTTTTATTTGAATCGACTGCTTAAAAATAATAATAGTAATAATAATAAAATAATAATAGTAAAAATAATAATTAATAATATAGTGATAATGATAATGTGATGTAGTGATAATTAATAATATAATGTAATGATAATAGTAATAACAACAGTGATAATAATAATAACAATAACAATAACAATAATATTAACAATAATAAAAATAATATGCATTGAATTCAATTTAAAAGTCATTCATTACTGTTTATTCGCATAGATTTTAAAAATGGAAAAATGTGAAAAAATTAAGAATATTTAAAGGGAATTATGGCAAAAAGATAAAATCAAAGAATACTTTTTGCAGTGTTTTTTATTACTTTGTTGATTGCTCACTTTTTTAGAATAAAAAAAATTAGATGAACGTGAATATTTGCTGAAATTATCAGTGCGACGAGATGCTGGATGGAAGTATTTAGGATTCTTTAATCCAATTGGAATCACTGCCTTTAAATTTTGTGGATTCACTAAAATTATTGCTTAGTGAAGTGGTAATCGGAAACTTTTAAAGCATAAAAAGTTGCCATGCTATTCTGAGGTAAATATTTATATCACCATTTAATTCAATCTGAATACACTTCCACTAAAGAAATCAAGGAAAATGCTAATGGTTAAAGGGAATGAAATATTTCGAGATGTGAAAATATTCCGCTTCGATCGAGAACAATCTATTTAGGTTCTCCCTTTGTCCCTTTGGTGACAATAAATGAATATGCCATTAAAAATGGATGGTGAGATGGATGGTGCTGAAAATCGAGCTTCTATCACCAAGTGACTCCCAGGGATTTCGTATTAAATAGAGCCAATGAAACCAGAGGTAGTAAATGCAATAAGATTACGAAGAAAAAATCGAATGAAACCGCCTGCAAAAATCAATCTTTCATTTAAAAAATTCGAGAGGCTCGTGGTCCGTTAATAATGATAACGATACGATGATAATATAATAATAAAGTTCTCAGAATTTCCCAGATTTCCAATAATTATAATGGCTTATCTGTTTTGTGCGGATGAGGAATGGAAATCGGTGATAAGGCAGAAATAATCTTATAATTTTGTCGAACCACTACAAAATCATATTAAAAGTCTAAGTTAAGAGGCGCTAAAACTTCCTATAAATATATAAATCTCTTAAAAACACTGTAATAAAGCCATTCATGCGCGAAGCCATTTAGAAGAAACTTCCTCAAATTTTCCCAAGTCGCTAATTTTAAATAAGAAAAAACATCGAAGCCAACTGAAAATTTCTCCGAATTCAATATTTCGATTACTACAATCGTTGCTATTATTATTTATGAAAATTCATGAAAATTTCAAATTCGAAAACCTCCGAATTAAAGTTAAAAATTATGATATCCAATGTTTAATTTTAATTTCTTTTTTTTTAAGATTAAAGTTTAATTATTTTTCCAAAATTTTAATAAAAAAACTTCCAATTTTTTTGCCTTTTAAAAATAAATAGACAATAGGAAAAAACCAATGATTAAAAAAACCATGAAAATTAAGCAATTTTCTTAAATTAGCATTCCAGCGACGATTCCTTTTTTCAGCGAATTTATAAATCCACGAATCGCATTTTTAATATTCACGAGAATTTTTTGATAATAAATTAGCGATGAAATTAAGAGAAACCGAATAACTGAAGAAATGAATTGCTATAATTGCTATAATTCAAAATTCGACAGAAAAATAAGCGCCATTTAAGCTAAACAATATTTTTTAAACGAATCTGAAAATAAATAATAAAAATTAAGAACATTTATCTATGTGTAACAACCAACAAGTAGAACGACAAGCGCCATCTGCTTGCATTAATAACAACAAATAAGATGTCAAATGAAATCAGTTATATCGATAACAGATAGGAATAAGCGACAAAAACTAACAACGAAATAATACAAATAAAGCAAATTACTGAGTAACTTAAGTCGAACTGAATTACCGACACGACACGTAATTAGAGATGGAAGATAAAGGTTTGAAACCATCTATCTGCATGTGAAGTTTTCAAATAATATTTTAACAATAGCAAAGGATTATCCATAATGATGATCATAATGATTGGGGATAGAATGGCTCAGTGGTTGTTATTTGGAGCGCTGATGCTGAGGTTCGATTCACCGCAGGAGTAAACCTTTACAAAAATTCGGGTGATGCTGGCGACTCATCCGTAGTTCTATCGTCAAGGGACTCCCTGGCATATCGCCCAATGCGACAAGCCAGTGGAGGGAGTTTAACCAGTAATGGTGGTCTCTTTAAAAAAAAAGATGACGCACAAACAATGATGTTCGGCAGCTTATTCCAGTAATTAACCCATTTCTGAAGCAGTAATGCAATTGTTACAAATGGTCTATAAAAATATAGGTTTAGTCTGTCATTTGCACATCTTCGAGTCATAAACAGCACACTTGATTTCGTTCTATCTCTTGACGGTGGCAAACTTGCCAAGAAACCTGGGACCCTGTCACCTTGTCGTCGATAGACCGCAACACTTCCATAAGATTCTCTATAGTCAATAGAACGAACGAATGATGAAGGAATGGCGTACCAAAATTATGAAAAACCCGAAATCCCAAAATTTAGGCCAACGAATTCGAAATAAACAGCATTTGCAGTAATAACGCAATTTGCATCGGACTTTCTTGCTTTCTCTGCAATTTAAATAGAAATTTAACTTTGAATATATTTTGATTGTCAGTTATTTAATAAAAAATTGAAGCGTTTCGACAAATTGACGAAATTATTTGATACAATAATGGCAAATGCTTTGTTAAAAAATATTATTTCCATTAATGAAATTTGTTGAAATATGCCAAATTTTGTTTTCACGATTTTTTTGATCGTTTTCATGAAAAATGCGTCACTCCACGACTTTATTATTTCATTTGTGATTGGAGTCCACAGGAGCCAATAAATTACCAAAAAGTCCGAATAATGCTGGCAACCCACAAAAATTCTGCCTATTCTAAAACTGTCTCATCCAAATAAACAGTATCCATTGCAGAAAGCTTATGCAAAACTGGTGGCAGCCAAACCGTTAAAAATTTTTCAGCCATGAAAATTTTATCGTAAATAATATATAATCCAAGTGGAAAACGACGGACCAATAATCTCATAAATTTTAATTTAATTTTTTAAAAATTAATTCTGACAAAATGCTGAAATTAATGAAATCAAAAAAGCCTTGCCTCTAAATGTACAAATTGTTTTGCCTCATTTTGCGATAAAATCCTAAAAAATTTTATACGAAATCAGAAACTTTACAAAATTATTTCAAGCAAAATTTAGATTCTCAATTTTAAATTTATTCATTTAAGAAAATCCATTAAAAAACATCAATTTGCATTATTGAACAACTAAGAGGAAATTTTGAAGCTTTTTTCCCTTGTTCAAATGAATTTCTCAATTTTTCGAAATTTTTTTATACTTATTTTTTATTTTTTATTTCTTAATTTTAATTTAGCCACCTTCCGTGACAGTTAGCATGAAATTAATTAAATGTATTAAATAAGATTAAATAAGATATAATGTATTAAATAAGATTTGATGAACACAATTATGACAAAAAAATTAGGCCAATTAGAATTAAAAGCTAAATAAACAAACCTTCATCTTCTAACAGCTCTCATCATTACCGGTTATACTGGCTCCACTCGCTACAAGGATAAGATATTTTCAAGCTCGGTCCGACTCGGTCCCATCATTAGAAGCCATTCCTTTTCCATCGCCTAAATCCCGCGTCCCTCTATATGTTCAAAATTTTTCCCGACTATATCAGTCCAGGTTTTGATTGGGGTGGATGGATACAATGAACAAAACAAATGAATCGAATCTTAATATTAGTCGAAAACGCCGTGAAACACACCCTAATAGAAAATTGAACTCAATTTTCTTAATCGTATTTTGTTAATTTCTTAATCCTGCTACCAATTAATTTTATAATTATAATTTTAAAAAATATTTTAATATTAAATACAAATTCCTTATACTCAGACTTATTAACAAATTTAAATTCGCTATGTTCAGACTAAAGAGAAAAATGGCAGCACGGCGAGAAATGAGCATGAACATAATGCTATATCATGCTTAATTTTGTGAAATGATATATGCAAACTAAATTTCCTTAAGAATCTAGGAAAAATAAAATTTAGATAAATAAGCGATATAGATACACAAAAGCATTAATTAAAGAATTTACCATTTTCACAAAATTAAGCATAATACAGCATTTCCCACTGCGATTTATTCCAACAAACTTAAAAGAATAATCAATATTAAGGCGAATTGTCCGCGAAAAATGTTAACACGATTGTTTTATTCCTTGCATTATAAGTAAAATTATTTGCTTTAAACACTTCACTTTTATAAAACATTTTAACATTTTCAATGTGATACTGATGAGCCTGAAATATAAAAAATATCTATTTAAAATTTTTTATGTAGAGAAAGTAAAAAAATTAGAAACTGAAATTTAATCTAAAATAATTAAGATCTTATTGCTCTTGATCTGAACAGATCAATCTTTTTTATTAAATGTAATTACCTTATCGAGGAATTTATACTCAGGTATTGATATTGTACCAAATCCTGAAGCACTGCCGCGACGAACTTTTTCAAAATAAATCTGTCCCCGAGCGATTTCTTTCAAGAGAAAGAGCAAAAGTTCGTTGTTGTCTCGGTTAAAAGTTAAATAACGAGCGAAATTCTAAAAATTTTTTTCATGAATAAATAAAGTTCTCCTTCAGCATGAAGTGATTATAGATGCAGATACACACATCTTATTTCCTTAGATAAAACAGGTATCTGCGTTACTTTGGTTCGAAAAAGAAAGAAGCAAGAAAAGAAAAAAAACCAACTTTTCTCATCTGCCGCATGATGGATGCCTTCTGAGTGCTGATAAATGATTCCAGCATGATCTGAATCGCTACATTGACATCATCTTCATTTACATTCTGGCGGAGATGAAGCCTTGCATGTGCTTCGGACAATCGAATTATTGATTCAACATTTCGAACGGTTACTGCAACCGAACCTGTTACCTGTAAAATGCAATAGTTGAAGAGTGATATAACCAAATGATAGATTTCTTAGATTTTTGAAATGAATTTAAAAAGCATGAAACTATCTAGTAATCTTTATTTGAACAAGAAGATAAAGAAAATATAACCAAATATAATTTTTTTCATTAATATTAAAAAGTCACGAAGTAAAATTTAGTTTACTAATAAATATTTTTAATTAATACAAAACAAAATTCAAAAAAGAATAAGGTGAAAAAAAACGAACAAAAATGAACAAAGCGGACAATATCATTAAAAATGAAAAAGAAATGAAAAACTAATGGAACTGAATACTTACCAACGATTCTCTTCTCATATCAGCGAAAAGTTTGGAAATTTTATCTTGAGGAATTTTTTGCAATTTTGGACATATATTCATACGAGCATACATAAAATATTTTCGAAGTAACTGCTGAGGGATAATTTTAACCTTACTTTCATCATCCAATTGCTAAAAATCAAATAGTATATTTTACTTTAGCATTTATAACTTTAAAAACTAATGATTGGCAATTAGCGATTAAGGCACCTGAAGTTCTTCAGAGTCTGGAATTTGATTTTCAGTTTCCAAATCTCGGATGAAATTATATGGATGGTGCATATGGTGACTTGCTACAACAAAATTCGCTAACCGCTCGTCTTCATTCGGATCGACCTATGAAAGGAACAAACAATAATTATTGCACTTTCCAAAAGTGATAATTTTTTTTCATTAATATAAAGTCAAAAAGTCATCCACAGATAAACCAAATGTATTGAATTGTATAGTCTCACAGCAGAAAAGAATCTAAAGATAAAAGATTCATGGAATTTGAAATTTTTAAACCTTTTAGCACAAGAAAAGTCAAATGCTAACCACATCTCTTATTACACAAAGTACATCAAATCTGCTTAAAATTGGCTCAGTTAAGTCCACATTTTCGGCAAAAGTTCGAGTTATATCATAACGACCGCTTATGGGGTTCGCTGCGGCAATAACTGTACAACGTGCGTGTAAAGATGTTACAATACCAGCTTTCGAAATTGAAATTGATTGTTGTTCCATAGCTTCGTGAATTGATGTGCGATCCTTAATATTTTATTTACAAATAAACTGAATTCATAAAATTTGGAATGATTTAGCCAAACTTTGAGGAATACGCGGAATATAAAAATATGAAGAAGAAATAAAAAAATGCCCCCTTTCAAGAATTATTTGTGTTATTAATTATAAAACTAAAACTATTACTTACAAGATTATTATTAAATTATTAAGTCCGAGATTAATTATTTTGTGAACTTCAGTTTCAGTGAAAATGTTCAGACAAATGTTGAAAAATTATAAATTACAACCAACTTGGTCATTCATTTTATCAAACTCATCAATAAGACAAACGCCCTTGTCTGCGAGTACCATAGCTCCAGCTTCAAGAGTCCATTCATGTGTAACTGGGTGTCGCTGCACATACGCCGTTAAGCCAACTGCTGAGGCTCCTAAAAAATTAAAAAATTTGGCTAAAAAAATAAAAATTCACGCGAATATATGAAAAAAATTTGGCATTCATTTAAATCTTAGCTTTTTCGTAAAAAATTATAGATAGCATTATTATAGCATTAATACCATTAAAAACGCTGTTTCTCTAGTTTTACTTACCTTGACCAGTAGTAAGTACTGCACGTGGAGCAGTATGAGCTGCATAACGAAGGAACTGCGACTTCGCTGTTCCAGGATCACCACATAGTAATACATTTATATCGCCACGAATATTATGTTTTTTACCAGGATTTTTTTCCACTCCTCTGCAAAAAAGCAGTTTGAAATCTTTAAAATCTTTCGTGAAATTGGTACCACCTTTGATCGTTCGCAATTCATAACTAATTCATAAAATTTAATTTAATTACATAATTACATGAAGAAAATAAATTACAAGTCGAAACGTTAAAATTATTAGTAAATTTATATTCGTTATAACGAATCAAATATTATGTAAAATAAGATTATGACTATTAAATGGAAAATTTAATAAAATTTAATTAAATTATAAAATATGATTATAAATTCGATATCGAAATTATTTACTCAAATAATTTATTTACTAAAAATTCAAAATAAGGAATAAAAATCAACCGGAATAAAGCTAGAGCTATAGCACGCTTAACATCTTCATGTCCGTAAATGGAAGGTGCAATACTAGCAAAAATGCGCTCTGCTATGTTCGGATCACGAGAAAGTTCTTTAATAATCTAAAAAAAACGTGAATCGTTTAGTTAAGAAAAATGACAAATATTTCCTTTTAGATAATTTGATAATCAGACAGCATCCATCTTTTCACAAATTATATAATGATTGACTTTCTTCTATTATGAATTATTAAATTAAATGGTAATTTTTTCAAATCATGAATCTGTGGTGGAAATTTGACAAATAATAAATTAGTGAAATAAAAATACTTAAAAATAAATACTTTTATATCTTCATCGGTTAAACTATCCGATGTAATCTTATCTTTCTTAATCACATAATTGGCGTGAATCACCGTGCTGAATACTGGAAAGCCGTGTTTGCTGTTCATTGATCCATCATAATTATTCACATATATACCAGTCACATCCTGAAAATAAAAAATAATTTTCAATAATTTTTAATAACTAGAAATAATCAAGTCACATCCTGAAATAACCATATTGTTGAGTGGACAATTAAATTACTTTTAAAAAAAACAAACATTCTAAAACACTTACAATTTCATCGCCAGGTTTGCAAGAATTACATAGATCTCCAGTAAGAATAACATCTTTACTTCTAGGGAGTCGACCCGCAGCAACCTTGTTTGGACTTTCTTGAATAATTATGCGTTGATAGTTATGATAAATAGTTTGCTCCATGTTCAACTCAAAGGGTCCACGAGTATTGCAAAATGGACAGGTTGTTGGTTTGCATTCTTCATTTTGAAGCTGGACAAACGGGCCAATAAGTCCTCCACAAGCCAAACAATCGAATTTAATCAAAGAAAGTTGAGGTAGCATGCCTAAAATAAACTGCAATCGCCAAGTTATTAGTTTAATCACCAATCATATTTAAAATAAATATTTTAACGAAAAAAACAAACCTGTAGTAACAGTAACAACACCTGTAACACGTACAAGCATATTAAGGTGAATCTGACGAAGCATGCGTATATCATCTACAACCGGCATCCCACGAAGACGAATCTGCAAATAGAAATTTTTAATCTTCATTTTTTTGAAAAGAACTAAAAAGTAAAATGTTAAAATGGGAAAAAATAAAATCATATTATTAACAAATAAGAATTTTACGATTTTAATTTCTTGGGAGAAATATCTCTGCTTCATTAAATCGTTCAGAAAAAATCCCGGAAAGAAAATTTTGCAAATCGAATGTGGAAAATACGAATTACAAAACAAACCTTCACTTCTGGCGTTATTCGTGTGTAATGTGGGAACATGGACAATACAATATTAGTGGTGGCACGCGAAAGATATCCAAATATCTAAATACAGATAATGGATAATGGAAAAAAATATATAAATCGAGAAATATATAATGAAAATTACATATTGACAATCTTATTAAAAAATATGATCTACTTATTTGTTTATTTCTTTCTATTTATTGAATTTCTCAATAAATTTCTATCAATTTATTGCACTATCACGTATTCCAACAATAGCTTTAAAATCTAAAATATATGTGATATGGTATGATATATATGATCAATTAAATTTTGTAAGACGATATCATTTTATGAAATACAATTTTCTTTCAAAGCGACTAAAAAAATGGCAACCTGAACCGGAGCATCTGGCAAAAAATAACAAATGTGCTGTTCGCCATTTTCGCTTGCTAAATCATCATAATCAAGAACAACTGATTCACGATTTTCAGCAGCCATTTGTTTAATCGCTTCTATATACTTCAATTTACCAGTTTTGGGATCACGAAAATTTCGAAGAAAATTCTTGAAACTGAAAAATAGGCTTTTCTAAAGTTTTTATAAGGCTAAAGGCAACCATTAAAATTTTATTCTATTAATAAGCAAATAAGCACAATATATAATTAGAATTAAGTCAATATTGTTCAATTTTTAATTATTATTCTCAATATATAAATTCAATAAATAAATAAATCTATACATTTTTTTATTTCTTTCCATTTATTTATTTGTTTATTATTAAATTTCTCAATAAATTTCTATCAATTTATTGCACTATTACATATTCCAACAATAGTTTTAAAATCTAAAAAAATTCCATAACTATAGATATAAAAAATCTGACTTACCGACGCTGAATCTCTTTGGCTACAGCCACATCTGATACATGATCTCTGGTTGTTCGTCCACGTAGATTTTCGACGATATCTATTGGTAATTCTTCATCTTCTACATCTTCATCTTCCTTTTCTTCTTCTTCTTTTCTACGTCTTGGTTGTCGTTCATCTTCTTCTTCATCTTCCTTGAAAATAAGTAACTGATAAGTAATTTAACTGAGTACTAGTAAAAATACCCGACTTATGGGAGAGAAACATTGCTCGAATTCTCCCTTAATATGTCAATAAAGCTTATCCTGCCTTAACACCCATCGGATCCTGATGCACTTTTGCACATCTGAGAAATCCTCACAGCTCTTCAATAATCTTTTATTTCCCTTATATTTCTTCGATACTCTCAGCCATTATCATGTCATCCTTTTATAACATGTCATTCTATAATATAAATAATTTTAATTATAACGATAATAAAACTGTCATTACTGTATAATATTATATATTATAACTCCTATATACATGAAATCGTCATAAAAATGCACTGGGAGGAAAGAGGCACAGCAAAAGTAGATAAATTTAAGGAGACTAAGGCTTAAAGAATGTTGAAGTGGCAAAAGAGAAGTTCAAAATGAAATGATGGATTATGGCAAAATAGCATAGAAGAGCATAGAAGAGCTTCCGAGTGCCAAAGGATTAGTGCTTTTTTTTTTTAAATATAATCCACTGAATATGGTCAAATAGATTATTTAGATTTAGCTAAAGCTTTCGATACAGTTTCACATAATAGACTGATAATATTCCTTAGCAACTTTGGCATCACGCGCAAATCCTTTAAGTGAGTATCAGATAATTCAAATAGCCATTTTATAGAACTACAAGGTTCTATCTAATTTTTTCTTTCGAACTACTATTAATTACTGAAACAAAGTACCATGATGTTCTAGTTCCACCTCTCTCCAGTTCTAAAAGAAATCTCAACAAAATCATCCACAACAGATATAAAAGAAAATCACAAACTTTGTTCAATCACTAACTCCACAACAAAGGTTTATGCCCTGATGTCCCTGATGTATATACATTAAAAAAATGATCAATCATTTGCATCCTAGAGAGCTGGAGAGAAGTTTCACAGTGCATTGAGATAATGAGGTTTTCGAGAATTATGAAGATTTGATAGGATATTACTGGTGAGCAGAAGGGATATTGCGAATAGAGGACATTGGTGAGATTTTTCTTCAAAATTTGGCAAATTTTAGAAGAAAAAAATGAAATTTTTTCCTATAAACACAAATATACTAATATAAAAAATTATTTAAAATAAATCTACAATAAAATTATGACTTAGAAAAGCAAGGAAACTGTTATTCTTGTATTATTGAAATTTTTAGTAATTTTTTAGGTCTCAATATCATATCTCGGCAATTTTTGAACTTTTTGCCTTAATGCTAGACTGAGAATTATACCCTGGAATAAAAAAGATCGGCTTCATTTTCAATACCATCTCGTCTATCCATTTGCCGCTCAGCAGCTCTACGAGCACTTGGTGATAATACTGAATATTGCGAATCATCCATACCTGATTCTGAATAAATATCCAGTTCAGGTTGTGCCTGGTAATCACTGTAAATCACTATATATAATTCATTTACCAAAATTTGGTAATTGATCATTTCAAAATGATTAAATCACATTAACTATACTGATATCATTGAAGTCAATTATATTCAATTTAAATCACACGATTGAAAAACGAAAAAAATATATAAAAATAAAAAAACATAAATATAAAACACTTGCAGCAAAATATTTCACTTTCGTAACAAGGCTGAAATTTGTCGTAAAAAATTTTAATCGATGAATAGATGAAATAATTTGTATATGAAAGAGCAATAAAGCGATAATTACCGTTCCATATCTTCGCCAAATAAATCTTCACTCGACTCTTCACCATCACCAATATTTGTATCATTTTCTTGATCATCCTCAACATTCAGCTCATTACCAAACAGTTCAGCGATTGGATCAATTTCATCATTTGCCGCTTCAGCACCACTAGGTGGTGAATTCGAACTATCACTATCTTCAAATGTGAGTTGTCCTAAAATAAGAACGTTTTATTTTCGACAAGGAAATGAAATATAAAAAAGTAAAATTCAAGAAAAAAAAAGAAACAAAGTGCTATTAAATGTAACTATTTAATAACAAAAAAAAATCCCCGTGATAATAGCTACAAAAAAAAAAATGATATGGCGATCACAGGAGGATCGACATAAACTAATTTCCAAAATTTACAATAAAGAACTGCTCTTAGCATTAGCAAAGCGATAATGATAATGCAAAGAGAGCATAACAAGGTTGCAGGTAATTTTAAAGCAGCAATAATGGAATTTAATAAATTTGTTTTTGCATTAATACGTGCACATGTGAATCGAATCACCGCAATTTTTTGCACTTCTTTTATATAGCTCCATGATAACACCTGTCTGACGAATATAGGCTTATATATTAGTAATATTTGCATTCTGGAGTGAGAAACTCGGTAAGAAGGGGGTGAAAGCGGAAGTGGAGAAAAAAATAAAAAAGTTGTGAAAGGTGTCGTAAATAAGAAATCATGAAAGAATGACTGAAAAAAAAGTAAAATGTCTTTCGATACAACTCTTCGGTTGGATATTTTAATGACAGAAAAACTAGTAAAGAGAAGAATTTGCTAACTTCGAGCTGAACGCCGTGAAGAATGTCGCGATCGACTTGAGATGCTTCCGGAACGCTGTCGAGCTGAAGAGTTTTGCGATGCCCTACGACTTCCCGATCGTTCTGACATTTGGAACTTGGAGTTTACGTGCTACAATACAAATAAAATTACCTTTCGACTATCTGGTGCACGGCGTCTTATTTTATCTTACGCATAAAAAATCTTAATGGGCAGAAAGGCTTCAAGGAGTAAGCTCTCAATAAAGTCCGTAGGTTTCAACAGAGGCCCGTAATACCCACCGTAAAAGAGGCTGAGTACCCTTCAAGATTTGTGAAGAATGCATTCCCAACGTATGGAAGTATTGGTCGACTATCAAGCAGCATTGCTATGTTTCTTTTTTACCCAAAAGTTGGACAAAGGATCATAACAACCTTTCCTCACCGCTCAACCTTTCCACAAAAAAAGAAGAAAAATCGACAACCCCCCAGGACAACTCACAATATTTGCATTCCCCCTCCCCCCTCCCCCACTTTCCAGACTTTTTCCCATTAAGAATCTCCGGAAAAACAAAAAGTTCGCAGCAAAACTATCTCAAAATTTTCGCGCCTTAATTTAAATTTTCGTGATGAGACCCACTGAATAATTTGATTTATTTGACAATAAGATCTGTTCTTTTTGTAAGTGCGAAAGGTCATAGGTTAATAGGTCAAGCCAAAGGACTGTCGTTGCAAGTGGGACAAGTGGTGTACTAGGTGGATCAATGATGCATGTAGTCGTTTGCTTCGAATTTTTTCATTTTTTACGAGGTTGGTACCAACGGTGGCGCTAATGGTGCTAAGACGCCTGTTAGGCATAATTTTCTACAATGTTTGATATTATCAGCATTGTGTATTTAGCATTCACTGAGATATTATTATTGAAAAGAATTTTCTAGCCATTTACCTTATTATAACGGTTTGGCTCTTTTCGGTTATATGGTCAGCACCGAGCCTTACTTGCTGAAATTGAGATATGAGAATAAATTTGCTGGGATGGGAGGAAGGTTTTAAAACCTATGATTTGTATGAGACAAATAAATTATTATGATTTATCGGCGAGGAAAAGAAGAAAAGGTGAGAAAATGTCCCGAGAAAACTTCTGCCTAATGGTAATCGAGGTATTTATGAAGAAAAAAAGGAAAGAATAGAGTTAGAGCAAGGTCAAAAAAGGTCACGAATCGATCGATTCCACGATAAAAACGATTATCCATGGACTTCGCGACAAATGCTGTTCGATAAGAATCCTATACAGTCTCATTGAATCCCTCAAGCATATATACTGTGAAAGTTGCTTTAAATTGCAAAAATACAAATTTGCCATTCTCCTCTAGGCAGTGCTTTTCTTGTGCCACGGCCGCGTTTTCTTTTAGCATAATAGCACTTTAATTTGCCAATTTTGAGAATAAATTGATAACTTTGTTAAGCTATCACTAAGGTTTAGGTTATATGAATCCGTCCAGAACGCGTAAATTATTCTTCGTTTCTTCTTCAAATATTAATCATTTTGATTTTTCTTTCAGTTTTATCGCTAAGCTTTTAATTTTTTCCCTTACAAAACATTTTTGATTCATTATTTTTGTTTTTTAAATATTTTATATTATAATAAAATATTTTTAAAAATATTTTATTTTGCTTAAATAAGTGTAATTTTCCATTTTTAAACATCATCTTATGATTATTATATTTGGTGGTATTCGTTGAATAACGTTGTTCACGTTATGCTCCCTTTTTTTTGCTAAATTTTAATTCTTTTTAGTTCTCTAAATTTGTTATTTTTCTAATTTTTTCGCTTCGAAAATTTTTGCTTAAAGTGACAAATTTGTCGCTTTTGATTGTATGTTATTATCTGTTGGATCGACGAAAAAGTTTTCCACACTTTTTTCATAGAAATTTTCCATTTATTGAGTAACATATTTTTTTTTCTTCTCTGGATTTACTGATTTTTTATTTTTGAAAATTGAAATTTTTAGATAATTGTCGTCGAAGTGGTTAATTTTATGATTTTCCCATTTTCTTTTCATTATACTTTTTAAATTTGTAATGAAAATATTTAGTAAAAAACTTTTTTCAAACCAATTTTGCGAAATTTTTGAAAGAAATTATAATTTTATTTCCTTAACGAGGTGAGGTCGTGAAAGATGGAAAAATGAAAGGAAAATTTTATAAAAATTTTTTTTTTTCAGTATTATCAATGGCTTTCTTTTTTACAAGAATTGTTCGCTATGTTATATTCGCAGTAATTTTATTTTACGCGGTTCAGTACTTTCTTCGTTGGAAATCCTACGTGATTTCGCCTAAAATCTTCCGAACAGCTGCTACAGCTTCACTTGGTCGATAAATTCGAAGTTATTAGAGACTGAAATGTTAGGAAAGCAATGAGTATATTATGATGAAGTGCCAATTTAATGTTTGCCACCGTTAAGGATATCCAAAAATCATGAAATTTTAGAAAGTTTTTGACGTGATCTTATCTATTTATCATTTATCTATTTATCGATTTATGTGTCAATCGATAAATTTTATTTTTGTAGAGTGCTGTTCGTAGTAAAGTATATTTGAAAATATTTTACATAAATAAAATTACTAATTCCAACTTCTTATAAGTTTTTTTTGGTTTCTCGTCTAATTCGAGTTTTAATAAAATGAACTTGCAGGTGCAAATGGAATATCGAGTGTAAATATGCTGCGAAACGAATTGCGCCGTTCGTATGGACAGCATATTATCGAAAGTGGTTGGGAAGCGGCATATGGCGGTGGTCTAGATTTAAGAATAAATTTCTTGTATATGGCTCCCACTGAATATATTGCAGTGCTTCATGCTCCATATCGAACATCAGGCTTTTCTGGTTTCGTGATTTTAATGCTATTAAATATTTTTTAATATGGCTTAATAGAAGTCGCTGCCGCATCCTTTTATTTCATTTGCATAGTAAAAGATAATCATAATAAACAGAAAATACATAAATTCAAAAGAAAGTGAGGAGCAAATTTTATCCTCTGAAAATTCATGTGAAATTAATGTGTGAAATATTCAGGCTGGCATTGGTCTAATTCTACCTGTACCGTTTTAAATGGCGAAGTGGTCCGAATTGCATATAGTGCATACGTTAGAAATAAAGAAACATTTAAAACTGGTGATTCTTTTTAATTTTTTTAAAAGGTTTATAAATTCGAAGGTTTTCGAAGATTTATTTTTTAAAATTAAATATTAAAAATAACCTTTCCAGGAATAATAAATGAGAAATTGACATGAAGAACTACTATGGGTTGTTTATAGAATCTGCCTACTAGATTTTATGATTTTTCTATTTTTTGTAATTTCTTCTAACATTACTGGTTAGCATGGCCCCACTGGCTATAAGGATAAGACGTTTCCAAGTAGTGCGGATTGATGCAATCGTTGATATTAGTAGAAATCATTCCTTTTTCCATCTGGATCCATATATTGCCGGTTGCCTATACGTTCAAAATCTTTCCTGACCATATCAGTCCAGGTCTTGACTGAATCATCTCGCTTTTGATGCCACCCATCACAGCATTTAGCAAGCAACGAAATATATGTCAATTTTTTGTAATTTATGATTTTATGTTTTAAATAAGCAGAAATTGTTGGCGTTTCGCTTATTTTCTCCACCGCCTTGTAATTACCGTTCCCATTAAACTGAATATCTTTGAATATTGGCTGAACTGAATAAACTGAATAAAAAGAGAATAAAAGGATTCTCATTTGTGATAAGATTTCTGATCTTAATTTGTGTTTATTCATATTTATTATCGAATTCCTCCATTTTTTTGAAGAATTCTAAGGTTTATTTTATTTTAGGTTTATTCAACTGTTAATGAATGATTTATATGTTATAGTAGTTTTCAGTATGAAAAAAATAGTTTCTTCAGGTAACAATTTCCGCCATGGTGAATTCGATCGTTATACGTACGAATTTTCGAACGAGTCATATTTAGCTTGTTATGGTAGAGGTGCAATTCAAATCAGTTCGCTTTGGTTGGGTTCTGGTGCTATTGCGAGAGGCGATCCAGTTTCCTTTGCTAAAATCTTATTTATGTATATGCACAGATCTATGCATGAAATCGGGTTTTCTATTTCGAAAACTGCTCAACACTATAAAAGCAAAGTGATGAATACCGAATTATAATAAATTTTCATCATTAATTACAGAGATTATTTTATTTTGCGAACCATTATTTTTGACTAGTTATTTGTTTTTTTAGTTCATTTTTCTTGAAAATCAAAGCAAAAATTGGAGAAAAGCATATTTCTGAGAAAAAGGTTTAATTTTGAAAGTTTTAGAAATGGGGAATTTATATGCATTTTCTAGCGAAAATAAAGCACTTCATCATTAATCATTCTTAAACCCTTTCTTTTTTTTTTTGCTTTTCCAGGTTGTTAAATTTCCTACCCAATTGATTTCAGCTTATGAAGTCATAATTTTTAATCTTTTTTATGTTTTCTATACTTTTTATATTTTCAAAAATTTTATTACAATTAATTCATAAAATCCAGAATTTCCATGATTCCTCAATATTCAGTGTTATGAAATGTGATTCATAAATTTTTTAATAACGATTGTTTTAATACCAGACGCAAAAGAATATTAATGATATGATATAAATGGCTAAATCACTGAAAGAAATGAAAATTAAAAATTACACCTAACTTAGCGGTGCACTATTGAACGATAAAATTGATAAAGCTGATAATCAAACGAATTGCTAAGTTTTCGCAACTGGTTTCAGATTTTTAATTTATAGGACACCAAAGATCTAATAGACCTTCACAAATTCAGTCAAATAAGGCTGGTATTTGGTCAAATTGCCGAAGAACGGATTCGTCGTCAATTTGAACTTTACTTCTTTCTAGAAAAATAATATTTTTTGGACGAAACTGTTAGTGAAACTGTTAACTGTTAAACTGGATAATCCTGTAGTAAATGCCAATGGTTATCAGCGAAGCAGTAGCAATAACCGTCCATGGCAAGAATGTGTTGCATATGGTGTGTGCGAAGTGTGTGGGGAAATAAATTCATTGTCTGCTTGATGTTCACACTTAATCAAATTATCTATACCTCTGAAGTATACTGAGAAAAACATAAACAACTCAATTGCCTTTAAGAACAAATTTCATCAAAATTGTCTGCAGTAGCAAAGATTTTAGTCTCTACCATTTAGCTAAACGAAAAGGAAAACTCCTTTTCAGGATATTTCGAATTCAGGCAAGCAAGCTTCTAAAAAGGAATTCATGAATTGCTTTCTAGATGAGAAAGGATTGTAGAAAACGATAGAATACACGACTGATTAATATTCAGTAAATACATCAAATTTTCGATAAAAAAATATTTTTGAAAAAGAAAAAAATATGAGTAAAACTCTATCTAAAACTATGCAATATAGTACACATCAACAAAGATAAATATTTGCAACGAAAATTATTTGATATTATACTTTTATATATATTTTTATTATTTGATATTATATTTTTCATACAAGAAACTATCTAACAATAAAAACGTGAAACGGTTTTAAATTTTTTTTTGAAATTTTTGAAACTTAAAGTCTTTTTATCTAATTTGTAAGTGAACAAAATTACGCAAAATTACCGTTTTTGAGGATACTTTTAACAAGTTTTCTAGCATATTTCCGCGCAAAACTGTTTTATTTAAAACAGAAGGCTTTTACTGAATGCGTGGCTGAGTCAACAACAAAACACATTTTTTCCCATTTACTCGTAGCACCAACACATATGCCACATGGACGCCGTAAGCGTGAACCATGACTGTCCATTGAAAATAAAAATGAACCCTGAAATTTTAAATGATTATCGGATTGAATGAATCAATTTTCTATAGCAACTAATGAATAAATAAAAAAAGAAAAATAAGAAAATAAAAAATTTTAAAAAAATTATTTAAATAATTAAAAAATTTTAATTTAAATAAAAATTATAAAATAAAATTATAAAATTATAAAATAAAATATTAAATAAAAAACTTATTTTATATTGAGAAACAACAAGATTTGCACGATTTTTTTTTGAATCTACCACTGCTGCAATAACATTACCAGTTGCAGGGCAAACTGCACATGCAGCAGTCATAAAGCGTCCCTGAGTAGGTGTTGATGATAATAAAATTTCTCGGACGAATCGACCTAAACCAATCGAATAGCAAGAAATTGAAAGTAAGTTTTATTTTTTTTTTGTTCAAAATCAAGATAAAGACCTTCAGAAAAACAAGAATTTACCTCCTCCGTCAAAAACAAGAAGAGATGAGCATGTTCCAACAAGAACATCATCGTTCAAGCCAATGCAAATACAAGTGACTGGAGAATTTACATGAACAAAGACATTGAAGCTGAACAATGGCCGAAACTGAGAGTCGAATACGAATACCTATAATTCTTTCGAAAATTAAATGAAATAAAATCGACTAATCAAATGTTGCAGCCTGCAAAACATATTATTTCAGTAACAAGAAAATTATTTAAAATATCAAAAGCTATCTTATAAATATCAAAAGAACATGATAAAAATTAAACAATAAAGTAAAAACAATAAGAATGAATTAGAGTGTTTTATTCAAAGATTAATAATCGAGAATAAATTCCTTTAAAAACAAGTTAAATTTGAAATCCAGTTAGGAAATAGAAATTGGGATAATTTTAAAAAAAATCACTTTTGCTAACATATAACTGAAAGAAGTATCGTTTGTCTGCGTACAGAATTCAAAAATATAGAATAAAAAAAAGACCTTGCCGCACGAAGTATCGGCGATGAAAAGTCGACCATGGCTATCAACGCAAATATCGATAGGTTCGATGAATTCCGAGAAGCTCATAGACTGAATAAAAAAGCAAATTATAAAAAATTTTAAAGCAAGTTCTTTAGCACGTGAAACTGCTACCGGGAGTGAAATTTTATCATTATCGAGTTCCAACCCTTGAAGAAATCTGCCATTAAAAATGAAGCGGGGTGAAGTAGAAGCTTGTATTTCAATCTTCAAGAATTCTTTGATGGAAGAATTTCACAATAGTAATCAATGCACAGCCAAACTAAAAATGGTGAATTAATTTTTTCAATCATGACTTTTTCCCTTTTAGCCTTCTATTTATAAAAAATCAGTAAAAATGGTCCTGCATCATATAAGAAATTTTCGTCAGGAGCCACTTGTGGTAAATAATCATTTACCAACATGAAAAAAAAGAACAAGTATGATTATCTCATGAAGTTATAGGGAAATTTATATTTTTATAGACTTGAGCTGAATGTGCTGAAACTTGAAATTCAGATTAATGTCAAAATGATTGAAATTGTGGATGATGTACCTGAATTAAATCACCAACTGAATTACATTTGCTAATTGACTTTGTTCTCCAATTCAAAGTTAAAATATCACCACCAGGTAAAAGCGACAGACCGACTGTACTGCCACCACTAAGCGATTCACCAGTTATATCATCGATATATTGACCGCTACCATCCAATATTTTAACTGAATGAAATTATAAATTGACTTATTGTCTAAACTGATTAAATTGATATATACGAACACATATTTTCTTATAGTCAGATTTGCTCGCTCGTCAGCCTTTGTTCTTAGGTTCAAAAATTTTTAAAATTAAACAATTAATTTAAAAATTTGGATGGATAAAAAATAGAAAAAATGAAGGAAAATTTTAAATGCGAACTTCTGTTATTTCCTGTATCTAATATATACATATAGCCCTTACAATCCTGAGCTATTTTCACCGGCTGATTTAACTGTAGTGGACCAGACCCTTGACATCCGAACTGCCATCTAGGACTGTGATGATGGCTAACCGATATTGTAAAAGGACTGTTTTTCACGGGTCGACCAAAAATTGACACAGCAACTGAATATTGCCCAGGTTCATTGGGTCTGAAAATTGAAATGAAAAAGATTTTTTAAATGTTTTTGATCACCACAGACTTTCTATATTTCAATCGAATAACTAAAAAAAATGGAATACAAAGCAATTTCAAACAAAATAAGTACTTAAAAGTAATAATATAAGTTCCATCGTCATTATCAATTATTGTTGCACCAATTGCATGACTTTCCGAAGAAACCATATCTTCCTTATCTCTTTTTTTAACCACTTCAGCTTTAACTGGATCGCCGCCATTAGTACGAAATTTCCCGTTAACATCGCATGTTGTTAGCAATAATCGCGTTTCTGTATGTACACTTGATGTATCAGTTTCATGCAATGAACACTGACCAGGAAATGTTGTCGATCCCGATATCGTACCAAATTGACTTAGCGACTTTTCCATTTCTAAAAATTTAAACTTAGCAATTAAAACAAATTGTATAGTACAAACATATTTGAAATTTGAAAACAATTTGAATAATTTGAAAAAAAATAATTGAAATTTGAAAACGAAAAATATTGCTGCAATGGCTTTTCTGAAAATGAAAAAAACAAGCCAACATAATAATATCTAACACCTAATAAAGCCAGAAACTAATATGAATTTGAATTAATAAATTTATCCAATTTTAATGATTCTAAAAACCATTTTTCAATTTTACTAACTGGCTTATTCTATCGCTAAAACATAGTTTTCACTTTTATACGGCAAAAAAATCCATATTCAAAAATCTACAAAAGAAACAATTTTTTTTTCAAAAGAACGTAAAAAATAAGCAAAAAGATAGATGCAAAATAAAAAAGTAACTACCATGAAGCAATTTATTTGTTTCAGTATGAAGCTTTAAAAAAGCATTTTCTCGAGGTTCCAATAAATTCAATGCTTCTTCAGTAGCAGCCGCAACTCTTTTAGTGCGAGATCCCATATCTCTTACATCGATCTGGCAATTTCCAAGTTCACGTTCTAGTCTATAATAACAAAAAGAGTTACCCAAAAATTATCTTCGGCAAATACAGCAAAAATAAATTAGATGATTGAAATAAAATTTTAAGAAATAAATATTACTATTTTTTTCCAATAATAAAACACAATTTATATTTTCACAAACGATTAGTTTACAACTAGGAAATGGTTTGCGATATAAAAAAGAAAAATTAGCAAATTAAAGGACAAATTTAAATGGCTCAATGATAGCTTTATAAAAACTCAATATTAAAAGAAATCAAAATGAACATGGACTATATGCGAATCCAAAAAAACATCGTCAATTTTCAAGGCCAATACAGAAAAAAAATTTGACGAATTGCATGCTGATAAACTACCTTTTACGATGAGAATCTATCAGTTCCATTTGATCTCGTAAGACTTTTCGTTTCTCATCTCTCATAATTCGAACACTATCAATCAGTTCACGACGACGATTTTCAACCAATTGTGAAATTTCCTAAAATAAATACAAGAATTCGAAAAAAACAAATGCGTAAAAAATTAGATTTTAAAAACGAAAATCTAAATGAGAAAACTGAGAGTGTTCTATACATACAGTTGAAAAATATGAAACCAACCAACGCATTGAATGAAGGAAACCAATAGCTAAAATAAAATAAAAAACCAATAAAATAAAAATTTACCGCCATTTTTCACTTATGATGACGTCTAAATATCAAAAAAAAATACTTAAAACATGAAAAGTAGAAATCTATCGTTGATTGATTGCTATGTACTTATATACTTATCGTAAAAAAAAACTGCAAATTGAAAATTAAAAATTATAAACTTGAAATGATGAATTGAGATCATCGACTATATGGTCGACATTTCGGTCGAGTTGCTTCGTTTCACAATCAACATTTGCCGCAGCTATATTTAAATTAGCAATACACTGTTTCGCTTTAAATACAACAATTTCAGACATTCGCTTGATGGCGATGGAAAATGGTACAACCGTGTGATCAGCACATGATCGTCTAAAAAAGAAATTTGGTATTTTCTAAGTAAATAAAAAAATTTAACAAAAATCTCCATCACCATTCGAATTTTATTTTTAATGGTAGGTTTACTTCTATAAAGAGTGATTAAAGAACTACTGCTGAAGAAATATTTTCAGTTGCAAATTAAAAGACGAAAAATAAATGGAAAATAAACCGACTAACGTTAATGGATTATCGCATAAAAAGCAAAAGACAAGATCACAAAGTTCGCAATAAAGTAATTGTTCTTGTTGATGAACAGAACAATTCGGCACGACGTCACGTCGTTGCTTTTGCATTAAATCGAGAAGTTGATTGATAAGAAATGATGATGGAAATGATGAAACTCCATCCGCTGGTATTACTGCTAATTCACGACATAATGGACAACGCAAAACACCAGTTTCTGGGATTTGCTGAAACAATTCTCACTCCACAGTATTCTAATTTTCAAAGACTTTCGAAAGACTTTAGAATTAAAATTTAAGACAAAAAAATGCAACAGAAAAACAAGCAACTAATCATCAAACTAATCATCGGAGCACAGTTAATGTTCAACAAAAGAATTATTTTGAAAAACCTTGACCTTAGAAAAGACTCCATTTTGACCTTTTTAATTGTCTGTACTCTTTATAAAAATTAAATTTTACCTGCGACAATCGTTGCATATTTTCGAGACATTCGAGACAAACTGAATGTGAACATGGTAGTGTTTTCGCTTTCCGTTTGTCCTATAAACAGCTTTTAATTTTAAAAAATTGATAGAAGTTATAACAGAATAGAAGCCAATAGGTAAATGAATTTTAATAGTTGAAAACGATCACTGTCGATCATTTACTTGTCTGACAATTGCTCACGAAGATGTTTTTTTATTTTAGAAAATTGCCGCATCTATTCGTTTAATATCTATTGCTTTAAAATGGATGGGATGGCTCAGTGGGTTGTTGCTTAATTTGGAGCATTGATGCTGAGGTTCGATTCCCCGCAGGAGTAAACTTATACAAAAATCCGGGTGATGCTGGCGACTCACCTGCATTTCTATCGCCAAGACACCCTCTGGCATATTTGCCTAATGCGACAAGCCAGTGGAGCGAGTTTAACCGGTAATGGTGAGGACTCTTCAAAAAAAAAATTTAGAAGAACAGCTATATTCAGCTAAATTAGTATATTCATTCATGCAACTGATAAACGAGCCAACAACAGTGAAAAATGTACAAAAACAGTACTTGGTCATAGGTTAAAAGACACGTAGCGCACGTGAGAAATGACTCAGAGAAGTCTTCCAGATTGATATTTATTATTTCAATAAGCGTAGAACACATCACAAAACAAAAATCCCCTTCACCATTGCCAGTCACCTTGCCGCATAAAATTTCAATATTCCACCATATTTTTCACCGAAAAAAGACCGAGATGTACGACCTCTGAAAATTATTTTCCTGTTGTATTATTCCATCAGAGGTGGATCTTATAAGCAGATAATGCGTCCCACACAGATGAATCAATATGGTTGAAAAATATTTTGCAGTGGTACTAATCAATTACCGAGGACATAGAAAAGCGAAGCAAATATAGAACTGAGAAATGCCTAACAATCACTTATTAAGGAAGGGTCGTGAGACCTCATTAACACGGATATGATAACCGACAAATGTCTGAGAATCGCATACCTGGGTAGGACTAAACGGCCACGTTTTAGAAAAGGTAGCGACCATATTCAGTCGACCGACAACTGTTAAACAACATCGGCCACACAAATATCGCGGCCCAGGTTTGATGACATTTGGTTACAAGCACTGTGTGAGTATATAGGTGCTGAAATTTTAGTTTTCAGAGTTTAATGCGTGTCCTCCGGCCACAGTTCAGTTATTTTCGATGCGAGCATACCACACCTTAACACCTGACCTTGCTGCTGGTGTGAACTGAGGTTCGACTAAACCTTGCAGCTATGTTCGAGTGAGGATTCTTGACGAACCGCGTCCATCGTTTACATTTCATAGTTACTTAATAAATTTAGGGAATGGATTTCTGAACATTTAATTTTGGTATGTCAACATTTCATTACCATTTTTGTCATTAAAATATGCAAAGTGATTTTTTGCTTTCGTATTAATTTTCGCTCAACTGTCGTAAATTTCGCTCAAATGTCGTGCAGCTCTCGCAGTGGTCGCTCAAATGTCACCCCGTTGTTGATACTAGATAATTCCATTCATATTGTTATCGTTGGTGATAAATATTCTGTGACTTTTAAAAAAAAATTTTAGATGAATATGGACGATCGTGTTCAAATTCGTGGCGATAGTAGTACTCCCACATATGGTGGTGTCATTGATTCATCATATATTGTAGCACCAGGAAATTTTAACCAATTAATGGAATCGTCGCCTGAGCCCAGCGGTTTCATTACCAAAAGGAGAACTGTCGACAATTCACCACTAATTGTTGGTAAAGCCATTTCCACATTTATAGTGCTTTTAACCATTCAGATTTAATTTTTATTTAGTGCAGTTTGGCCGATGGCATTTGTGCTTCAGTATGAACTAGCTAAATTTTTTTTAAAAAAAAGTATGGATAATTCAATCTGAATTTTGCCCGGAAATTCTTGCTAGTCAATGGTAAAAGCTGTTAAGAAGATAATGAACGATTCTTATCAACGGAAAAAATTTTTAGATACGCAGCCAACGACATTATCCAGAAATGGATTAGCTGGTGCGAATACTTCTCCTCCTCATCGTTAGTTAATTATTTTTGAATAGCGTTTTTTCTCAATTTTTTAGTATTTGCTTCGTTGAAGATGGAGCAAAACCAAAATAAATATTTAAAGAAATATGCGGTAATGAGAGGCCAAAATTTCTAGTTAGCTATTAGGTAATTAAATCTGCAGTAATTTTTTTGTTGACTGATATTGTGATAAAAAATAAGCATGAGACAATTTTTTTGCAAAAAGAAAATATAAATAAAATATATATATATAAAAATTTTTTTAAGTTATGTCTTCTTTTGATTTTAATTATTATTTCGACTGGTATTTTTAGCATCAGTTGATTTTTCTACAGCACAGCCAAATGGTCTATCAACTATTTCCGGAGTTTTTGCACCTGTCGCAATTTCTATGTTCAGCGTTCTATTATTTTTACGGATGGGTTTGTTTTTCACCATATTATCAAATTACTGGCATCTGTCATCGTATATCGAACTTGTCAAGTTCATATTAAACTTTATCTTTCGAATGCATTTTTCAAAATTTTTTTAATATTCATTCGATTTTTTTAGATTTATTTTATAATTTTATAATTTTATTTTATAATTTTTAGATTTTATTTTATTTTATAACATAATATTTAAGGTTTCGTCGTTGGGCAGTTGGGTTTTCTTTTGACTGTTAGTCAGTTATTGTTAGCATATGCGATTGTCATGCTTACAGTTCTTTCCTTATCTGCAGTATCAACCAATGGTGCTATCGAAAGCGGTGGCGTTTATTGTAAGCTTCCTCTGAACAATTTTAAATTTAAATTATTGTAAGGATACTATCTTGATAAATTTATTAAGTTGGGGATGGAATGGCTCAGTAGGTTGTTGCTCAATTGAGAGCGCCACTGCTGTGGTTCGATTCCCCGCAGGAGTAAACTTGTACAAAAATCCTGGTGATTGCTGGCGACTCACCTGCATTTCTATCGCCAAGACACTCTCTGGCATATTTCTCCAATTCGACAAGCCAGTGGAGCGAGTTTAACCAGTAATGAGGACTCTTAAAAAAAAACTTATGAAGTATTGTGGTCAGTCTTTGATGAAATTTGAAAAAAATCCTCTTTTATGTCCTTAGCCTTAAAAAACACTTTATATTATAACACTTTATATTAACACTTTATAAGTCAATAGATTTCATATTGACTTAATATGAAATCTATTTATAAAAATTTTTCTCTTTCTTAAATAAAAATAATAAAATAAAAATAAAAATAGACTAAAATAGCTTTAAAGTTTCATTTTTCTTTTTTTAATTTATAGTTTATTTTTTAGATCTAATTTGATTTATTAATTTATTTCGATCTATAAATGGAATTTCATTTAGTAAGCCAGATATAATTTTCTAAAGCAAGTTATATCGTAAAGATAACGTTTTAAATTATTTTCATACAAAATATTTGTTATTAAATTTTATAATTAGTAAAAATCTCTATAATTAGTAAAAATTTCATATTTCCAAATTGTTACTTCTTTAGATATGATAAGTCGTTCACTTGGACCTGAATTTGGGGGAGCTATTGGTCTTCTTTTTTATACTGCGAATGTTTTTTCTTGTGCATTATATTGTGCTGGATTTACCGAAGCCCTTCTTAGCAGTCTTGGCGAAGAGAGTAAATTCTTTTAATTTTTTTATAAATTATTTATAAATTTTTTATAAATTATTTGTTTTAAATTTCTAAATTTCTATTTTTTGCTCATTCATCTTTTTGGCTTTCTTCTTAATATAATAGTATGAAACAAATTTGCTATTTACTCCATATTCATTAAATAAAAAAAATAAAAGGTATAAAAAATAAATAAAGGAAAAATACTATTTAATTAACATTATATAATTTGAAAAAAAAACCGTTTCCTACTCATTTATTTTAAATTCAAATTTAATCCTTGATTTCACCAACTCAAATATTTTAAAAAATTCATTGAAATTTTCAACTTTTATTGCTGTAGTCTATTTGAAAATTTGTTAATTTGTTAATAATTAAAAATTTATTAATTTTTAAGTTTTTACCTATATTGCCAATATTATACGATATTTAAGGAGTGCCTTCGAGTGGTACATGGAAATTTTTATGTTGTGTAATTATTTCGCTTGTAATACTCGTACTTTGTTTGCTTGGAGCTAGTCTTTTCGCTAAAACAGCGCTTTTAACCTTCATCGTGATCAGCTTTTGTTATTTCACCTTTCTTTTTTCGGCATTTTTTATCTCAGCTTTTCCTGTTCCAGTTCCAAAAACTAATCAGATCGCTTATCTGGTTAATTTTTATTGATTTTTTTATTCAATGAAACCAGTCATAGTTTTTTTTTGTTATTTCAGTAGAGATCTGAAAAATCGAATAAGATTGAAGAGAAAGTTTCGGAAAATTATTTTTTTTATCTTTGATATGTTAATGATACTTGTTAGATTTTAGGTCCCTTCAAATGCTTCAGATCCAGATTCAGAGAAAATTCCTGATTTTAATCAAACTTTAACGGCTAATTACACAGGATTCAGGTAAACAATCCATTTCAAAAATGTTTTAATTTGTTGATAAAAATTAAAAGCAGATTGCATTCAGAGAAAATTATTAGGATACATGGAAAATTTTTGCAATACAAGTTTTTAATTTTTGGTGTTTTATTTTAAGTTGCAATTTTTTATTTATTTGATACAAATTTAGTTTAATTTAAATTATACACATTTGTTTTAATATAGTTTATCAACATTGGCTGATAATTTGCTTCCGAATTATACATATGATTATACTACAACAAAGAATACCGATTTTGCCATTATGTTTGCAATAATATTCAGTGGTGTAACAGGTAATTATGTCAGATCTACCAAATGTGTTCTAGATAAAATATCGAGTAGTTGAAGAGTGTGACATCAATTTGTTTAATATTATTTCATTATAACGGGAAACTATCGATGCATTCACAGTTGGCATGATTTTCAGTTTGATACTATATATCAAAAAATCATTACATAAACTTTTCAATTCTTTTCTTTTTCAATTTTCAGTTCTGGTTTTTTGGCAGTAAATCACAATCATCTGTCTAAAAAATATTTTTCAGGTCTCATGGCTGGGGCCAACATGTCAGGCGAACTATCTCGGCCTTCTATTTCTATTCCACGTGGTACTGTTCAAGCAGTTTTATTTACATTTGGAATTTACGTTTTTACTTCATTCATTATAGCCGCAACATGTAGCCGATCTTTGCTTCATTTGAATTATTCGGTTAGGGGTGAAAATACTTTGTTTAAAATTTTAATAATATCACGAATTTAATTAGATTTAATCATTGTCAGTTTTTTTATATGAAAATTTCAGTTACATCTTTAAGCGAATTTTATTTTGTTATATTTTCATTTAATTTTATATTTTAAAATAAAAAGAGAACTATTTCAGGTAATGATGGATGTGAATTTGTCACCTTTCTTTATCTTAATCGGTACTTTCTCAACCACCTTTTTTTCATCAATGAGTAATATGATTGGTTCGTCAAGAGTTTTGAATCGTGTAGCTCATGATAAACTCTTTGGATTTCTATTACATCCCGCTAAAATCGAAATTGCTTCCGGAAATCCAGTTGTATCTGTTTTTATAGCTTGGATATGTGTTGTGGTTAGTTTTTTATTTTTATTCTGTTATATACTCTATTTTGTTTTGTTTAGGCCGCTTTAATCAAGCAATATTTTATATATAATAATAAAGCAATTTTTTTCATTGTATGAATTTCATTTTATTAGTCAATAAAAATTTTTGTTGAAGAATTGGGCTTTAGGACCGGTGAAATTAAAATTCGTTGAAAAATCTTTGGTTCACAATTCTTTCCTAATGAACTTGACTGTTAACAAATGATGTTTTAATTTTTTGATTATTTCTGCAATCCCGAATTTTTTCTGAAAAAAATTTTTGATGTAAGGGATTTTCAGTTAGTATTCTTAATTGGGGCAATGAATAAAATAGCAAAACTTACTTCCATTTTCTTTTTGCTTTCTTATATGGGTGTCAATATTGCATGTTTGGCTCTTGAACTAACAAGTGCTCCTAATTTTCGGTATATATTATTCTTATTATTTTTTAATTTACTACTTATGGCAGTTTTTATATCTCTAGCTTGTAGACCAAAGGCATCAGCTTATCCATATATTTAGTTTTAATAACAATCTTTCCACTCGTTTTATCGGTTGAACTCAATGAAGAATCGATGATTTATCTCAATTTCATATTTTAATATATGAACATGGAAATCTTTTGCTTAAACCTTTTTTAATTTATTTTTCCAGTTTAATTTACTTTATTTTAATTTACTTTAATTTAGGCCAAGGTTTAAATATTTTTCTTGGCATACTTGTGCATTGGGTGTTATTTCTACAATTATTATGATGTTGGTCATTGACGCTGCAATGAGCGCTATTGCTGTTATAATACTGATGATTCTTTTAATGATCTTACATTATCAGGTATTTTTGCACTCTTATTTATTCTTCATCTTTTGCTACCAGTATTTCGTTAATGAGTCATTGGTTTTGCTCTTGATTATTTTCTTGTTTTCTCGAACGATACTGGTTTGCTTTAGGCTCCTGTGGGATCGTGGGGATCGATATCTCAAGCACTTATATATCATCAAGTACGTAAATATCTTCTTCTTCTCGATGTTCGGAAGGAACATGTCAAGTGATTTTTATATTTTATCCTTCATTAAATGTTGATTTAATAACTGGGCTAGTTTTTTAACCTTTTAACATTTAAGTCGAATTACTTCATTTTTCATTATTTTCTGCTTCATTTTTTGTAAGGATTTTATTAAGTCTAAAATTTTTTTTCGCAGGTTTTGGCGTCCTCAGATATTACTATTAGTGAATCGACCAGCTACTTGTTGCCCTCTGATGGATTTTGTAAATGATTTGAAAAAAAGTGGTCTTTACGTCATAGGGCATGTTCAGCGTGGATCGATGGATGAAAATATGACGGGATTGGACCCTTTGCAAGAGGTTCGGACCATTCAAACTTTTTGCTAGTATTTCTTTTAGTTTCATTACAGCACCACAAAACAATTCGATCTTTTCGCAAGTAAAAAGATGAAAAATGATAAAATGATAAAAATGATAAACAGGTTTTAGCCTTTTTTATGTTGTTGTCTTGACAATCCCTGGACCATTTAGGCAAATTGATAAAGCTCTTTCTTAATTTTGTTATTGCATAGAATAATAGATATTTTACAACGGAAAAGTAATATAATGTGAAAGTATGGTGGTTTTTTTATACTTATTATCGTGTTATTGCTGTGGCTTGCTAATTATATTCATTATTAAAAGAAGTGCTAAATTTTAATGAGGGAAATTAGAGAAAATTTAGAAAATATAGGGAAAATATGCATTTATAAATATAAATTTTTTGTTATTCAAGTTCATTAGTGGTAGTATCTATGGAATGCTCGAGGGAAAATCTGTGATATATTATTCCCCACAAAGCTTTTTTTATCAATGAGATTGAACCATTTTTCAATGCGAGCTTATACCAAACTTCTCCATTATCCATTATCACAAACTTTTTTTTCAGGTTTTCCCTTATTGGTTATCCTTAGTTGATTATCTCAAATTGAAAGCATTTGTTGAACTTACTATATCAAAAACAATCCGAGACGGTATTCAGCAGGTAGATGTCAAATTTTTTGCAAAAACATGCATATTTTCTTCTTTTCTTTAAGGTTTAGAAAATAAATCATTCGGCTTCTCATTTAAAACTTTTAAAAAAATTTTAAAGATAGAATTTTTTCTTGTTTTATTACCAAGTTAATATTTAAGCTTATACGACTTTCGGGTCTTGGTGCCTTAAAGCCAAATACAGTGATTGTTGGTTTTCATGAGAAAACTCCTTCGGAAATCACTCTTGCAGAGTCGTGTCTTCTTAAAGATTTAAGATTTTCGCGAATTGATCGTAATGAAGTTGTAGAATACTTCACTGCTTCTGATTATATGCCTCGCGTAAATTTTCTTCTATTTTTATGAAAATTTTTAGTTTGGTGCTTGATAACTTCTGTTATTTGCCTGATGAATTTATTTTGATTTTTTCTTAAAAAAATAATTTATTTTGATTTTTGATTTTTTTAAAAAGTAAATATTTTCGTGTTTTTATGTCTTTTCCTTTATCTTTTCAGGAACCCAATAATTCTTCTGAACGGCTATCAAATGAAGAATATTTGCGCATATTAAACGATATTTTGCATGTTAATAAAAATCTTTGTGTGGCTCGCCATTTTTCTCGTCTTGATAAAGAAAGTTTGAGGTATTATGCCTTTATTTTCTCATTTTCTATTTAACTTAATAAGAAATAAGCAGGTGAAAAAACTACAGAAATCTGAAATATTTCTGAAATAAAAGTTTTTCTGAAGTGAATATCTTAATTAGATTTATGGGTTGTTCCTTTGAGCCAATCTGTACAGAGTGGTAGTTTTTTTGAAGAAGATGTTTGATAATTAGTTTTAATGAGAGAGAGATTTATCTTTATTGAAAGTGCGGTAAATTTTTTCAAGATGAAGCAAGAATTTAAAAAAAACTCAAAAAAGCAAATAGATACATTTATGCATAAGTATTCGTTCATATATCCTAATAATAAAGGACTTGGAGTGGCGAAAAGAAATATATCGATGTGTGGCCAGTCTGCATACAAAAACCCGGTGAATCTGGTCTTGGCTGGGGAAACAGGTATTTGTCAGTCTATCATTCTTTTTTTTAACTTTTATATCTGATATCTGGCATTGATTGATGAAAAGTAAATGAAACAATAGATTACTTTCGTAAATTCCTTAAATCTAATTGATTAATATGTAGATTAACATTTTATTATAGTTCATTATTTCTCCTTCAATTGGCTTGCATATTATCTATGAGTACGGCGTGGCGTCCTTACTGCACACTTCGTGTATTTATTTGTGTGAATAGTCTCCAGGTTTTCTTTTTTTGGATTTCCTGGTAATTTTATTTCAACTCAGATAAGAGTTTAATTTAATTTAATATAATTTGAATCTTCTGTACGGAAGTTTTTTGGACATAAACTGAATAGTTGCAACACTTTATAATATTTTCTGCTTTTGAAGATGTGATTTTGTAGAAATGCATGAATGAAAAACTATAACCTGTTGTAATTCTTTATAAAACAATTTATAAATTTATAAATTTATAAAAAGTCACATATATTTTAAGGATATGCATAGACGAGAACGGCAGTTGAAAGAATTATTAACTCATCTACGAATTGATGCGAAATCGTTAGTTATGCCATGGGATCATGTAGTTTGTCACCTTGGCACCACTGATATTCCAGATGCTCCATCGAGGTTCAATCTTTACTTACTTCTTACTTCTTAAACAAATTATATACCAAGCTGATGTTGAAATGAAAATCATGGTCATTTATTCAGTAATTCAGATCAAGAAAAAAATTTTTTGTAAAAAAAATTATTGTCGAAAAATGGTCAGAAATGACCACTCGATTTCTTCTGTTATTAGTTTGCTTATTTAGAGAATTTGATTTAGAGAATCGGTCGATTTACCTGCGCCATATTTAACGGCTATGAACGATTTAATCAAAAGAAATAGTGGCGATGCAACGATTTGTCTCTTGAATCTACCGATTCCACCCAGAGATGTATTTCTTTTTTTGGAAATTTCTACAAAAAATTTTCAAAATTGTGAAAAAATTCTAAAAAATTCAAATTCAGTCTGATAAAATTCAGTTTTCACAAGGAAAAAGCATATTTGATACATGCATTTATATTCGTCATAAATTCATTCTTATAAAAAGGTTGCATAAATTCCACTGCTGAATTCAGTCATGGATTAGTTCAAATTAAGAATTTTTGGTTGCAAAAAGATGCAAAAATAGAGATCATTTATCGGGGAATATTAAATATTTGAATGTGAAAAGCTTTTTAAAGGTATATTTTCAGATATCGTTAAGCGAGCGTTATCTTGATGTAATTGAGATTTTGACTCAAGATCTTCCTCCAACCCTGCTCGTCCATGGTATATCATCCGTTATATCAACAACATTGTGATCATTGATTGTTCATGGTAAATTGCAGGAGTTTTAAAGTTGTAATTCTATTTTTACTTTTATTCTTTAGCTATTTAATATAAATAAGCATTTTCACTCAATTCGATTCTCATTTTATAATCATCATCTGCATTCCACTGTTAATGATAATGATTAATGAAGATTAACGACAAGTAGAAAAGAAAAGATCGATTATCGATAGGTTTTATTAGGATCATTTATTCGCTCGTTACCTGAAATTTTCTATGAGGACCATATAGCAACATTTAATTTTGGTTAAACATTCAGCTGTTATGGCAAATGATTTAATGAAAAATAGAAATCTTGCCCAATGTTAAAATATTTTGTTTTATATTCGATTAATCTCTATTTTTTCGAAATATTTTTTTTATTTTTCATTTCATTGTTTTGTTATATAAAAATAACTAATATATACTTAATGTGATATAAAATTTTCATTTCTTTTCCTTTTCCTAGGAGTAATTTAATATTAATCAGCGCTATCAATAAATTTATCTGCGTTTTTTCCAATTTTTCACTGTTTTCTAATATTTTGTTTTCTACCAATATTATTTTTTTGAAAAATGGTCATATTGGACATAAATTGAGGCAACTTTTTTTTGTTATAAGCTCCAAAATTTCGACTTTTTCCTTTAATATATGATTATTTTTTGATTAATCTCTTTCCAATGGCTATAACTGCTTGTTAAATTAATTATAAATCGTAATTGTAAGTAAATGAACTATAATTAGAAGAAAATTATCGATTCCTAAGATTTAATTTGCTTCTTTCCTTTTTTCCTAGTTTTTCTTTAATCATTTATTTGTTTTCTATGATTATTTATTTTTCTTCTTTTTATATATTTATTGTTGTACGAAATGGTCTTTTTTTATACAGTGGTGTACTTCATTTCGTATAATAAATTTTCTTTTTGCGCTAGTTCATTGGATTGGATCAAACAAGTCAATTGATAGTAGAAATGCAATCGCCACCATCTTTCTTGAAAGGCTGCTGCGGTAAGTACTAATTAATTTTGAATAACAATACTTATAGCATAAAAATTATATAAATAAATTGCGTCTATCATAAATCAGAACCACCAATGAAGAATAAATATGAAGATGAAACCATCGATATCTATAAGTTGTTTTCGTAACCAAGAATTGGACTTAACCAATGTTCAACGGATTCCATTGGAATTTTCTTTCGAAACGCATAATCTGTTACCTGAAAATGAAAATAATTGATAAGAAAGCGATTTAATTTCAACGAATTTAAGTTCATCTAAATTTTAGACCTTTGCTAGTATTTAAATTTAATATTGAAAACCCTTTTGATAACTCAATAAAGCGTTGAATATAATCCACCTGATCTTTATCAATTTTGCCGACGGCGAAATATTTCGACTGTGGATTTGCGAAATATAAGCCACAGACTGATGCAGCTGGATCCATGGCAAAAGTTTCTGTCAACTAAATAATTCTGTTTGGCTGTTTTAGATGAAAATTCTACGAAGTTTTCGTGAAACGTTAATGAAAGTAAAAAGTTTAAAAATCGAATCAGGTGGATTTTGAAGACCAATCTACCTTTATACCAGCGAGATTTTCCGCATCTAACAATCGCCACAAAGCCTCTTTTTCGGTATGGTCCGGCTGTGAAGGATATCCCGGTGCCGGTCGTATTCCTTTGTACTGTACGCTGATCATATCTGATGCAAGCATATTTTCTTCTCGTGCATAACCCCAATATTCACGCCGAACATAAAATTTTTCCATTTTGGGCTCAATCAAAATTTAGTGATAAGTTTATCTTTTCTTCACTTCATCAAAATCACAAAAGCGCTTGTGAGTGAGTTTTTTAAAATTTCTCACAAATATTTACTTTCATATGCAAATATTCAGCCATCGCTTCAGATAAACGATCAGCTAACGCTTTAACCTGGAAATCTTCAAGTTTAAAACAAATTCCATGGATGGGTTCTCATAAAGATAGGTAAATAACTATGGTAGACGACATGATTGAATCACAAGCAAAATTACCATAATGCTATTATAATCATCTAAATTATCCCTTTCTAAATGGCTGCAATATTCTTTGGCTCCAAATCCTGTTGTACATGCAAAAGCGCCAATATAATCAGTTGGTTTTGTTCCATCACCAGGAACAATAAAATCAGAAAGGCAAATACAAGCCTGATCAACATCTCGATCGCTTTGTTGTCGAAGACCATAGAAACTGCAAAAATAGCTAATTGATTCATAGTCATTCATGCATATATACCTCAATGGTTCGACCTTTGCCCCTCAATACATGCAAGTCTTCTTAATAAAGGTCGAAACCTAGAGACCTGCCATCCATCTATGGCAAAAAGGTGCTGCAGCCAGCCAAACCAGAAATGATGAGTGCCGTGGATAAATTTTGTATGTATATTAAGAAGAAGTTATATTTAGAAGATAAAGAAGGAAATTCTGAGATTCTCTCTCGAAATTTAATAAAAACAACGAGCGACACCTACGTTTCAATGTGTTTCATGCTTGTAGCATCGAAGACAAAAATATCGTCTCCATAACTCGAACAGCGAAAGAAAGCAACAACTGCTGTGGCCCTTAATTGCCTTTTATTAATTAGCTCAGCCATAACCTTTTGCGCTTCCTACAAATTCCGTATGCAGTTAATCTCGATAAATTCATAAATGTGTTCCACAACCTTTTCTCCAAACTAATTATGGAACTGCTATTACAAATGATTAAATATCTGAAAATATATACATTGAAAACACGATATGCTTCGGTTCCGACTTGTTCATCATTAAAGATACTTGGATAGCTTCGATTCGGATATTTTCCTCTTAATTGCCAAACATCAAAAAACGGTTTCCAATCAATGTACGGTATTAGGAGATTCAAATCAAAATCAGAAAAGACTTTTCGTCCCAAAAACGTCGGCTCAACTAAAATGGGAATAAATGTGCATTGAAATTTGATTTTTGGAGGTAAAATTGCAAAAATAAGGAATCAAATAAGATTGGAAAGATTATTTAACCTGGTGGAAACTCCTTAAAGTCAATTTTGAATGCCCTTTTCCGAGCTTCGCTAAGAAAAATAAAACGACGTTCTTTCAATGATGCGTAGTAACCTTCACGAACTGACTTATAATCATCTGCCAAATCAGCGAGAAACTCAGCTTTTACTCTTTCATCTTTCAGTGATGAGCACTTAAAAAATTAAAAATTCCCACTTGCTTTTTTGCAAATATGAAAAACACTGAATAAAATTGGAATTGGGATCTCTTATAAGTAAATTGCTAACTCTTAAAATAATAAAGGAATATACAGGGAGTTGGAAAGAAACTGGATTTTAATTCACAATAGAATGCAAAAACTCCAGGTGCTGTTAGGAACCAATTTGTCTTCATGTGACTCTCTGGATGAATGAATGCCTATTTCATTTCGTAGATATAGCAAGGTAAATCAGTGGGAGTGCGTATTACCCAGAAGAAGCAGAATGCTACGTAAAAGTATAAATATAACTTTTAAGGATAAATTCCTTCTAATTCATCTATGGATGCTTTAGATTTTAATTAGCAATTTTACTTGTTGAGGATTCGTTTATTTATTTAAAAACATCATTATTTAAAAACGAATCATACTTTAATGCCTAAAATTTGAAAATATGTGAGCAAATAATATTTGCCATTTGTTTCCAAAAACCTACAACAACAACTGATTTTGAAGCATCCAAACAGTGAATAACTGGACCACTATACCAAGGACAAATTTTCACTGCTGTGTGTGTTTTTGAAGTGGTTGCACCACCGATAAGAAGTGGTATGGAAAAACCAAAACGTTCCATCTCTTTTGCCACATGCACCATTTCGTCCAAAGAAGGAGTTATAAGACCAGAACATCCAATAAAATCTGAAAAATAAGTTAAATCAATTTACGAGTGGTTTTCACTTGAGCGAATCGCTCTTCATTAATTAATTTCATGAGATTTCCTACAGCATCGTTTAAACCAGATAAAATTATGCACGAATTCATTAAACAATAAAAAGTTCTACCAGCTTTTTCATCTAAAGCTGCTTTAATAATTTTTTCGCAAGGTGTCATAACTCCAAGATCAATGACTCGAAAGTTATTGCAACCAAGTACAACAGACACAATATTTTTACCAATATCATGGATATCGCCCTTCACCGTTGCTATTATAATTGTTGCTTGATATGGACTCTGAAAACGAACCAAGTAGAAAACTGGAATTACAAGGAAACGACAAGTGTATCTGAGCCAGTGAATAAACTAATGCGAATCTCATGGCATTTCAACTCAAATTTTTATGATCAACGGTAGTAGTCAATGCCAACAACTATTGTAGGCCGTCACATGGTATAAAAGTTTTTGGTTTTCGGTATTTTAACCATTTTAACGTGTAAAAAAACTTTCACCTTCTTTAGCACAAAAGGAATTAAGGTAATTAACTAACTTCCTCAGAAACGTTAACTTCTGTATTTTTTAGGTTTTTTTTTCTTTCTTCATCCATGAATGGAATTAAATAGGCCACCGCTTTTTTCATAACTCTAGCTGATTTGATTACCTGGAAGAATTTAGTATTTGAAATTTCTTTGCTCATTATTATATTAGTTCGTAAAGCAAAGAAAATTGGTAGCCTAATGAGAATGCTTGAAAATCAAAAGACCAACACTAACAATTTATTGAGACATTCCTTTTGATAATGAAGTTTAGACTAAATTTAAAAAAAAAATATGAGTGAATATTCCATCATCTCGAATTAAAAAGTAAAAACCTGCGGTAGAAACATCCTTCCAGACCCGAAAAGTTCACCGACCATGGCCATCCCAGCCATTAGGGGTTGTTCAATGACGTTTAATGGTCTTGGATATTTCGTGAAATTCGATCTAGCTTCTTCAGTATCTTCAACGATAAAAGTATCGATTCCCTTAAATGGTACTCATGAAAGTTCATTACTTGCGAATGTTTGCTTGCTTTTAAATCGAATGAACAAATGCTTCTAAATTATAGCTAATTTAACAAAAATGCCAACTTTTACTAAAGCATATTCTAATCTTTTCTCGACGCTATCGTTTCGCCAATTAGTTATTTCTGTGATATTTTTAACATCGGTTTTCAAATCTTGTGCAAGTGATAATATTTTTTCCGTCGCCAAGGGATCCTTATTCCATATCAAATCCTGAAAATTCTCACGAAAATTTTCACTTGAGCGAATCGCTCTTCATTAATTAATTTCATGAGATTAACTTGGCAGACTTAAAATTTTTCGGCAATCCATACTAAATGATCGTCGCAGCTGAGCAGAATCTCCACAGATAATCCAATATTAATGCAAAAAGATTAATTTTATCGACAAACCTCGCAAAGTTTTAATAGTTCGGGTTCAATGTCAGTATAAACTGGCAGTGAGCCAGCATTCACAATACCCATATCCATACCAGCTTTAATTGCATGAAATAAAAATACACCGTGCATAGCTTCTCGAATCTTGTCCATTCCACGAAATGAGAATGAAATATTGGAAACGCCACCAGAAACGAGACAACCAGGAAGGTTCTCCTCCAAAATATCAAAATGTTAAATTTTTTTCCAAAAGCCAAAGAAATGAACATCGAATTTTCGAAATAAGGGAAATTATAATTATAATTATAAAAATTATTTATATGAATTATTTGCAGAATTTGAAAATTACGAAAATTTTTTAAGATTTTTCGTTTCTAAGATTTTATTTCTAAAAAAATTTTCTAATTTTCTATTTTTTTCATTAAAGACTGGTATAATAAGAAATTCAAAGGTAAATAAAAAACAAACTAAAAAATAAACTTTAATAAGACGAGTCGCTTCTATAAAATTCACTGCATAATTTGCATGTTCTTCCATACCAGTCGCTACTGTAAGAATATTTGGATCAAAGACGATATCACATGGATTAAATCCGACTTCTTCGACGAGTAAATTGTATGATCGCTCACAGATTTCAAATTTATTCAGTATTTCAGTAGCCTAAATTTCAAAAAGTGAATAAGATAAATGACATCTATAATATCGTTTTGCTAATTTTAATGAATTTTAGAATTAAAACTGTAATTTTCTCAAAATCAAAATATTTCAACTTGTCCATTTTCGTCGAACGCCATAACGATAACAGCGGCACCAAATCGCTTAATCAAATGAGCTTTTTCCAGAAAAGATTCCTCGCCTTCTTTTAGTGATATTGAATTAACGATACATTTTCCTTGACATGATTTAAGGCCAGCAATGATAATATCAAAATTAGATGAATCGATGCAAAATGGTATCTTAAATTTAAAAAATTGATTTTTTTCCAAATAAAATGAATAGAAAATATGAATAAAAATGGAAAAATAGTGACATTTACTAGAAATCACCCTTGAGATGTCAGGTTCGGAGGCTAATATTCGTAAAAAATATGGCATGACAAATAATCCGTCCAAAAGGCCATCATCCATATTAATATCCAGAATTTGTGCTCCATTTTCCACCTGTTCAAGCGCAATTTTGATTGCTTCCTGAAAATTTACAATGACCTAAAAGTTTAATTTTTCAAAATTTTTTAAATTTGAATAAAATTTACTAAATATCTTTTCTTTTAAAATTTTTCGTGAAGAAAAATTTGCCTTCTTTCCAAATTTTGAGGATTAATAATTGTCAATATGGCAGAATAAAAGGAAATATGATACATCAAACTTCTCTGCTTTGATCAAATCGCAAAATCGCTTTGAACCAGCTACATTACATCGCTCACCAATGTTGACAAAATTTCTGCTTGAGCCGATATGCATCGATTCGAGGCCAGCAAGAAGCGTGTATCCACTATGAACAGATAACGGTGCCACCCGAGGTTTGACTCCTTTTATTAAATGTGCTATAGCTTGAATATGACTGGGAGTGCTACCACAGCAACCGCCAACAATGTTAACCTATAACTAAAATTTCAAATAAAGGTACCAAAAATCTCGCTGGAAAAAAAGATAAATGTATTGATGCAATCGAATCAAAAAAAAATAATATCCATAATTTAAATAGCTTTAGAAAATTTCTTCAAGTATGAAAGTTTAGGTGAAAATTTTGAGATAGATAGTTGTTGATTAACATTAATTTTTTACTTATTGCAAAAATTTCCAGCAAAGTGACAAACCAATCCGTCCTTGGCAAATGAAAAAATTTCACTAGCCATGTCCTCTGCGGTTTCATCATAACCACCGAGAGCATTAGGCAATCCTGTAAGGTTAATTTTGTAAATATTCAAAAGTAAGAATTTAAAATCAAAAAAGCAAAAAGAAAGAACCTGCATTTGGATAACAAAGAACAAGGGAAGTTGTATTTTTTGAAATAACTTCGATGTAAGGACGCATTTCCTTAGCGCCCAATGCGCAATTAAGTCCGACTGCAAATGGCTGACCATGTTGCGTGCTTATTAGGAATGCTTCACTTGTTTGTCCGGATAAGTTTCGGCCAGAACGATCAACTATAGTTGCGGAAATAAACACTGGTACCTGAAAAAAATGGTTATTATTTTTTATGACCATTCAGTTTGTTTCTCACTTTTTGATTAGCCACACACAAGTTATTCAATTACTGGATACTGTTCACTGGTACTAAGAGTAAAAAATGTTATCTTGAGCCTACTTCAGGTATATCCTCATCCTCGAACAACGATCGTATCGCAAATATAGCAGCCTTTGCATTCGCCGTATCAAATATAGTTTCAACAAGAAGTACATCAACACCACTTTGTAGCAAAAAACGAGCCTGAGCCTTATATGCAACCATGAGCTCATCAAAAGCTTAAAAAGTAAAAATAGAGGATTATAAAAGAATTGAAAATTTATTAATAACGTGCTGGATCCTCTGGGAGGGAAATTTAGTAAAAAATAAGCGCAGGAGCATTTTTAAGGTTCATTCTACTATGTTTACGGTTGCACGAGTCCAAAAACGAAAAATTCAGGACATTCATCGTATATTTTTTGCACTTTTTTACATTTTTTACATTATGAAGGCCATTCACAAATTATCTATATTACCTCTGGAACCAGATCATCTGCCAGAGGGTATCAAGTCTACGTTAAATAGGAAAAAAGACTGTAGATCTACTTATATTACGGTGCTCCGGTTTCTCCACTGACGGAGATATCGACAATGTTTTGTTTGTAGGACCGATTGCGCCGCAGACAAAGCAACGATTCCCTAAAACATATGAGCCATATGATCAAACAATAAAAGTTAATAAAAAAAACCCAATAATTGATCTGAAAAAAGAAGAGAAGCATGTAGTCAAATGCTATGTACAGTTTGGCAAGAACCATAGGTGCAATCCTCAAGCCTTTGACAGTGGCTTAATCTTTATTTCTATCCTCATCTCTCTAGCAAAGGAGTCCCAATGTTCAATGGAGCCAATCAAAGCAGAAATGAAAAATGCTATTAAAGGAAGAAGAAAAAGGAAAGAGGAAAGCAAATAGAGATAAGCAAGCTGATTTTCAAAATCAAACGACTCCTTCTTATGAAAACACTGATCAGGATGAGGCAATCAGAAATTCGCAATCTTTAGAATAAAAGTGCAAGTGGCGCGAAGCACCACCTGAATCTCATCTTTCATAGCAAATTTCTTTCAAATCACCAACACCAACCGAGCCCCTTATGGCTTAGTGGTAGCAAACCACTGACCATCCAAACCAAACAAAAACACTAAAATTTTTTATGCCTAAGATAGCGAATTAGCCAATTAGAGTAGCTATCGTTATTCTTTGTAATCTAACTGTGGCCTTCTCATTATTCCAAAATTTTCAGCGTCCTCGGCATTCAATTTGTCAATTTCTTGTTAAAGAATGAAAACTATAAGTAACGATTTCAAGCTTAATTATCATTGATAATTAGATAAGAAAAACAATTCACTCTCCTGTCGTGCAGATTAAGCATAAAAACAGAAACTAACTAACCAGTTTGCTGATAATAATCATCGACGGCTCTTTTCGCAAGTTTCCCTGACTCTAAATTTAATTTATCTACTAAATGTTCACATCCATAATCTGCTTGAGCTATCGTTGTGCTACTGAAATAAACTATTAAGAATTTTAAAATAATTTTACGACAAATCTGCGTTAAAATAATAAAACCTGAAAGTATTTGTCTCGATAAAGTCAGCGCCAGCTTCTAAATATAATTTGTGAATTTTGTAAATGATGTCCGGCCGAGTTATTGTCAACAGATCGTTGTTTCCCTTCAACGATTTAGGATGGTCCTGAATTCCAATAAATATTATGCTGATTTATGTTAAATATTATGAATTATCGTCTCTCGTCAATGATATGACATCTTTCGGGCAATAAACACCTTACGAAACATTGTCAAATCCTATCGTTCCATTTTTCATTAGGTTAAAATAGGAGAATGTACACAAACTGGATCATTTTGATGATCCAGTTTTATGCACAAGGATCCATTGGCATTTCTCAAAAAGGTGATATATCAATGGTAGTTAGACTTCTAAGGACTTCCTCAGACCTCAGACTTCTATGGGGATTCGGTGATTCACAAAAGGGAAAATGCATAAAAAGACTAATTCTAATTATGTTTTTATTTTATTTAAATGGTAATAAATCATTTTTAATGATTATTTTATGTCCATTCAAAATCCCCTAAGTGAAAAAATTTTAATAAATATTCCAAAATTTTAAAACTTGAAAGTTTTGCATTGGTGACCTATGGATCTTTAATGGAATCATATAGGGAGACCCTAGAAAAAAGTTCGACACCATTATAATAGTTGATCGGATTTCGTCTTAATTTTACAATTTTTTTGAAAATCAACGCTGATGGACCTTAAGTTTCGTAAACCTATTTCTGTTCTGACCATATTCTGCTCCATAATTTATATAACTTTTGAAACTTATCCTTTGATGTGGCTTTCCCTCTATCCTCCTCCAATTTTATAAGCAAATTCAATCCACTGATTGATTTATTATTCATTAATTAATATAGCCACATAGCCTACGGCAATTGCCTGGCTATTTACTTAAAAATAAATGACGGAAAAGAGAGTAAAACCTTGAGAATGTCGGCTCGAAAGTCATTTTCACTAAGCTTTTCTCGCTGTATCATTGTACCCATTGCGCCATCAATTATCATTATTCGTTCTTTTGCCGTTTGAGTTAATATTTTGAAAATTTCTTCCTTTCTTGTCATTATTGTCATAAAACTGAAATCATTAATTATTAAAATCGAATAACTTTAATGTGTTATGCGTGGTTTTCGACGTTAAAGCAGATTAGCGCTCCTATTTCGGGCCAATTGGCTATTAGAAAGAGTTACTTGGCAAGGAGAATAAGGGGAATTGCCTGCAGAATTTTTCATTCCAGTCGAAGAGTGGACAGCACTGACTCTCAACCACCAACAGTCCCGCAATTTAGCAAATTTTTTTTAAAAAAACCCATTCATTTTCTTATTATGGCGATGGCTGCGCAGTTATTGGCATGATACTGTAATTAACTCACTTTCACAGAAGTAATTACCACCAGTTGAATCTCCTTAGCAAAAATTTTTAACCATACCGACGAAACCGGAAATAGTGCTAATCACGTTTTATTTTAGCAGAAAAGTTAAGAATTTTCATGTAATTTGACCTTCCTTTGAGCTCAAATATTGACCTTAAATTGGGAAATTTGAATGGAAGAAAGTTGAATAATTGGGAAATTTGACCATTTTTTATTCGAATCAGTTGTTTTTTCATTGAAAATGAGAAATTATTTCAGAAAAAAAAAGAAAAAACTGGTTTTTTTCAAATGAAGACGAGAAAATTCATAAAAAATATTCAAAAAATTACAGATCGGAGATAATAAATAGAATAAAGTAGCAAAACCACTTGGTTATTTGGTTGTCACTTCCTATTTGGTTGTAAAATTTTATTGATTTCTCTTTTGCAAATTATACACCACTGGTACATTTTACGTAATTTATAAATACCGTTCAGATTTCAGTAGAATTTCTCCTTCCAACATCCTTTATGGTTCTACTAGCTGCTCTGAATATTAGGAGTGAGGCGATTGCCGAAGAGGTTGTCGTTTGAAAATTGGAGCGAGCGATTGGTCTCCAATATCATAAACATTGTATATATATCTATGAAATTGTAAAAATATGCAAAACATTAATTCAAATAATCGGTTTTCTTCGGTTGGCGAAGTTTCCTTTTTTAGGAAATTTTTTATGAAATTTCCTTTTTGAGATAATGGCAATCGGAAGAATTTAATTAAATGAAATTTAATGAATTGAACTCCAAAAAAAGCATCGATTAGTTTTAAGGCAAATAAAGGAAGTGCCAACCATTTCAGATTTGATTAGCTGTTCCCACTGTCAGCAAAATCACTTTTTGCGAGGGTATCACTACAGAATCAGCTATAGAATTGGCGAATATTATGAGCGGCCAGGCCAGCCAGCACTGCCTGAATTTTTAAACGGCAAGAAGTTTGCTCGAGTTGAAGGATATAAAAATTCTAAAAAAATTTTTTTATGTAAAACTTTCGCAGAAATCAATCTTTTCGCGAATTTTAATATCAAATTTTAAGCAAAATAGGGGAAAGTTTGGACTGGAAAAATTATTTAAGCGAATTAATTAAAACTAAAGATGAAGGAAAAAGAAGAAATGAAGAAAATGAACAAAGAAGTCGCTTAATCTCTCCGAAATCATTAAATTTTCTGATTGATGCGCGTTAAATAATTTGTTAAATATTTTCTTGCAATTTATTCTTAAAGATTCTTAATAAACTTAAAATTTAAACTTAAATTTCGGATTTTCAATAATTTTTGATAATTTTCCAAAATGAAAAATAAAATTACACTAAAAATCATAGAATAATCGTTGCGAAAATTCTCCATTTTATTATCTTCTCAATTTTTGATTAATTCCTATTTTATATTAATTTGATTTCTACAAAAAATTGAATGTGCCGACAGACAAATAATTTTATTCTTGTACATAGTTGCATAAATCAGTAACTGCCAGCACGAAAAGCAAATAACTTCACAAATATAAAACGATGCCCCTTATCAATGAAAGATTTGTAGATGCGAACATGCAGCAAACAAAGCATTATTTCGACTGTTTATTCGTCAAAAGATTAGATTAGATGAGATTTACGAATAAGAGCCCTTGGATCTCCTTTGAATATGGCATGTAGCATATTATTCACCAAGTTATCAGAGTAGAATTTCCCGTTCTTAATTGCAATTTTTGTTTACCATATTTATCACTTCGCTTATCACTTCTACTCGTTATCGATGATTTTAAGAATATTATCGTCATCATCAGTTATTTATTTTGTACTTACTCATTCATACATTTCATTTTATTTAATTCATTTAACAATTTAACATTATTGTTTGGACAGTAAATTTAACATTTCAGGCAAACCAGTTATTAGTCAAATCGCTTCTAAAAACTGTGCTATGCAAAATAAAGATTATTGAGTCGGTGATAGTCTTTGCGAGTATATAGATTAGGTAGTATTTTTATGAAATATCGAATTTTTTCGGGATTTATGAGAAATTTCTTATAAATGCAGCATTTACTAAAGAGGATAGCAGTTATTATCTTTATTCATAAGTCTTTTCGTCTCTAAACACTTCAGAAAAAAAGAAATTAATGGAAATTCCTTTCTCCATAGTTATTCGTCAAATTAAGCAAAAATGAAATCCTTGAAAACCCTGGCAGTTTTCGTTATGGTGGCCATATTTGAACCACTCTTCATTTGTTTCCATTACATCCACAATAAAGGTTCGAGAATTTCATCTAGATAATCTGTTTCAATTGCTCGTTTCACAAGTTTACCTAAAAAACAGTTCAATTAAAGTAAAATTCAACCATGCAAATCGCAGTGAATAGCCTATTTAATCCCTGCTGGCCAGTTCATCATAATTATTCTCTACCAGCACTTTTCTAGTTTGGCTGATTTTTTCAGAACAATCAATGTTTGAATAATTTTATGGAAACAAACCGTCAGATTCTGAATCCAAATTAATTTCTCTTGATGTAGAAGCACATTCTTTAATTAAATCACTAGGATATAAACTGTGAGATGCGTTCAAAAAATTGGAAATGTCACAAAATTCCTCCTTTCCATCACATCCTTTAGCGAATTTCGTTATTGGAAATGGTTCTTCATCATATTGATTTGCATATAAAATCTGTAAGTTCTCGAATTTTTATAGATTTCGTAGTAATAAACTAGAGAAGAGTGGGATAACATTGGCAGATACAAAGAAATCTTGAATTATCTAGAAATAACTTTAAACTGGGGCCAGAAATCTTCATGAATATAAGTGATTGCAAATTCATCGGATGCATCAGGTCAACAACAATGGCAAAAAATGGGAATTCGATATTTGCCCATTCTAGAATAGAACACAAGCTCGTAGAAAGCAAAATATTACCTTAATTTTATATTGTCCATTAATATTCCAAAGCTCAAAAACTACGTTTGCACCATAGCCAATATGTGGAATTTCACCAAGAAACTGGCTAATTTCATTGAATAGCGAAAATAAGGCGACAAGAGTTACATCATGCTGAAATTAATTCAAATTAAGATTCTGTAAATAATAATAATGATCATTTTAGGTTCCGCAGGTTTCTACGATACCATTTATGAAATATAAAAAATATTGCATTTGAAAGGAAATTTTAAATAACCATTTTATACTAAAAAATTAATCTTTTATCAATCAAATTTCAAAAAATTCAATGAATTTTTTCGATAAGTCGCGGAAAGTATAACCGAGACGAGCAAGCTTATGATGTTTTTTTTATCTTCTTACTTATAAGTAAGACAATAAGGTGACAAATAAGGAATTAACCCTATGAAGAATTGGTGAACATTTTCCTTTGCCTATATATTTTTAAAGGTATTCATATTCATAATCGTCCGCCTTAATCATTACTCTATTCTGGTGCTTTTTTTTTAAAAATGTAACATATAGCATATATACGAAGTGTATAATTTTGAGGTTCTTCCCTCTAATTTGCTCTGTTCCTCTAAAGATTTTCTTGTATACAATACAAAACCCCTGTGAAAATCATAATTAATGAAATATTTAAAATCTGCGTGGTAGATTCAATCATAATGAAAATCAATTAAGCTTTATATTAAACAGGTGGCCTATAAACGATAAATGTTATAATTAAAAAGCTATAAAGCTAAACCGCTGACAATCCATAGAAATATAGGCAGTTATCCGTATCTTTACAGTTTAGTCGCTTTTCTATTTCTTCAACGGCATTCCGTAATATTAAACCTCCTAAATTAATTTCAGATAAGATTATTTATTTCTGCAAAATAACGAAAATGACATTGAGCACCAATTAAATAAACTTAATGCAATCTAATTGAAGATTTCATTTAATACAATTTAAGGGCATATTTGGTAAAATTAAAGAATTATGCTAAAGAATTTAAATTACATTTCTAAAATTTAGTTGGTCAGGATGAAACATTTTAAAGGGTCAAAAAATCATTTTTCTTTGCAAGTTTTTGAATTTTTTATTCTTAAAAAAAATTTTTTCAGATTTTTTAATTTACTAATAACAAAAAGTAAAGCAAAAATAAGAAATTTACTAATCAATCAAAAATAATTGATAAATAATCAGAATAAACCTCGCAGTCTCACAAGAGTTTCGTTATAATAATCTCCCATACCCAGCAGCCTCTCCAATGCAATCCAAATGACCCTATCGAATTCCTTCATGAGAGTTTCGTTCATCCAACTCGGCCATTCAATGTTATAAATTTTCTAGAATATTTTCATTCGAATTAAAAAATGATAAAAAATTTCATGAGAATTTTTCATTAATGATTTACTGATAAAAGAAAATAAAACAGTTTATTTATGTGGAAAAAAAGCAAAATTTTCTATTACCATAAATTTGAGGAAATCATGAATTTGATAGCCGCTCCCTTGAAATTCTATCTTCTCCCTTTTAAGAATTGAATATATTTCCTGTAAGGGAATTAGTTCCATTTTTGCTAATATTTTTTTATAAGTTGGTCGAAGATCTATCAAAATCATAATTTTATTTAGAATCAATTAATTCCAACAAATTAGTGTTCCCAATTTGAATTTTTATGAATAATATCGTACAAGTAAAATTTCTAAATTTCATCAATTTTACGAATATAATTTATGATATGTAGCAAATTTTAATAATAAATTTGGCCACTTTTATTTCGCCCGATCCCTACATTAAATTCATGAAATTTTGAACAGATGGCTTGCAATGAGCATTAATGCCTCAAATCCCGGGAGAAGCAACCATTGCAGACAAATATTTATAAAAATAAAAATTGTACCGTACACTAAAATTATTCATAATATATGTTCTTTCTTCTTCAAGATTTTTATCTACAATCTCTGTTGCTCGAGGACAATCATAAAATGGATTACCGGCCTAAAATGAACCTCGATTAAGGATGGATTACCGGCCTAAAATGAGCCTCGATTAAGGCAATAGATGAAATTTTAGCGAATATAATTTATTGTACTATCAACAATAAATATAAACCATCGTAAAATTTCTTGTCGTTTTTGGGGTTATGTATTTTTTGTTGCCACATCACATTAGCTGATACGTCATGTATATCTCTTCTGTTTCTAGTTTCTTTTCGTCTAAGACCAGTAGTTGCCCTTGGTTTTTTTTGCTGATTTAGTCCATGTAATTCGACACACAATGGTGTGATTTTCAGTTTCTGGCATTTCAAGAATTTAAAGTGGGACATCGAACGATGTATGCTCGCAACAAGGAAGTGCGGTTTTGTAGATGTACTTGAAGAAAGAACATGCAAATGGTTCAAAAATGTTCAAATACGGAGAAAAGGATCTCAAGATATCTTATGTTGCGGATAGCTTTCAAATTTTTTAAATAGATCCCTGAAATAATTAATGGAGATTGGTACCAGAAGAGAAAAACCTAAAAAATTTATAATTCAAAAAATACAAAATTTATAGCACCGTAAGGAATAATCTATGTATAATGGGAAGGAACGAGTTTAACAAGGTTCTGCATGATAGCAAGAAAAAATCGGCGAAATGTAAGGATGGAGTCGTTCCTGGATCAATACGAAAATCAGATTTTCGTAAAACAGTAAATTGCAATGTAAAGTTCAGCAAAGAATTAGAAATAGCCATTCGAAGGCTATGAATAAAGGCATACAGCTAATCGACCGATAGGATTTCATTATTCTCCACGACGTTGTCAGAACATAAATCGCAAGAATAATTTGTCATCAATTTGCAGAGATGAACAGCGAAATCGTCGACCATATTCCTTAGATTTTTCACTGTAAACGACTATCACTTCCCTGTTAAACCACATTCACTGATCCGAAAAATTCAGCAATTTATGTAAATGGAACAAATGTCACATTGACACGTTGGTGTTACACGTTGACAACAAGTGCTCTGATTGTGATGGTGTTCATTTTAGATAAAAAAGTAGTACTTCTCAGATTAAAAAAATATAAATAGAGTTCAATCAAGTTATGGTTTCACAGAATAAATGACTCAAAATGCCAATAAATTTTTTGCAATGACCGTATATATTAACTAACCGAATCGTTTTTAGCTGAGAAATTTCGCATAACATTAATATTTTCAGCTTTCATTCCAATTAGAACATTTTCAGCAGTTAATATAGTTCTCGTTAAATTGGTACTTCGCATAAAAATCTTTAAATCAGATTCAAATAATTTAAAAGAAAAATTTTTTTCAGGTTTCTATGAAATTATTTTAAATTCCAACTGGATATTTCTTGCCAACAAAATTTTTCACCTAAAATTTTCGCAATTCTCGTAAAAACATATTTGAGATGATCGCTTAATGTTTCCAAAGGAAAAATGTTTTTCTGAGAAAATTGTCAATTGAATGATGCATGATCATGTCGATTTATTTTAAAGGCTAATCCTTACTTGGGTAGATTAATATTTCATATTTCATATGAGAATACTCTTTGAAGAGGATTGGAATTGCTCAGTGGCTTATTGCTCTTATTTCATAGCGCAGCTATTTTAACTTAGTGTAGTTGAAATGTTTACTCTTAGCATGAGTAAACTTGTCTCTCAAAAATCCGGGTGCTACTGACATCCAGCTGCATTTCTATCGCCAACTCCTTGGCTCTTGATAAAGGAATAACTGAGGACGATCCTAATGATCCTAATCCTAATCGAAGACTCTTCGCATTTTAATCACCCAGAGAGGATTTACCTCCGATCATCACTCGCCTCAGTTTGCTTTAGATGGCTTTGAAAATTTCCAATAAATTTAATTTCTAAAGTTTTTGTCTTTTGAATGTTTGAATTGCCCGATTACTATACGTCAGATAAGGCTTTATACTTTAATTCATATATAATTGATTCTAATAAGACTATAAGTTTATTATTTTCATAAGATCAGTTATAATAAATTGTATGTTAAAATTAAAATGGTCGAATGGTTTCACGAAATTGAGCTGACATTTAATAAATTAATAAATAATAAATGTATTCGATATTCCTGTAGTTTTTACTGTTAACACTTTTATACGTAAATTATATGTTAGAATTTGATATGGATGCTGACGAAATCATTTTAAATAAGTTCGGATAAAGCGACCAAAAATGCTTAAAGGAAGTTCTGCAACGTCTCGTCATCACTCTTATGTTATGCACAGGTACGCTGACCATGAAGGATGGATTGAATTTCAACTGAACGTCTTTCTCGAAAGAGGGAAAGCTAGCAAACGATCATAGTCGAAGAAAACTGAAATGAACGTCTATATATCAAATCAACCAGTGAACCTTAGTGGCTGGCAAATACTGTCCTGAGTCCAGTGTGCGAATGGAGAGTACCTTCTTCATCTTGCCAGAGCGTGGAATTATTACTAGCAATGTTTCCGGTATCGAAGAACAGATCTAGTTATATCACAGCCATATCGAACTGTTCCGATAACCAACATTCCAGTCAGATTGATTATATTTTGGTCAATCGTAGTTAGATCGTAGTAATTTTAGATTATACTTCCTTTCTGATGCTGAAATTTTCAGAGATCAAATCATGCCAAGTTCGCATGGAGCTGATAACGCACAGCATCCTCAAAATTTCTCAACCATCTGAAGCTAAAAAATTTGGAGTATAAGTGGTATTCATTAGCCAGTAAATATATTTCAAAATGAATTATCAAATCAATAACGTAAATATTAACGGCATCTCTGGAAGGGTAGTTAAATATGGTCCCAACTAAAAATAAAATCCAAAAGCCAGACAAACAAACTCTGGCTGTAGCAGCGAAAATGCGCTAGTTGGATATTGGAAGTAACAGTCCTATCATCCAGAGAAAATATATGGGGGATCCTGGCTATTTTCGTACAATAGCATATAACATTAGTAGAAACAGAAAACAACATATCTCACTATTTGCTAGACCATTTAATAATGGCATCAAAAGCGAGGACCGATAACGATTGGTATAGTTAGGAGAGGCTTTGAACGTGTAGGCAGCACAACGATATATAGGCTCAGACGGCGAGAAAAGGAGTGGTTTCTTTCAACTTATCATTGGTCGAGCGTCTTTAAGATGCCTTACCTTTGTAGCCAATGGAAGAGCCTAACCTGTAGTAGTGGTGCGAGCAATTAAAAGAAAAAGAATAGTACAGCGCGAAGAATTGAAGTGGAATTTGATCCTATATGTAAAATTAAATCGCGCTCACATAAGCACCATTAATTATCATTTTAAATTATCAACTTATCAAGTGATTATCATGTTGCTCGTGTCTTTTATAAAAATTTTACAATTTATGATGATAGATAATAGTTTACGATATTAAAAATTCATGTTACTTTTTACTTATTACATTATTTTTTATTTATTGCTTACTGCTTTACACCACTTATTATTTTATTTTTATGCTGTACTAATAATTATTTTACGTTCTTCTGGTACAAATGATTGTACCGAAAGAAATCCAGAATTTCAAATGTAATATCCGAACAATATTGTTATAGATTAGCAAATAACTTTTTCAACCTGATACAATTCCTTCGGTACTCTTTAATGCTTATATTTTTCATATTTATTTATTAACCAACAAAATTCGCTAATTAAATCACTAACGTTTGAAGAATTGGCATATTTATTCTCGAAATATCGTTTCCTTATACTATTTCCGAGCTCCTGAGACTGTTGCAAGCCAATCTTTAATTTTATAATTAATCGCATTGAATTTTAATTTATCGTTTTCCTTTTATTAGAAAAGTTTCCACTTTGCTTTTTATATATTTCATTTCATAATTTTTCTTCTTCCGTCTATTTCTTTTCTATCGTTTCATCAAAGTTTTATTCTTTCATTCATTCATTCATTCTTTACCCGCGATTTGATAAGAGCCGAAGGAAATGTTGCGCCTCCTCTTGCTGCCCAACGATATCGAAATCATTAAACAAACATTTAAGTTAAAGTTCAAGTAAACTTATAAAATTTATTTCGTGTTGTGTTAGCTTTGAAATATCTATAAATATTTGCTTAAGTGATTTGTAAGAAGGAAGACTTTAAGATCGAAAAAAAGCGAAAATAAGCAATACTTTTGTAATATTCCCAAAGCCAACGGACAAAAACGATTCATTGATAGGAATTCGTTTCACTGATATAAGTGGTGTTCGATCTCCATGTCTCAAAATCTAAAATATTAAAAACACGATTGATGATAGATTTTTGCAGAGGGAAAGTTAGAAAGTA